TTTTCAAAAGTATTGTAAATTGGTAAATAGTTTCAGAATAACAGTGTCCGTTACTTGAAATCAACCAATACTCTTTCATTTTGAATAATTTTGTATCTGGCAACTGGGAAGCAGCTCCCGGTGCCCATTCAATGAGAACATTGTTAGTTGTCATTAGAAATCCTTCCAACATGGTCTTAATGTTTGTGTATCAGAGCGAGCGGCTTGGAGACATCTGTTTGTCCTTGAGGTTTGTACCGACTGCAGGGAAGCTGACAGTGGTTGTCTTGGAGGCCAAGAATCTGAAAAAAATGGATGTGGGCGGATTATCAGGTGAGAAAACACTACAGAGTTGATTTAAACTTTCCATTTCAGAGTTCTATACTTTTCCAGATTTCGTTATCGTGATATTTTTCTGCCAGATCATTAAGAAATTATTGACTTCTTTATCAATATTCACATACTTATAACCAGAGATGGGAAGTAACGAAGTACAAATACTTCGTTACTGTACTCAAGTAGATTTTTCTGATATTTTTACTTTACTTTACTACTTATTTTTATGGCGACTTTTTACTTCTACTCCTTACATTTTTACACAAATATCTGTACTTTCTACTCCTTACATTTTAAAAAATTGGCTTGTTACTTTAGTTTTGAATCATTTCAATGGAGTTACCGTTATTATTTTTCACGTCATCAATACCAAATTCAATCTAATTGGATGGGAATCTACGTTGCATTTGACGCACCACTACAAGATGAATCGACAGATTCGGCGGTATTCATTTGCAGCAAATCATTGCAGCTTGGTGGCGGTGGCGTTAGCATAGTAGCATGGACGACGAGATGATTGAAAATGAACACAACGGAGATCTAGTCCTATTGGCAGACATCCATTTAAAATGTAGGCAACGGCATGAAAAAAGTGGTTTCTACTTTTACTTTTATACTTTAAGTAAATTTACAAGCCTGTACTTTGTTACTTTTACTTGAGTAAAGAAGTTTAATCAGTACTTCCACTTTTACCAGAGTATTTTTTAACACAAGTATCTGTACTTTTACTCAAGTACGGAAAGTGAGTACTTTTGCCATCTCTGCTTATAACACAATTCTAAACCTAACTTCCATCCATTTTACAGTGTTCACAGTGTTGCATTGCAGTTATTTGGCATCTAGGCAAAGCTAAGACATATACAATCTATAATATTTAGGAAAAAAATAGAAGGAACTGTAATCTACTGATCCTTTCAAAAGCAGTTTAAAATTTATGATTCTGTACTTAGCTTTAAAATGATTTTCAAAAACAGAAACTTCAGCGCTTTTGGTGGACCAGCAGACCCAGAAGAAATAGAATTACTTTTTATTTAATCAATATGGGCTTATATGCTGTTAAGTAAAAAAAAAATCCATAAAGTTAACAAAAAATTGAGTTATGATATGATGAAACAAAAATGAATTTCATTATATTAAGTAATTTTCTTTGCTCAGAAATCGAAATTTCTATATTTTACAATAAAAAAATGGAATAACAAAAAAATATATATAAAAACTTTTTAGCCTAATTATCCGTTCCTTTTTCCACGTTAAAAGTATACGGTAAGATGGGTCACCTCAGTTCATTTGGACTTCAAATAAAGAATCACTACAACTAAAGTTGCTTTTCATTGATAGAGTTACGGCACTGGTGCCAAGATTTTTGGTCCGCTGCTTTAACATAAAACACCTCTGTTCTGTTTCAGACCCATACGTGAAGATCCACTTAATGCAGAATGGCAAAAGACTGAAGAAAAAGAAAACTACTATTAAGAAAAACACTTTAAACCCTTACTACAATGAGTCATTCAGCTTTGAAGTGCCATCTGAACAGATAGAGGTACAACAAATAGAAGCTTGGGTATGCATGCACATGATTATGACTACCTGTAAATCTTGTTTTCTGTGTGTTTTATTTACAGAAGGTGCAATTAGCTGTTACAGTGCTTGATTATGATAAGATTGGGAAAAATGATGCCATTGGGAAGTTGCTGCTGGGCGGCAACAGCACTGGGACTGAGCTACGCCACTGGTCAGACATGCTGGCCAACCCACGACGCCCAATAGCCCAGTGGCACAGCCTTAAATCAGAGGAAGAAGTCAAGTCATTAATTTCCAACAAGAAATAACCTGTGTATAGGAAGATCAAATAATGAATTCAGGCCTATCTACTAACCTTACTTTTCCTAGATTTTGCTATACAAATGTTATATAAACCATATAAATATTTTCATGAACAGTTTGTCAAAATACTTGAGACTGCAGCCTTTCCCATAAGTTACTAATTAATGCTTCATCCTTAACATTACTTTGAAGACACACTGCAATGTAAATTGCAATAAAAAAAGATGATATATTATGTCACATTTGTTATATTTACGCTTTTCTTATAAAGAAAATTCACCAGTAGGGGGAGACAAATCAAAGTACTCCATCCACTTGGTAACAAGTTCTATAAGGTGAAGGAAAACAGTCTGTACAGTAATTTACTGAAATGATTAGCTACATATTATATACATATATTTTTTTATATCAGCCGGCTACTTAAGAGGGTTTTAAACATTCACACACCGCCTATCCAAGGTAATACTATTCTGAAGTATTTTGATTAGTTATAAGATGATTTTTTTTTGTATTTTAGGAGCAATATAAACAATTAATTTTGATTAGATCATATTTTTGTCTGTTAAAAATCAAAATCAAAGGGTCACATGTTCTTTTAAAGACAATCCTACTAAAGCCCTCTTAGAGACAAACCTCTTAAAAATTAACTTACCTTTGAAAAAAAAAAAAATATTTAATTAGTAACCATTTTCTTTCTACTCATCAAAATGACGTGTGTGTGTGTGTTTGTGTGTGTGTGTGTGTGTGTGTGTGTGTGGGGGGGGGGGTATACAATGTAAGGCTGGTGTGTGTAAAGAGCTGGTAGAGCTTGATTTCATGGCGGGACTAACAGGGTCAGCATAATCAAGTTAGAACCAATTACACAACTATGGATCTGATGCATAAAAACTTGTGCTTTTCTCTTTTAAAAAAAAAAAGCTAATTCAGTTGTCGGTTGTGTAATTGTGAAAATTATAATGATGTAAACAGTTTTATGTTTTTTGTTGTTTTTTGGGGGCCAGCGTCCCGCGCCGTCATTGGTCCAGTCTGTTTTACACCAGAGAGTTGTGAGCCGTCAGCCTTTACCAGGCTGACTTATGGCCTGTGTAAGTCAGTCTGGTTGGCCAGGCTACATTTATGGCCCCACACTTAAGACATAATATTTAATAAATGTATAATTATTATATGTAATAGCATGGAAGCCATAACTTGGTGAGTTCCTTAGAGCAACTGCATTTTTCTTTTGATGTTTCATTTTACTAATGATAGAACATTTAAATTGTTCCATTTTTAGGCTCTGATATATTCAGACAGGCTCCAGTTTTTATCTGCTAATTCTTAGGTGTACATGGGTGCAAGTGGCTTCCTGCTTCACTCAATCTTTTAAACAATTAAATATTGCCCTGCTTCTTTCGTTTATTTCTTTCATTATTTTGTTTGTGCTTTCATGAAAAAACAATGACATATCTTTGGTCTAGTACCAACACAGCATGCTGCATTGATTCAGTGGTCTTATGCTTCAATCCATGCAGAAGGAGCTCTCCCCCAAACGGCCATGTTTAGGGACCATACACTAAGAAAGTACATGGGAATATTTCTGGGGCTTTTTTGTTGTTTTGTTTTTATTGATGACAACAACTCAGTCTTCCTGAAAATTGAAATTTCTGTAACTGAAATCACAAATGGAAATCATGCTCTATGTAATAAATCTACATAATTTAGCAATTTATATTTCAAATACTCATATAAGATAGTCAGTTCAATTCAGTTTATTCATAATTCACAACACATGTCATCTCAAGGCCCCTTACAATTCAACCAGCTCATACAGTCAAACTGATTCAAAGGTTTCTATCTAAGGAAAACCTTGAATGCAATCCCTCACACCAAGCAGGCCTGTAGCGACAGTGAAGAGGAAAAACTCCCTTTTAACAGGAAGAAACCTCCAGCAGAACCAAGGAGATAGATGGAGACATACAAAAAGAAGCAAATATACAAAAGGTAACTTTCAACCAGCTACACAGGCGGCCCTATCCAGGAAAGCTGCAGCCAGGCAGACGAGGTCCAAGCCAGATCCCATGTCAGAGGCTGAAAGAGAGCACATACAGTTATCCACCGTCAGAGAAATAAGACTAAGCTGAAAAACAGGCCAAGCGTCAACATCTATAAACAAAGGTGTTGATGGCAGTAGCACAGCTGATATTTCTCTCCCAGATGGTGTCACAGCCAAACAAAATAAAAGACCAGAATAAGCTAGTATGTAAAAAAGCTGAGAGAGCATAACGTTAGAGATTGAACAAACAAATTCTGCAGAGTGGGAGAATAGAAATAGAATGAAGCAGAATGATGAAAAAGGGTCCCTATGTCCTCCAGCAGTCTAAGGCTATAGCAGCATAACTCTAAAAATAGCTCAGGATAACCGGAGCCCCTCTAATTATAAGCTTGATCATACTGTTATTGTGATTATTTTTTATCTTTAAAGGTGATTCAAATGCAAATCACAGTTAGCAAGATTAAACATGTATTAAGCAATGTCTTTGCTAAATGTGGAATCAAATAAAAGATTGACTATTTTCAAGATGTTCCTGTAAATTATATAGCTTTTAGTTATTTTATAATGATATATTATTTTGGCCATGGTAGCCTAGCAATTATGGTGATTGTTTTTCAATCAATTTCATCATTTATTATTTATTAGTCTTTATGGTCTGCCCAAGATTGAAAGCAAAACAACAACAAAAAACTGACGTTTTGGTCAGAACCAAGGCATGCTCTTGCAGTGGGCCAAGGCATGCTCCGCAGTGGGGCTCAGGTTGGAGTGTGGGTGTAACAGAGAGCTCACTGCAGGCTCACCTGCACACACAGGTGTGCACAAACCGTTATCTTCCTCAGGAGGAGCTGCCGCCGCCTCCTCCAGGTAGCTGTACAGGCAACACTACTTCCTTCTTCCAGAATCCTGATTCCCTAAATCCTCTCCTGTCGGGACACCTGAGATGCCCCGTTAACATTTCGGTGTGACCCTTTCAAATTCTGAGATGAACGGGAAGTGGACAGTGAAACGATTTCTTCTTTTATCGTTTTCAGTCTCCCACTTGTTATTTGAAGGTAAGTCTGATTTTTGTTTATCCAGAATAACTACAGACATTCAGTATTTATATTTTCAAGTAAGATGTTTTTATGAAATTAGCCCAAATCTTGGACTGTTTGTATACAAAATAAAAGTGTAATATATAATCATATATAATCATACAGTAGAAAACATTAGCTACATATATCCATTCAAAGCATCAGCAATGGTTTAAGAAGTTTCAGGTTATTTCTTTTTACAATTTTTGATGACATAAGTCCATATTGTTGGAGAAAATTATAAAATTCATATCCATTTAACCAAAATAATTATTTTTCCTGACACAAAACGAGGAAGTCATATACTAAAAGATAAAAAAAAATAAAAAATTGCCTAAACAAAGGATATTGAAAAAGATCATTTCTCAGGCGTTTTGTTTAAAAACTAGCGATACAATTCTACACAATCAGAAGAAAGCTAACTATTGGTACATTAATTAAAATTGAATTACTTAAACCAAATGTGTGCTTTATTATAACTGCTGACAGGCCTGGGGCTTATGTTCACTTTTTGTTAATCTATTTTTTCGCTCGAGGTCTATGAGATTAGATGACCTCCTTGCCATCACCCTAATCATTTGCCCTCTCCAAAAATATAAGCGGCGATAGTGGTTGTGGTACTCCATACCATTAGCTTTACCTCCCATTATTTGAAATGAATGTATTGGTAAAATTAAAATGGTATTTTAAATTTAGATCTGTGAAGGTTTGGTCTGTCATTAACTTTAACTTTTTAATTTAAGATATTTTCCCTGAATGCATCATACTTCACTTATCTTCTCTAATTCTGATGCTGTGACATTTTATTTAGGAAGTCAGAGTCGACTTTCAGTGGCAGAGGGAAGATCACAGAGGTAAATGAATCACAGTAATGTGAAAGCAGCTTTTTTTTTTCTCAACAAAATATCTGGAACCAAATCTGAAGACCATGATAAATGCATGCTCTCAACCTAAACCATGTGTGTGACAGAGACTGATTGAATGTGAACTTGCACTTTGTGTGTGCAAGGCTTTAGAGAAAAGCAGTTTAGAGTCCCGATTCAAGTGGTGTAAAGTGCACTTAAGTCTCCCCTCTGACTGTTTCTTCCCACTAATGTGCATGTTTGTGTGAGCACAGGAGGGCTAATGCACTTCGGAGGAAACGGGATCTCCTTGGGGAGGAGGTTTGTACACTACACCTAAGAGAACCAGAGGAGGTCAGGGCACCCACATGCACACACCTCATACGACACAAAGCTGCCTTTGTAACCAGCAGGACACGGTGACTAACACGTACACATTTCACCCACTTAGTTTGATACAACTTATAACTCACAGCAGAAAATGCACAACTGGTGCAGCACTGACTCAATCAGTCTGTGAGATCTACAGAATTATTATTGCATTATTATTTTATTGCATAAAATAACTGTCTGTTTTCTTTTTAAAGACATATAGGCCACTGCTGTCAGAAAGTACACTGTCTCGCAGCATTTTGCACAACTACACAACCAGGGATGAATCTTCGGGTAAATACTATCAAAGAATTCAATTCCATTTTACATAACATGAAACTCTGGAAGGAAGGGATTTGACTTTTTGTGTATCTGTCTCAGAATATTGTGGCTGTCTTAATGGAGGTTGGTGTCAGGAGGACGGTGTGTGCGACTGTTCCCAGTTTCAGGCACTGGGAGACCGCTGCCAGATCAGTAAGTCATTAACTCACATCTTCTTGGGTTCATTTCATCCTTTTGTGTCAGCTCATTTTCATCCCCGCCAAGCATATTAATAAACCTTGCCCAAAGATACGGAGACTTCAAGGGCCAAAAACAAAGACTCTTTGGTTGTTTAATGAACATTAATAACCTGAGCACAACGCAGTTTTAATTAGAAAACATTTCTTAGTCCCCTGTCTTCTTATTTCTTACCTCACTCAGATGTACTCACACACACACAGACATACACAAACAGATGTGGAGCTTTGTTCATTAGCCCTAGTCTAAGAGACAGAGAAGTGAATTCCTGCCCTATAGATGAACAATTAACAACATTTTCACTTTAAAGTATAAAATTCATGAACAATTTTAGAATTTGATTTCAGGAAAGTGTCAAATCTGGACTTTTATTTCCAGCCATGTGTTTCTTCATCTCTATGTGTCAATTGGTTTGTTTAAATTCTTTCCATCTGTTTTTCCAGTTGCATATAGGTGTATCATACATGAATTTTAAAGCCTCACAAGTTACCAAATGTCTGCCAAGAACATTTTTAGTTATTAAAACCCAATAATAAACTATAGATATATTAGTTTTACTAAAAGCTAATAATAAAATATAATAATTGTGGTCATTCAGACTTATAAAGAATATGGAGTGTTGACAAAATAAAGGCGTAAAGATGCTGTAATTCAGAGTCAAAACAAATTAAAAAAACAAATAAGTTTTATTTAGGCATATGTGTAAACTTTCTTTAAGAAAAAAAAACACAACCAAAAGACTAAAAAAAGACTGGTATTGGGAAATGTTCCATATAAATGTAACTATAGCTTAAGGATAGTAAAAATGCTTAAGACAGTTTTATGATCAAGACCCCAGAGTGTGTATGAAATGCCACTGATATAAATACAGGATGAGATTCACTGTAACAGGGAAGGGTCTGAAGCAGCATCTTGGCAAAGCGAGCTCAGGGGATTTTACCCCCAACAAAGGGCTTTTAGAAAATTCAGGTATTAAATTTCAACTGATCAGTTTAATATACAGTTTAAATACAAAACGATGACAGATATGAAGATGATAACAGAGATCAGATGAAATCTCTGCACTCTCAGTTTAGTCAAAACAACAAAAAAGCAAAAAACAAACACATTTTATAAGAATTCATTCTAAATAGTTTTACCTTTTTTTTCTGCCAGTATCTAACCAGGGTCAGGACAGAGATGGAATCTGCAGGTCGTGGGGTCAGCACCACTTTGAAACGTTTGATGGTATCTACTTCTACTTCCCTGGAACCTGCTCTTATATATTGGCTCAGGACTGCCACTCAGCTACACCTGAGTACACAGTGTGGGTAAGGCCAAAAATCAGCATAAATAACATTCTATTTTTCTGTGTCTATTTATTATATGAGATATGTTTCACCAGTATACCATGAATCAATGCTCTCAACCTTTTATGTTGAAAAAAAAAACAGGGAGAGCAGAACGTTAGAGATTGAACAAAATTGTGCAGAATGGGAGAATAGAGTCCCTATGTCCTCCAGCAATCTAGGCCTATAGCAGCATAACTCTAAAGAGAACTCAGGACAACCTGAGCCCCTCTAACTATAAGCTTGATCATGCTGTTACTGTGATTATTTTGAATGCAAATACATTATTGAAATAGCATCCAAACCTTTGTGGGATATATTTCAGATCTTACCCCATGCTATCCCCCCTTTGATTGTTATTCCCTCCCAAGAAGTAAAACCAATCACAAATGTTATTTTATGGCCTGTAAATGTAGTAGACTCATCAAGTCTGTCCAGATGGATAGGACCCCTCAAAAGGTCGTTTCTAAGACCCTCGGTTGGTGATGGAGTACTAACTGTATCCACTTTAATAAATACACTGCAAAAACAATCCAGAAATAAGTAAAAAATGGCTTAAATTAAGTATATTTAGCCTTAATTTGAGCAGGTAAATAAGATGATTTGCCAATGGAATGAGTATTTTTACTCTTAAAATAAGATAGTTAGATAATATTTACTTGAAATAAGACGATAAAATATTTTTTTCTTATTTTAAAAGGAAATTGTCTTGTTCCATTGGCAAAGTGTCTTACTTACCTCCTCAAATCAAGGAAAAACACACTTATTTTAAGAAAAAATAACTTATTGAGATTTCTATTTTTTGCAGTGTACAAGCTATTTGGAAGAAAATACATCTAGAAGGAAGTGAGCAATGCAACAGACAAAACCAGTCTGGACTGGATTTAAAAGCAAAGTCTTTTTAATTTACAAAGCATTTACTACAACAGGAGTGAGAAACCTAATAGTCAGCATGTTGGCAGATCATCGGCTTTAACTTTAACACTGCTTGTGTTAATCTAGTTCTAAATCAGAGACAACATTAGCTGGGCTAAGCCAAAGAGAAAAGGGAACCGAAACTTTGCTCAGGGGTTTTGAGTTACTTTTTCAGATGAAGGTTTTTTCTTTAATTTGAATAAGAAATCAATGATGAAGAGGAGTGTAGAGGTACAAGCTGATCCCGACCCACTATGAATATCTCTGTGGTCAGTGATGGTTGGAGGAAAAATGTCATCTGCTTTGTTTCATTTTCATTTCAGTCCAAATTCAGTGCAGCTTTTAACCAGGATATGCTTTGCAGAGATAGAATTTTCCTGCAGGACTTGTCAACTGTAAACTCTCCCAAAAGTACCAGGGTTTAATGATCATGGTATCATTGTGCTTATCCAGCAAGATCTACTCCCCTAATCTCTCTCAATTGGGTCTATTTTTTATTGAGATGGGAGACACCAGACCAAAAAAATGCAGACAAGCTGAAGGCAGCTACAAAAGGGACATTTTAAAACAATTCTTTTTCATGTTACAGTGTGTAAATCCAGTATTGAGCGCATATATAGTATATGGACATACTTTTCAATAGGCCTACATTTCTATATGAAAGAACTGTTAGAAATATGTTTGTTGTTTTTATTACATATAAGAAATAATTATAATAAAATAATATTTACAATTATTAATTAGAATCTAGTCCATTGAGAGATGCATCTCTGCTCCCCCTCTCTTTTTCTATCTATATTAGATTCACAACAGCAGAGCATGCGAGGGGAGTGAGTATTCATGTCCAAGAGCTCTTAGTTTGTTCTTCCCAAACGAGGAGGAGATCCATATCTCTGGATATCAGGTCCACCAGGGAGGTCGCAGGTGTGTAGGGAGCAAAACAACCAATCACTAAATGGTAAACGATGTCTAGGGGTGACACGATGATTTGTGACTCTTTCCCTTGGTGTGTGTCTGTGAAATGTCAGGCTAAGTTTGCCTCAGACTGTAGGTGGGGTGTTTATTGAGCGACTGGCTGATTACCTGCTTGTGAAGAGCGTGTTTGGCTTCTCTCTGGCCTGGGATGGAAGCTCAGGTGTTTACCTGAAGATGAGCGAAGAACACCAAGGCACTCCTTGTGGCCTGTGTGGGAACTTCAATCACATCGCTGGCGATGACTTAACCACTGCTCGCGGTAGGCCCTGCCAAACAGGCCACTCATCCTCTTTTCTCATCACTCAGCACCCACTCATAGCAATTATTGCTATTATACACTCAGCACTGATTTTGGTCAAATATAGAAGGGGTGGGACAAGGACCTACTAGAACAGAAACAAGAGAACTTGGACTTTGGTTAAGCAAACTTGGATGAAGTATGAACATTTCTTTTACAGTAAATGACAGTAATATTTATTATAATCTCTGTGTTTTTATCAAAAAGCTGTGCAGAATAATGAGGTCAGACCATTAATAGTAAAATCAGGATGTATATGTCCTTATAAAGATTACTCATGCTTACTTCTTTCTGTTTTTTATTTTTATTTTTATATGATGATTACAAGTGTACTTGTTAGTTCACATGAGCCTGGCAGTGACATAATGTCATGTGTTCACTTTGTGTTTAAGGCATCCGAACAGATGAGCCTGCAGTGTTTGCTAACAGCTGGACGGTGGACCTCCCCCACGAGAGAGCTTGTCCCTCCGTCGATCTGGACTTCAGTGGTCCTTGCCATTCTGAATCAGACATGGATGTAAGAAGAACAGAAAGAACGTTTCTATATTTTCAACAGGATACATTTTCTTGTTTTCGTTTGTGAGATTTTCATGGTATTATTTTGTTTAAAAATATCACTGTGTTAACACCCAAAATTAACAGGAATATTGAATATCCAATCTCAATTTTTTTATTCAAAGTAAAAAATCAACAGAAAATATGACTGCTGTGTAGATTAAAATATCTATAGATCAGAATAGAATCAAAAAGAATAGAATATATTAGAAGAGATGATGGCAGAAATTTGCCCAGATACATTAAAATACAATTATAAAAGACTTCATTGCAGACACAGCAGCAGCAGCTTAACTTCATCGAGAGAAAGGAAACAAAACAGCCCGAGACCAGAACAAAACAGATGTATTGTTATTGTAGAATTGATTTACGTTTTTGACTGATTTTGATACCCAGCCACACATGTAGAGAGAGCATGTATGTACAGTAGGTATTGACTGATGCCTTTATTCAGCTGTTGTTTTCTCATTGTCAGCTAATATAGCAAGTTGCTTTGTATCATTTTTTAACAGATGCAGCCATAGATGGAAGATTGTAATAAAATATAAAATTAATAGTGCTTGTAAAAACTGCTAAATTTAATTCTAGATCTTATACCAGATCTACTTATTGAACATAATATAATCCCTTCTTGCTTGTTTTGAAGAGTAACACCAAAAACATGAAAGTCTGATGTTAGCTGGTTATCAGCTGGACGAATGTCTTACTTAATTGGACTGAACTCTAGTCTCTTATCACACTTTGATTCCAATTAGCTGCATTTCTTTGTTTCACACAGTGTCAGGTTGTCTTGCTTCTTATTAAGAGAACTTTGTTTTGTAGGAATTGTACAATGCAAATTGTAAGAGCTTTTAAAATGGCATAAATAAGCAGGCCATGCCTACAGTAACAGAGACGTTAGTCTAAAAACAGGTGTTCCGTCATGTTACATTTGGTGTGCACTGTTTGCTTATTTTAGTTTACAGTAATACATTCATAAATTTAAATTAACTAGTTATCTGTAGTGGTCATTAATTTGTGGTTTCTAATGATATATTGTATAGTAGCTGTCTTTTTCAAAACTGGAAAAAACATGCAACAGAATATACTGGTCAAAAAATTTCTTAAAATGACACTTAAAATGTTATAGAAAAGTCTCAGATTATTTTAATAGTCTTCTCATTGTATATTTCTGGTTTAATACATCAATATTGGTTTATTTGAAAAATCTGTTTTGTTTTGATTTCTGCTTGTTTGCTTGCTTTTTCATGCTTTCTCTTTTGATATGTTCCATGAGCTTCCAATGATTAAGGTCCATTTTCTTTATCAAGCTTTATCCAGATAGCTGTTTGATTTGTTGAAAAATTTGCAGCTGCTTCTAACCATAAAAGTTTTGTTGGGAATGTTTTGCACTTTCTCATCAAGGCAGCTGGTTGCCCATGGATATCCTAAACAATTTTGCTTTGAGATGGTGTCCCTGTGATTCAATCTATTGAAATGTGAACATAATTAGAATTCTATAATAAAGATAATGATTCCAGACCATCTAGCTTTAATTTCTCCACCTTGGAAGGAAAACAGATCAAATCCATCAACAAAATCCTAACAAATGCTACTTTTACCCATGATAACAATTGTACTACACTGTGTACTATGATGTGTTACTTTCTCTCCATTTATACCTAACTTTGCCTTTTTTTTGCAAACCTCCAGGATGCAATCGAGAAATGCAGCGCCCTTCTTTTCTTTCCATTTCTATCCTGCCATGAAAACATTGACCCCAATCCTTTTGTGGCTAGCTGTGTATCTGACCTCTGTGTGTAAGTCATCACCTGATCAAAGACATCTCGATGAATCAAAACATTTTTGTGATTAATCATTTATCTGAGAATCTAAATTATTCTTTAAACATTCTTCTTTTTTAGGTCTGATGATGAGGAAACCTTCTGCCGGGCTTTAGTTGAATACACCAGAGCCTGCTCCCATGTTGGATATCCTGTAAGAGAGTGGAGAGACAGCTTCCCATCTTGTAGTAAGGGTCCTCCACTGCTAAATAGAATCTCTTTTATCAAATCAACCTTCTGTTTTTAACGGTTATGTTTCCTGTTTGTGTTTTAACAGATGACGGCTGTGAGGAGAGTTTTGTGTACAGGGACTGTATTAGTTGTTGTCCTCCCACTTGTACATTTGAGAAAGAGTGTCTAGGAACCAACCTACACTGTCTGGATGGTTGTTACTGCCCTGATGGTATCTTAACCAAACAAAGCCAGTAGCCACTTTTACTAAAATGAGTCAGGATGACTGAATTCAACCTCTATCTACCGACAGGGCTTATCTTACAGAATGGAACATGCATTCCTGCCTCTCAGTGTCCCTGTGTTTATCATGGGACATCATATGTGCAAGGGCAAGTGCTTCAGCAGGGCTGCAGTATCTGGTGTGTATGAACCTTTTTTTCTGTTTAGATAAGTGACAAAATTTACTTGTTCCTTAACCTTTTTTTTGTCTTTTAGTGTTTGCATGGGGGGAGTGTGGAATTGCACAGAGAATGCCTGTGCAGGTAAGTCTCTTTTTTAATAGATATGCAACAAACGTGTAAAAGAATAGGATCCCCTTTAAGATGTTTAGTTCTTTATTAGGAATGTTTACTTATTAACTGTATCTCTTGATTTCTTTTTTATGAGAAGTTGCAAAATCAAACGATCATTGTGTTTTATTTGTTTGTGTTTCATTCATCAAACAAATAATGTCAACAACATTTAGTGTATTCATGTAAAGCATGTTTTGAAACAACTGGAAAGAATTCAACAAGATTGAGACCTGGTATTTAACTCTAGGCAGAAGTTTCTTTCCATTTCTTTTGTAGGTTTGCTGGAATATTTTAGGTCATTTTTATTACATGGTCCAGTACTATTAGAGGTATTGTGGAGGATATTTTCTAATTTTTTAGACCCGGCCTCTCCACTTAAAAAAATGCACATGCACAACCCTGTACCCGCTCCCGAGAGGGAACGCCTATTAAACGTGTGTGAGAGCATGCACAAGCCCATTTCTCCTCATGCACGCTCTGTTCAGAAGTTGTTGTTCTCATAGCTCATACAAGCTTACTGTGTCAGAACATCAGTCCTAACCCCTTAATCCCTCAATCACTATATAGAGCTGGGATTATATATAAAGTTGACTTTATAGCAAACTCAGTTAACTTACCATTGGTCACGTAACACCACCTCCACCTGACAGCCTATAGCGACAGCAGGCCGCTGTGACAACAAATTCCATAATGCTTTGTGAGGAGAGCTCTCTGCACAAAGCATTTTGGGATATATCTGCCTCTTCTGAGGCTTTTCTCTTCATACACTTCGTAGACACTTATTCTCTTACCACACTCAGCCATTTCCAAAGAACGTGCTGAGAAAGGTGAGCTTCAATGACTGTCTGAAACCATAGCTCACCACACATAAATACTTGGGAGTGTGCAGAAAAAGACAGCTAAAGGGGTCAAGACGTAGGGCGGCCTTACATAAACATATCTGATTGACAATTAGGACCACTTATTTAGACGATCCACCCAGAAATAAAAGATTGTCCTCTGTACTATTTTTGTCACAGCCGAGTGTTCAGTGGTAGGAGACGTGTTTGTGACAACGTTTGATGGCAGGATGTTTCTCCAACCGGGGGCGTGTCAGTATGTGCTGGCAAAGAGCCGAGGCAGCAGCAAATTCACCGTCACCCTGCAGTATGCCACCTGTGAAGAGGTAGCCATATACATAATGAAGTAAAATGCCGTGAAATGTGTTTTTTTTCTTTTACTGCTTTACCTGTGTTTTATTTTCAGTGCTATGTAGTCAGAACAAAACACAGTGGATGCCCACTCAGCTATATAGATTTGATGGATAAAACATTTTTTTTTTTATTAAAGATTTGGCTTAAACTATTGTTGTTGTTTTTTTACTTTTGTTGATACAGACCACTTTCTTGATAAAACTGTGGTTTTTAACTGTAAAGCTTTTGGTTTAGTTAATAAAAAGAGTCTTGCTAAAGAGCTAATTTGCCTTAAAGCTTTGCAATTTTTCAAAGCAAATCATATATTGGATTTTATGTGATAGAACATTGCCTAGTCATGTATAAATTGTAATTATTGTGAAGAGGATGGAGACATGAGGCAGAGTTTGAGTATTTTTTCCTAAGAAGTATGGAGTGCATCTTTACAGAAGAATAGCAACTAATAGCTTTTAGAGCTCACAAAATTGGAGGATAGCCTCCATTAATTTGGACTTTATATCCTCAGAGGTGTGTTTGAGAAACCTGGAGAACAAACAGCTATATTATATCAAAGACATACAGCAGATGTTGGGGCGGTGAGTAGAAAACTCTAAAGAAAGCTTTTAGAGGCTCCGAAAGTCATCAAACAGCTGAACCTTTCAACAACATTTTCATCAAACATAGAATCACATTAACAAGTGAATGGTTAAAAAAATCAACTGTGTGGATTATTTAACATCAGTTTGCAGCAGGACTTTTTACATGGCTTGCATCCTTTCATGGTACCACTCAGGATTTCACTGAGCTTCTAAGAATCATACTGCATGCGTTGCATGGATTTGTGTTTATGGAAATGATTGAAAGATGTTGTCAGATTCATAATTGGTAATTCTTTATGATGGCAGCAGCAGATTTGTATTCAGTCAGTGACCGTAGTGTTGGATGAAGACGTTGGCCATCAAATCACACTGACAAGAGAGGGAGAGGTGATAATTGGTATCAACCCAGCTCCCGCCCTGCCCTATGTTGAAGGTAGATGCTACATATATTATATTTTATACTAAAACAATGTTTCTAACATGTTATTTTTTTCTTAGTACGTTACTTGAAAATGTATTTCCTCATATGCAGATACAGTGGAGGTGCACAGACTGACCTCTGTGTTCACACAGCTGAAAGCGACAATTGGTTTACGCCTCCATTATGATGGTCAAGGGGGACGTGTGTATTTGCAGCTTGGCAGCCAGTGGCATGGACAAACGTTGGGACTTTGTGGAACTTTTAATGGAAACCTAAGAGACGATTTCCTGTAGGCCAGTTCCTCTCACACACAACATAAAATAATGTTAAAAATGTTTTTGTTGATTTTATTTGGGTTTTGTCTTGCAGGTCTCCAGCGGGAATGATAGAAGGTACCCCTCAGTTACATGCCAATGCTTGGAAAGTGTCTTCTGCTTGCATAGCTCCAGTTAATCTCCCCATTATGGACCCATGTGAGATGAACCAGCACAACGGTAATTATTTGAATTAATTTCTAGCATTAGATGTATTGGCTTGCTCATTTTGATTATCTTTTTTGTGTCACCCAGCATACTATGCATCCCAGTGTGATGTGCTTTTGGGGGCGGTCTTTGCTCCATGTCACGGCTACATCAGTCCAAACCTTTACCAGCAGCAATGCCGCTACCAGGCCTGTCGCTGTGGCAGCAGCTGTCTGTGCACTGCACTGGCTCACTACACCTACCTCTGCTCCAAACATGGAGTCGACATCAATTTTAGGTCACAAGTCTCCGAGTGCGGTAAGTGTCAGATCAATGTGATTATAATTAATTATTATTATTTCCTGTTTGCATATCCATCACAATAGTATATGTAAAAAAGTACATTTCTTAGTATTACAATTCAAAAGGTGAAATCTGTATCAATTCATGGCCACTAAGTAAGAACATTTTATGCTTTTTTAAAGTTATATTCAAAGTATAAAAACAAAAAGTTAAGCATAGTTTCATCATAATCTGCTTGTTGATTTGCTTAGATGTTGAGGAAGTGCAGGTTGCTTCGATAGCAGCCTTTGAGTCCATCCCCCTTAGATCTCTTGTTGTTAATCTTGCAAGTGAATTTGTTGGACTGTGATGCGCACTAGTACCTTGGTAAACTGTGTTGGTACTTTTGGAAACACAAACTGATGTTGGACTTGTTATTTTACAAATGCCCTGTTGCAGTTTAACCCTTTCATTGAGGGTATCAATGCTTTCAGCAGCATTTCTTATGATACTCTACGTCATAACATATTGTTTTTGTCCTTGAAAATTATGATTTTTGAAGCTGTTTCATGAGATTTTAATATTCCAAGAAACATAATTTTGGGGTGATTTGATTTGGGGTGGTTTATTTTATCAAAGTTGTATGTTTTCATTTTCTATTTTAATTCACTGTATTTAAGAAAAATATAATTTTCAGTGATAGCCTGGTTCATATTGAGGTTTATTTGATGTTGCTGCTTTAGGAGTTGTATGCCTTGGAGGAATGCTGTACCACTCATGCGTGTCGTCCTGCGGCCGATCCTGTCGTAGCCTTGCCAACACTGAGACCTGCAACCCGGCTGACTGTGCAGAGGGCTGCGGATGTCCAGATGACCGTTACTATGACGAAGTGCGCAGGCGCTGTGTGCAGTTGTAAGACTCAGTCATCTCCTATTTGACCTTTTTAAAATAGGTTGCTCTAAAAGCAAGTGAAAAATGGCTTACATCAGTTATTTTCCTGCTTCAGAAAGCATCAAAAATAATGCTATGAATGTCTCATCAGGTCGCAATGTCATTGCTACTCCATGGGCAGTGTGTTGCAGCCAGGGGAAGTAATCTTCAGTGCATCTGGCCCTTGGTAGGTCTCTGCTGCTCCATCTAGATCTGAAAATGTGACAAATTCTTCTCTTACTCTCCTAACCCTATATTTTATACCTGAATACGCTATTTAATTCATTAGAGAAAAAAAATTAATCTGGAGTAATTTTCAAATTAAAAATAAAGCAATGAAACTTACCTGAGATTGAAACATTATTTCCCTTTTATGAACACTTGGCTTTTTCTCTTTAATTTCTCCTTCACCAGCCTGTGCAGAAATGGAAGGATGGAGTGTGAACCAGAAGAAAAAGGTAACCTATCAGCTTCCCTCTACTTACTCCTTTCAGCTCTTGTTCGATCTAGTAGCAACTAGCCTTTTAGGCCTATAGTACATCCAGCTCGTTAAAGTTTCTAAAGTTTGAACTGTTTCTCATGATTGACATCTGCTTTTAGTGAGACAATAATCTTATGTTTATCTGAATATTAAAGAACCAGATAGCACAGAGGTAGGAGAGTGTCCAGAGGGAAAAGTGTATCACAGCTGCACTGAGCCAAGAGGAGGTGTGGCTTGTGCACCGACCTGCCGTAACCTGATGTTGAACCTCACCTGCCCACCTAACACACCATGCATACCAGGCTGTGTCTGTCCTCCAGGGTAATACAAGCCTTACCTTCCTCCTTTTTGTGCTGTTTCTTACTGACACTGATTTGGGAAAAGCTATTCATAACCCCTGAATATTTTCACATTTTCGTCACATTACAAGCCTAAAGTCCATTTTAGTGGGATAGAACAATACAAAGTAGTTCATAGGCATGGAAAGAAAATCAGCCTTGGTTTTCAGACCTTATGCAAAAACACAAAAGGTCCATAAGATGTGTTTCTATCTATGTTCTTTTGTTATGCACACAACTTGATGGAAAGTGCAAAGTTCAAATTAGCTGACATTTTAGTCATTACGATATGTGATAGTTTTAGTCAGTTTTATGTTGTACTCCATAAAACAGCTAATCTTTACAATTTTGAATAACAACCAGATTTTTTTTTTTTTTTTTTACCAGACTGACAGCTCTTGCCTAGTTGTGTTAATCCCTTCATTGTCCCATTATGGGGAAATTCGTTCTCTGTATTTGACCCCTCTCCCCAGGTGCCATTCTGTGGCACCTGGGGAGCAAGGTTTAAGGTTAAGGGCTTTACTCAGGGATTCTGAGTATAGGCTGTAGGGATAGAACTGGGTACTTGCAACCATTTCTCAGAGCACAAGAGCACTGCTCTAACCCACTAGGCAGCACTCTCCTGTTGGCCTAGTTGGTTACTACAATTGATGGAGATACAATGCTGCCGTGCAGTTCATCATTGCTGTTGGGCAGAGAACTGATTTCTAAAATAAAAATAAACTTTTTGCCATGAACTAATCCCCTACATTATAAAAAAGTGTCTTACAAAAGTTGTGGAAATAGAAGGTCTAGTTCAAGACATCATATTAGTTAATATAGCAGATAGATAAGCTAATAAAATGTACAATAAAGGAATGGTTTTAGAAATACAAGGTTTTCATCCAAAAGTAAACACTTCCTTATCTACTATGAGTTATGCATTAGACACAGATCAATAAAATCTTCATTACACCAAAAAAACGCAAAGAACAAAAACATTCTTGTTTCTACTTTGGCAATTTTGCCTTTATTTCTAAAAATGTACCCTTTGGTTAACACTGCTCAGGGGTCAAAGTAGATTAAAATTCATAGGGGTTTGATATAAAAGATAACACAGAGAATTGCCTCGTAATGCCATGGCAATCCGCACTTAAATTTCAATATGTTAGCTAAAATGTTGAAATATTCAAATAGATAGAGACAAGTACTATGAGAGGGAAATATTCAAAGAACTACTGTATGTACATTTCATCTGGGTCTTTATCAAAAAAATAAACAGTATGTAAATAAATATTTGCTTTGGATACCATTTAGGTAGAAATTAAAGAAGGTTTTGCATCACCTCTTGTGAGCTGAAAGAAATAAAATCTTCATAGTTGGAAAAAGTATTTTTTACAATTGGAGGAGGATGATCAGCCCCATATAGTTTATTAAGAAGCGAAGGCAGAAAGAGTCATATTGCTGAGAGCGAACCATCAGTGTGGAGTGTAAAGCACAGACTTGGAGCTAAGCTGCACAAAGACACATTTCAGCACACAGCTGGAATAGTGGAATTTGTTCTATGTTATGTCTCAGCTTTGCCTCTATGAAAGCTGATTTGCGTTTTTGTTACTGATTCTTTCTTGTAGCATAGCTTCTACTTGTTCTTAGAGTCAATGTGAACACCAGTTTTTAAGTCTTTCATTCCCCAAGTTTTAGATTAAATTGATGTCTTCGCTTTGATTATGCCATTCTAACAGATAAACTTGCTTCCATCAAATATCAGGATTCATATACCAATGGTGTTATTTGGGCTGCCTTTAGTGATACTGAGAATACATTTGTCCTTAAAAATTGGAAACCAATCAAACGTTTTAAGTGGATGACAGTGAAAAAGAAACAAATGGTCATAGTCTCGTGCTCTGTTTTTGTTTAACTCTAGTTGGAGCTTAGATCTTGAAATACATCAGAGCATCAACAGTGTTCCATTTTGAGTCTTTAAAGGCAGTAGTAAGTCTGAAAATCTAATCAGTTCCCTTTAGGTTTGGTTGTAGATATTTCTGTCATTATCTGGCTGGAATATACACCTCAGGCAAAGCCTTTTACTTTTCATTTTGTCAGGAAAGGCTTGTATGTAATGTCTTCCAGTTTTCTTTTTTCAGTTCTGGCCCACACCTCTGGCCCTGCTTGGGAAAAGCTTTCCTTAATGACTGTTATAACATTATTTAACTGTGGGGATGGCATGTTAAGGGTTTAATGTTTAATTCTGGTCTCATCTTTGTTGTATCCCCTAGGTGTTGGTTTCCAACTGAATTCATCATTTTTCTGAGCTTTATTTCAGTAAAGGCTTAATTTTGACCACCATGTCCTTCAGTAAAGGCCGAGTTGTGCAATGTTCCACCTTTAGTTTTCCACTTGTCAGATTATCTCAATTTAGCTTTAGATCCTTTGAATTTTGGAGCTCCTCCAAAGTTGCCATTGGTTTATTTTTTAGTTCTCTGATCATCATGGTGCTGCTTGTTCACTAATGTTCTCTTACTGGCATCTGAAAATAAAAGTATATATATATTTTTTATATTAAACACTGACAGACTCACTAAAGATGTGAGGGTACCGATTGCACAAGATTATGTTTAGATAAGATAAAGAAAAGGAGGCTAATTTAAAATGCATGCTATACTCTCCTATTTTTGTTTTGGGAAAAACAAACATATCATTTTCCTTTCAATTTTCAAATAGATTTTTTTCCATATATCCAATTATGTCCAACTAAAATACATTCTGATTCTGGTTTGCTTTTAGATCCAGGGGGTATGAAAGCTTTTATAAATGTGGGAAATTATTAACTTTAATTTGAACAATTTACAGTCATTACAGTCATTTGTCCTTATGACTACTGACGCATTAATTAGGATCCTGTGTAAATTTAATTTGTTCATTACTCTTAGCCAAAAGACATATTGACCCCATTAGATGTCCAGGATTTAAAAGGCTTAACCAACAAGACTTAATTAAATCAGAGGCTGCCTAGAAGCGTATCTGAATCTGTAATCAATTTTAATTAATAAGTGAATGTGTAGCATTAGGTTTTAATGTATTTGCTTGCAGGGTGTGTGCACTCTACCTGTGTTTTATCTGTTTAAAGGCTTGTGCTGCACCAGGGCGAGTGTTACTATCCAGAAAACTGCCCCTGTTCATGGCTTGGGCTGGAATACCTGCCTGGCCAAGTTGTGGAAACATCTTGCTATAGATGGTGAATCTCTCTCATGTACTCTGTTATCTGTAATGTATATGATACATGAATGAGGAAAACTAATATACTGTACAATGTCTTTTTTCACTTTTAATTCAGAAGCAAATAAAGAAAATGTAATTCTCATTTATTTATCTTTGTTATTCTGTTCTCCACTCTTGTGCTCCTGTCCTCCAAGTGTGTGTCATCGGGGCTATTTCAACTGCAGCTACTCACCATGTCCAGCTGTGTGTACTGTATACAGCGACAGACACTATCACACCTTTGATGGCCTTGAATACGACTACCAAACTGACTGCCAGGTCTACCTGCTTAAGGTGAGTCTATTTTCTTTGCATCCTGCATGAGGAAAAGTGATTTCGTTGACGAGTTTGCATTTAGAGAGGAACATCTTAATATTTTCAAACTCAGGACTGATTTAATTCTGAGAAACAAGATAGAAGAATGTTTCTGATTTCAAAAGAGCGAGCTGGTTTTAATTAAAAAGATCATGGTGTGTTTGTGTGTTAGTGAATGAGAGTGCAGCTGGGTGTGGGCCTCAGTAACGCAAGCAGACGTTGAGCAAAGCTGAAAGTGATACAAAGAAACCAGTGTTCACATCAAACCCCAGGGCTCCTGCGCTCCCAGGGATATAGAATTAGAATTAGCAGAACAGACTTTCTGGTTCAGATCAAGCCGATTGCTGGCAAAGGTGCATGCCTTAAAAAGAATAGAGGAGCAGGTCAGAGGTGCCTCTCAATACTACATCCTTGTATAATCCGCTTGAATATATCAAGACTTGATAGATATTTCTGTAATTATTTAAGAATAATACAAATATTTTATCAGCATCTACCCTCACCTGTACAGTCAAAGAGGAAGGAGATGAATTGCAGTAGTAATTGTTTTTTCCAACCTCTTTCACCAGAGTGCTGGAGAAACCGAAGTGTCTATTGTGGCCCAAAACAAGGACTGCTATGAGAGCGGCATTGTGTGCATGAAAATACTGGTTATTCACGTGGGACTTACCAAGATCTACTTCACCGACAACTCTGGCAACCCTGTACTGCCTCTATACAGATATTTCCACAGGATGTAACCAGCATGTTAATCTTTTTTTTTTTTTTTTTTTCAAATCTCCTCCATGCTTTTTATTAGAGTCCTGCTACTGTTGTGGGTCGGGGTTCAGAGTTTGAGCTTTGGAAGGCGGGTTACTACACCGTAGTCCACTTCTCCAGTCAAGATTTGACTATCCTCTGGGATCGTAAGACGACTGTGCATATCAGGGCTGGACCTCACTGGAAGGTAAAAATAGTCAACAACAAATTTATATTTTACAAAAAAATATTGTAAAGGAACAATTTCTTTTTTTTTTTTTTTTCAATCCGTTTTAATTCCCTATATAAAATCCTGTACAACAAGTTTCCTTCAGTAATTAACTAAGCTTTAAGAATATATCACATTAATGCAGCTGCCTTGTTTTGAAACCTGGCTTTAAAAAGGTTTCATGAGGACACTTTAAGCAGGTTTAAATCAAGGAAAGCTGAGCTATAAGAAACAGCAGAGGGGCCTAGAGGAACTTCAGAAATCCATATCTGAAATGGAAGAGGCACACTGACAGCACAACTATTGGTATATGTCAACAGGTGGTGGATGTGGTTGTGGACCCAAACAGAGTACAAGGAGGCAAAGAGGAGTTATTGCTAATTTATTGAAAACCCAGAAACAACGTCCAAAATCAAAATACAGAAAACCAAAAACCAGGAGACATCAGGGAATACACATATGAGGGCAAAAAAACAACAAGATCCCAGCAATGAGGAACTGCACAGGAGCTGTATTTTTTGGGAGACAGAACAAAGAATTGGAAGAAACAAGATAATTATCAGCTGATATGGAGCAGGTGTGCATAGAGGTAACTAGAAGAGAACCAAGAGGAAAGAAAACTAGCACAAGGGGGCACCAGAGAGTAACTCAAAAAATGAAACATAGCTTAAATATAACATAAAATACAAAAGACACAAATGACCAACAAAACAGAATGACATAAATAACTGAAAACTCAAAAAAGAAACTCAAAAAGAAGAAAGCACCATAACCTTATTGTTCTCTACAAATCTAACTTTTTTTAAACAAAAATTAAAGCTTTAACAAAACTTATTTACCGGTAACAATTTTTACATTACATATGGGACAGAGCGAACACGTGAAAGAAGGTGCTTTGATCAGATAACACTATACCGAATCTTTTGATCTATGTCAGCCTAAATACTCGTTTATTTGATTCTTGTTTACTTCATCTTTTCTAAATATATCAATATTTTTTACTTTTGGAATATGATCCTCTTATTTTAATGTCACTTTTATTCTCTTTAATCTATGCCACTGCAATGTACTTTAATTTTCTTCCCTCATGTACAGCACTTTGAGTTGAGATGTCACTGAAATCTACTTTATAAATAAACTTGTCTTGCCTTGGTTGAATCAAGCCTTTTATTAGCCGATCTTTTTAGAGATTATCAGAAGGCCTAGAGCTACAGTAAATGCAGGGAAATGTCAAATAGAGCTCCATTTAAGCTGTAAGCAGGACAATTATCTTCAAATTAAAGCCAGAGATAATTTGTTTAAAATTTAAATCATATTTACTGTATATGTTAGATTTTCCTAGTCAAAGTCTAGACCTAAATCTAATTGAAAGACCAAAGTATAATTAAAAGCAGATTATTTATCCTTTGTATCCTTTAGGGTCTTCTCAGTGGCCTATGTGGAAATTTCGACAGTGTGACAGTGAACGATATGACCACATCCAGCCAAATGGAAGTCAATAACGCACAGACATTTGGAAAGAGCTGGGCCCTGGGACAGGTTTGAGTTAGCTTAGCCTTGCAGCATTGATCTTCCCTCCATCTCCTTTCTTCTCCCCGTCTTTGTCTATAAATGTCTCCTTCACTCAAAACTCTCTCATTCCCTTTTGCTCATGAACTCGTCTCCCCTGAGTCCACCGTGATATTTAAGAGTAATCAGACACTTGATCTCCCTCTGTGTGTGTGTGTTTTTTTTTTTTAGTGTGAAAGTGACTACATAGTTGAGCGACCATGTGAAAGGGACTTAGGGAGACAGCCGTACGCTAAGAGGGAGTGTGCTCTCCTCTACAGTGATGTCTTTGCACCCTGTCACAATGTGGTAAGTGTCACTAAAATAGACACGGAGGTACCAACACATACATTCACTCATGCAGAGGCAATGCTGCTGTGGAAAGGTTATCCTGTTTGTAACAGGCGATAAGGGGTTAGAAAAACGTTATGGGAACAACTCTTAACTGATCCCCAGCAAACACACTTGTTATTTAAGATGAACCACACACCAGATGCTTTCCTCCATGTTATACTGAAGTACTTTTTATTTGTTTATTACCAGTAGATGGAGCTATATTTGCATTTACAGAGATAGTCTTTGGACTAAAATTACTGTGACATTTATTTTTACTTAGATAATCAACCAATTGAATACAAATAATAAAGCTTATTAAGTTTTTCTCCAAGATCACAAAATACAACTTTAAAGTTGATGGTACTTCTTAACTATCAGTGTGGATTTTAATCTATTCCGGTTATGTCACTCCTAAGTGAGAATTATATGGTTCAACAAAAGTCAACAAATGTCTAAGCTAACCTGGGATATACACCTGACACCAGGTATTTACTTGCATTTAATAAAAAAAAAAAAAAGACACAACACTTTTTTCTTTTCTTGTGTTTCAAATCAAGTCATTCCTTTTGAATGTATGACTTGGCTTAAACATTATGAATGTCTTTACACAAGCTTAAGCTTCTCACAATGATTTGCTGGAAGTATGTAACTAAAGGATGTGTCAGTTGTCAGTTTCTTCATGATATTATTATGAAACTTATTCAAAGATGAAACGCTTTAACTACCCAGACCCCAAATCCTTATTTGCACCTGTCTTTGCAAAAAAACAAAACACGCACAGCACGGGCTAACAGCCTTTTGGTTGGTCTTGGTTGCTTTCCAAACTCTCTTTTTATATGGATTTTGAAGTAAAGGCTTCTTCTTTTCTAAGTGGCCTTTCAGCTCATGTTTGGACAGGATTTATTTCACGTTGAAGAATTACACACTTTACTCAACATCCTCGTAAAGTGTCACGCTTTTACTGCAGGCAGACTCGATATTCAGACAGACACAAAGTTACGTTTAAAGGGTTTATTAAAGGGGTGAATAATGGCAGAAGAAGCAGGTAACAGTCAATCTTGGGAGAAGAATCCTGGTTAAAAGTGCTGGTCTGCAGGGATGAGCAGAGAACCAGGAGATGTAAGCGAGCAGCTGAGACTCACGGAGGAACAGGTTGAACTGTAGTATGTAGACACAGGCGATCTTAGCAGGAGAGTCCAGCTGGAAGAGCACTTACAGTATGAGCTAGTGAAATAAAGTCTAATGACATGGAAGAGCAATGAAGAGAGTGAGATGTTCTGGCAGAGATGACTTGGCAAAACTCCAGGACTGTTCTGAATGCTCTCACTGGAACATGTTCAAAGCTGCAGCAACCTATGACAACAAAATAAATATCAATAAATATGCCATGACTGTTTCATCATACATAGACAAATGCATTGAAGACGTCAGCATCAAAAAGAACATCACCATCCGGGCCAACCGATGACCCTGGTTGAATGGGGAGGTTTGGGAATGGCCAAAAGCACAGACCTCAGCATTCAAGCCTGGTAGCCCACTCACGGGGTGGCTTACCTGGCAGATGCAGCTAATGCTGACTTCCTAAACGAACTAAACAATGTCTTTGGAAGGTTTGAGGCACTAAACAGCACTCCAATGCAAACCATTCCCCATCAGGGAGAGGAGCACTCAACCTTGACATTGCTGAAGTGAGGAAAACTCTGAGGAGGTCAACCCAAGAAAGGCCCCCGGCCCCAATAACATACCTGGACGGGGGTACAAGGAACTATGGTTGGGCGTCATCAGAGAAGACGACAACAAGGACTACCGAGAGGAGGTGAAGCGGCTGGTGGACTGGTGCAGAGACAAAAGCCTGACCCTGAATGTGGATAAGACCAAGCAAATCATCGTCGACTTCAGAAAGAACCGGCCTAACAATGCTTCACTGCTCATCACCAGCTCAGTAGTAGAGGTGGTCAGCAGCACCAAATTCCTGGGTGTGCACATCACAGACAACCTCACCTGGACTGTAAACCAGAGATGAGAAGTAACGTAGTACAAATACTTCATTACTGTACTCAAGTAGATTTTTTCCGATATTTTTACTTTAATTTACTACTTATTTTATTGGCGACTTTTTACTTCTACTCCTTACATTTTTACACAAATATCTGTACTTTCTAATCCTTATATTATAAAAAATTGGCTCGTTACTTTAGTTTTGAATAATTTCAATGGAGTTACCGTTATTATTTTTCACGTCATCTATGCCAAATTCAATCTAATTGGATGGGAATCTACGTTGCATTTGATGCACCACTACAAGATGAATCGACAGATTCTGCGGTATTAATTCGCGGCAAATCATTGCAGCTTGGTGGCGGTGGTGTTAGCATAGAGGTATGGACGACGAGATGATTGAAAATGAACACAAAGGAGATCTACAGTAGTCCTATTGGCAGACATCCATTTAAAATGTAGGCAACGGCATGAAAAAAGTGGTTTCTACTTTTACTTTTATACTTTAAGTACATTTACAAGCCTGTACTTTGTTACTTTTACTTGAGTAAAGAAGTTTAATCAGTACTTCCACTTTTACCGGAGTATTTTTTAACACAAGTCTCTGTACTTTTACTCAAGTACGGAAAGTGAGTACTTTTGCCATCTCTGCTGTAAACACCAGATCATTGGTCAAAAGGGTACAAACGCGCATGTACTTCCAGTGAAGGATGATCAATCATGTCCTACTACAGAGCACCATAGAGAGCTTTCTCACCAGCTGTCTCACTGTGTGGTGTGGAGGCTGCAGTGTCTCAGACTGGAAGAAAGTGAGAAGGTGGTAAGAACACCAAAGAAGATAATCGGGGCTCTTCTTCCCTCCACAAGACATTTCATTCCAGCGCTGCATGTACCGAGCCCCTAACATCATCAATGACCCCTCACACCCCCACCATGGAATGTTCTTCCTGCTGCCCTCAGGGAAGAGGCTTCACAGCATACAATGCAGGTCCAGCAGATTACTAAACAGCTTCTTTCCCACCGCCAATCAGGCAGCTGAACTGATGTGAAAACTCTTAATCATGTCACTGACTCCGCATCACACTGATAACCACCAAATTTGTGTACACTCTGTGTATACAAAATTACAATAAAAGTTGTCTAAGTATTTGCAGTGTTTTGCATGAAATTAATGTCACATGTCCAATTTCATGAAATGGTACATATTAATATAACAAAGGCTCCAAAAGCCAAGTCATCACTATCATCCCCTGGGCCTGCCAAGTGAGACCCACCTAACTGACATAAATGACATTACCTGGTTATGAGCTGTTGTCATTATCCGTCTAGAGATGGAAATACCATAACAGGGAGAATGATTATTCCTTGTGACAACCAAGAGCATCCACAACACATTTGGTGCAATTTTAAGGTGATTTTATTCAGTTATAATGAGTGAATGAGGCCAGATTAGGATGCAGGCAGGAGAGACGCAGGTGAAAACAATAATCAAAATTGTTTCAGCACTGAAAGGATCAGGAGCAGACAGGGATGGTACAGACAAGCAGGCTAACTCATAACACATACATTAAATTAAGAAAATGATACTGCATTCTATTTGTTTATCTGCTGCACTCACAAAAACATTTCACCACAAATTTTAAGCTCAATATAATTTTATTACATACCTAATTCTACTTTAATTGAATATAATTTTAAAACATGCCTCTTAAATGAACCTTACATAATGCATAATTATTTGTATATTAAAACTTATTTATTTGAAATGCATAATCATATGGTTTATGTATTTAATTTATATGGTTTATGTTTATGTATTTAGTCCCAATAATATATACTGATTCTAAATAGATAAACCTGACAATTCTGTATTTTTAACAACTAAGCATTATTAAGATAATTAATATGCATCATATGCATTTCTTTTAATAGGTTTGTGATAAAATTATCTAAAAAAAACTAAATGGGAATTTGTTATATAATGTTTGCATAAATCCAAAAATTTGGGTGAAATATTTTTGTGGGTATATACATGTGTGCTTCAATTAGTGCGAGTTGACTTCTAAGTTTTCTGTTCTTGTTTTAGAGGCTCAAACGCTGGGAAAATATGAAAACGACCAGATTAAAGTAGCACTGGATAAAAAATGATGCTTGAGTGAAATGTAAAACTTGCTGTCATAGAATTGGGGTCCAATCTTGCCTGGGGTATTTTGGTTGTTCATCTTAGCTCTCATCTGATATATTGCACTAGAATTCGACCCACATTCTCTTTGTCCTGATATCACATCAATCCCTCTCCCCTGAATTATTAAAAAAACTACTCATCCTGTAAACAAGACCCCCCCAGCCTCTCCCAGCGAGCTTTGGCCTGGTTCAGTCTATGATTATGTGTGTGTTTCAGTGTTTGTGACCATGTATACATGTTGTGCATGCCCTTCAGGTTGATGTGGCCTGGTTTTATAGGAACTGCCTGACAGACACTTGCAGCTGTAACCGTGGGGGAGACTGTGAGTGTCTCTGTACGTCCATTGCTGCATATGCACACAAATGCTGTCAACTGGGGGTCGTGATACACTGGAGGTCTCCCTCTGTGTGCCGTGAGTATGCTCATACATCTAGACTGTAAAATGCAGATGGTTGAATTTTTTAGATATTATCATTGTATATTCTAAAATGTCAGTTTTTTTATTGAATTGGGTATTGGAATGAAAACCCCTGAATGGTTTGCTAATGTAGTTATTTCTTCAAAAGATATCTTTAAGATGTGTCCTGCATGCACATTCAACCTTCAAATATATGCTTTGTATAACAACTTCCCATTTGGATGTTCACACAAGTTACAGTATGCAGCAAACCCATCCAAGCTGGATGAAGGATGGTACTCTTGTACCATAAGATAAAATTGCACATTTATTACCAAAATGCAGTACATCATTTGTGATATAAAAGTAACATTCTTAGAACACCATCCCCTGGGTAAAACATGGTTAAGGCAGCATTGTGCTGTGGAGATTATTATCTTTTGCAAGAGCAGTTTAAAGTTGATTGAAATATGGATGGAGGAAAGTTATTTTCAAAAAGTGTTTTATGCTGCAAAAGATTAAGGACTGGAGTGGAGATTTAACCCCCTGTAGAGCCATGGCTCTAAACAATGTTGGAAAAAAAAAAAAGATTTTCCAATTCTGAATTGATTTTCATATTAGTCACTAAACATGGGTTAATATAACCAAAGATTGATAAGAAAAATGCATTTTCCACTTTCCCTCCAGTAAAGGCAGCATTAACTAGTATTGCTTTATCAATCTGCTGTTGAATGTTAATAAAATCTTAATATTAATATGTTACATGAATATAAACACATGTAATTCAGCTAAAAAATATATTTTTGAAACCATCATTACAGCTTGTGATTGAAAAGAATCTATTCAAAAACTTGAGAATCAAAATCAAATTCATTAATGAAATTTGAAGCGGTGGCTCTAGATAGGGGCCAACAGGGGCCAGTGCCCCTTTAGAACTGGTCTTTCCCTATCTTATGACCCCTTTACCAAAGACATAATTTAATGTAGATTTATGATAATTATCTAATCATATGCACTGGTACAGAAACCAAAACTGATAGGTCACTTGGCCCAATATTTTGATTGTATTTATATTGATGAGATGATGATTTTTATTTTATTGATGATTTAAAGATGAAGTTTTTGCACTTTAATCTTCAGTCATATTGAGATAGAATCAAGGTTATTAACTGCTAGATCTAAGGTTATCAGAGCCACGACTGTCTCTTTAGTTCACTTACTACTGTATACTGTATCAAAGGGTGAACTTTTGTCCTGATTGTTTCATTGTGTTTTTTCAGTGTCCCAATAAAAAATATGCTTGCCCCTCTCTGGAATTTAGTAAATTTGGTCTATAATTGCCACTGTTCAGTTCTACTAAGCATACAGCTAAAGCTACAATGGGCCATTTGAAGTCAAAGCACATCCATGTGCTAGAATTTGCCAGTCAGACCTAAGTTCTAAATCAAATCTGTTGCAAATTTAGTCTAGATGTTTACAGATGTTCTTCATTTAATATCACTGTGCTTGAACAATGTCACTAAACCAATAAGGAAAAATGTGCAAGTTTAGAATATGTATTAATCTAGAAAAATCTAGATTGAAATTGCTCATTTGAATTCTGCCAAAGGCATTCATGACATGTGTGTGCATCCCACTTTACCCACATTCACCCAAGTAATCATCAAGAAGCAAACATAATGTTGTGGTAATCATTCGTGGTATCGTGGTAAAATGAAATTTTAAATTACATAACAGAGCCTACTTAAAGCGAAAGAGTGAAGTTCCCAGCTGGCATCGATGAGGTGTACAGTAACGCGATGGTAGTTATCAGTATTGACAGATGTCCGTGGTCCCCCATCAGTGCTACACATTTCGCCTCTACCAACTTCTCATCTTTCGCAGCTTTCTCCGCTGGTCATGTATTCTCCTCATGATAATTCATCTTGCAGGTATTTTGTAAGACAGGTCAACTGTGGCCGGTTAGAGAACAAGCTCGAGCCTATCATCTTCAACCACGCTGATGGGTCGGCAGCTGGCGGCAATCCACTAAGCGAGGAGATTAGTTAGCTTAGCTGATAGAGCTGTGCTGACGAGCTTGCCTCGGTTGAACTCAAACATTGTAGTTTGACAAACACGACTCTTCCCCTGCGACGGACATCTTCCATATTGGCTAAGGGATGCTTTGTGTTTAAGTGGTATTTGAGGCTGGAAGAACTTCTGCAGTAAACTAATTCCGCATTGCAAAAGCTACAAACATCTTAAATCTTGTCAAAGTTTCCACTGGGAAGCTTCTTAAAAATACAATTTCCCTGAAGCAAACCCAGAGGCTTTATAGCTGCATCCATGTCAGCATGTTACATTCAATGTGGTTATTTCGCAGTAGTCCTACAGAGGTTGAAAGATTGATTCGTTCTCGCCCACAGATATACATCCGTGCCATATATACATCTACGCTAAGATATCAAGGTGAAAGTCATCATAGCTTACTTACAGTACACTGCTTCATACATTGTTTTCATCTCTTTTTGGTCTGCATTGTCTTTATCATGTTTAATAATGGTCTCTAACAAATTTCTGAGGCCTTCAAAGAACTGCCACATTGAATTATACACAGCTGGGCTCATTTTGTCTTGTGTTGGATTCTGTTTGAAGGTATCAGATTTAAAGTGGCTGAATACAGATGCCAATCTAACTTTTCAGGTTTTCCTTTAGCTTTCCTGGAAATACATATCGTGGCTGAAAAACATTAATGATTATTTATATTAAAGAAATGTATCTACTTATCCTAATAAGACACATTAAAGTTTGATGTTACAATGTAAGTTTGCAATATATTATTAGCTTTATAAAACTGTGTGAATTCTAGATGTTATTACTTCTTAAATTTAAAATATTTCTGTGCTGTCTCTTTCAGCCTATGATTGTGAATACTATAATCAAGGTGCGTACAATGGAGGATCTTCTATTTTTGTTTATGGGTTTATATTCTTTCCAGAGGGCTTGTTATCATACTCATTTCCTGTTATCATGTTTCTTTTCCCCAAAGAGCTTGGAGATGGCCCATTTTCCATGGTGAGTGCTGCCTTTAATGACACCTTGTTTGGAGTGAATCGTACCAGCAGCTCAGTGTTTCCACTTATAAGAGAGAGACCAGGACAGTTGCCAGTTCCAGGCATTCTGTTCAACTTTATGATCACTGCAGGCTTGTGGAGGAACAGGACATCACGTGAGCATCGGTCATCCTTAAACTGAAACATTGTTTATTTGGACGTACATTAATCCACTTGTTTTGGCTTCTCAGGTGTTCCTGTGGTTTCTCTGGAATCTGCAGAGAGGCCAAACTACTTTCTCACAGTATCAGGTCGCAGCCGTCTTCAGTTGGAGCAGTGGAGTCGAGGACCAGAATTTGGTCGCAGAGCCACCTTCATCCAGCACCAGGGGCTGTTTCTACCTGGATACACCTCATTTGAACTGGTCAGCCACCCTGGAACCTTTCTGACGCTCACACATGGAGCAGCTCGGGCCCAGAAATACAGCACCTCAGAGGGCTTCAAGGCCAGCAGCAGCTTCACACTAGAGGGTTAGAAACATAAACATTAATCCAACTAATGAAACTATACAAACTTCTAAAAAGTACTTTAAAAAGTATTAGAACATTATCTTGAAAAAAAAGAAACTAATCATGTTTGGCTTGTTGCACCAAACATTTAAAAAAGGTATATAACTCTTTAGCCAATAGTTAATCTACTCATTAGTATAGACCTTGAATCTCTTCACTATGTCTCATTTAGTTACAAAATAAAACACAAATTTATTGACTTTCAGCCTTGCTGACAGCTAAATTGAGGTAAAAACTCTACTTCTATTATATGGAACTGGTTTGACTTTTCCCCAACTGACAGGGTGCAAACAAAAATAACTTGCAACGTTTGCTCAGGAAAAGTTCGCATGTCGAATAGCAACAAAACGAACTAATCCCTTGAAGAGAAAGTAACACTAGCATATTTCTCCAATTGTCTAAGGGTCCCCTCTAAGTGAGCAGATAAATAAGTTTATGCACATATAAACATTTCACACAAGCCTAAAAACATCTTCATTCATACAATTATTAACCATAGCCCACATGATCACAATAATTTAAAAAATATATCTAAAACAATCTACAGTAACTAAGAGTAAAGGTTGACGTTACCACGTTTCCTCTATCTCATATCTTTTTTAAAAATGAATGCACATGATTTTGCACTTTTTGGTTCTGTTTAAGTTTTTTTTTCATTTAAACTTTGATTCATGTCTTTCTATGTTTTCTAGTTTACTGGTTTCATTTCCATTTTGTGTTAGTTTTATTGTTTTTAGTTATATTTTTTTATGTTCTTTAGTATTTCTTGTGTACCCTCCATTTCCCCCTTGTGTCATTCTCCTTCCTCTAGCTTCCTTCTAGATGTTTCCATCCACATCTGTTCCTTGTTAGCTTATTAGCCCAGTCTTTGTTCTGTCTCCCATATATACTCTTCCCTGTGCAGGTCCTCAGTGTTCAATGTTTCTTTGCTCCTCATATGTTTTTCCTTGACGTTTTCTAGTTTTTGGTTTTCTTTATTTTGTTATCTTTGCATAATTGCCTCAGTTGCTGCTTTTTGAATTATTTAAACTGCAAGAAACCACTCCAGCTTCCATCTCTATCAACAAATATAAGCAAGCAGAAATAAATGAATATTGGATTAGAGTGATCATGTCAGCCAACACTATGATTATCCTGATGGCTTTTTTTCTGCAGCATGCATAGGGATTAGAGTGTTCAATAGGTTTTACCCCAGACTTACAAAAGAGGGTTTAAGATGAAAAATTAAATATGACAAATTAAATACGATAAAAAACATTAACATTGGGAAGTATGATATAGAGCTTGGAATCATCCTGTAATGAGAGCTGCTAGAATAAATTCCTTTTGCACAGGATAAACATTTCAGGGTAAAGCGGGGGGCCCTGAACTACTGTACTTCCAACCATCAATGGCCAATATAATAAAATTTTTATTTTCATAAAAATGATTGCAAATAAGTACTGCTTTTTTCTAAAGTAACATATTTTCATATTATTGTTTTCTTCTGATTATCAACTGCAGTATTAGAAGATTACCTCAATCTGTCATTCATTCTGAATGGACACAGCTTCTTTAAAGTTTATCCACTCCCCCAAGGCTAGCTGCACTGCAGGTAGACAGGAAAAAACAAAACATAATTTTATCCTGGGTCAGGCAGCAGCTCTGTCACTTAAACTTGAATTGGCAGAGGTATGGCAGCATTTACCTAAGGAACGGTCTCATGCTGTTGGAACAGCTTAACTTTGGATTGCTCTCACCTGCAGAAAGTCTGCTCTCTTTGCAGGCATAACTGCTTGTAAGTGCTTCTGTCAAGGATGTGTTGTCTATCTTTGTTTGATAAAGTTGTAAATAGGCCTGGAGAAACAGCAGTTGCAATGTTTTGAATGTTTCTGATGTGAATTCGAGGCCCGTCCACGGCTACACCAATAGGATCAGGACAATCCTGCAGTACCGCCTCACCTGCTTCAGAAAGATTTTGACCATAATATTTTGTGCTCATATCTAAACATGTCACAATATTAGAAGTCTATAAATGGGAACAATTGTGACTGGAGCAGGTATGGAAAGCCAAAACTGCATAATATATTAAATATATTCAAAAGGGACAATATTTCTGTTGGAAATGTAAAAATATATATATATTTTATTTGCAATGCATGCATTAAATTAATAAATATATATTTTTAAAATCTAAATAAATAGATAAGTAAAGTTTTATTTATCTAAGTAACTATTTAACACATTCTGTTAGCAGGCCTGAGTTGAAACATGATAGAAAAAGACGTGCTAGACATGTTACTTCATGGAGTCAAGTATTACTTTTCCCCCTAAAGCAGTGGGAATCCCCTGATTAAAGAGTTGGTAACAGCAGAAAGTCTTTCCCAGAGCTGTATGCTGGATTACACCACTAAAAACAGAGAGCTATTTCACAGTTAGCCTCCACCGCATTCAATTAAAGTGGCAAATAGTTTGACATCATGTCAGACAACATATGCTGTCTTTTAAAGATAGCTTTAGATTTCTGTGCATGGGAAGTCATTAGTGTGTCTCATATTTTTTTTTTACTTTATTCATACAAGAACCTAATAGGTTACCAGTTTTGTAATTTATTATAAATACTTTTAATAATATGCAAGAAAAGAGGCTTTTGTTATTCAGTTATTATTTGATACAGTTATCTCAATATTTTCAATTTATGATTCTATATCATAAAAAATCAGCATATTGTACAAAAAAAATCTACAGTAGCCATTCATGTTATGAAAAAACGTCTCGATCCACAAGAAAACTCAGGTCTTAAAGAAAATGCCTGTTTATCATTCATTGTTAGTTAGTTGATAAGATAGTTGATCAATTGCAAATCTAATATTTAAAGATGCCTGAGGTATATGGAGGACCAAAATGTAACATTTTACTCAGAACTGTAAGGCCGCTAAAATGTCTGTATATGTCTGTATATATGAAGAACTGCATACTACTTAGATGTAAAATAATTGCCATCATGGCTTTGTCAAGCTGCTTCCTACCTTTGTGAAGCAGGAAAAATACTAATACAAAGTGAACCCAGTAGAACATTTTATTGCCTACCTGGAATGGGTGACAATAGTTTAATACAATTTTGGCTCTCAAAATAGTATCGGTGCCCTATTGGTTGGTACTCGCCGTTACAATACCACCACTTTAGTTCAGTATCGGGGCCCTTACTGATAATAGTATCAGTATCGGTGCAACACTAATTATTAGTATAATCATTATTATCATCATTATTAATTATTATTATTATAAGATAGTCTCCTTTTAACCTTTTATGTTTTTAATGATCTGAAAATTCTTATTTCTATTAATTATATTTCCTTGTTATATAAGTATTATGTCTTCTAAAATATTTTGCAAATGTTGGCATTTTTTGAAGATCTATTTCTAGCTTAAATATCCTAATGGCTACTAGGTTCACTGTATCTGAACATGTGCATGCTGGGCACAGAAAGTATAACTGATATGTCTTTCATGTGTTACTGTAGACAGTCCTTTTATAATACCATACCGCATGATGTGTGAGTGGCGTTATCAGGCTTGTGCGAGTCCCTGCGTCCACACATGCAGTGATCCAGACGCAACACGCTGCCAGTTCCTGCCTCCGTAAGAACCTTGTCTATGCATTGGTCTAAGCTTTACAGCCAATGCAATTTACGCTCAGGTCTGGCAATATAACTTTGTGTGTGTTTCAGTGTGGAAGGCTGCTTCCCTCGTTGTCCTAAGAACATGGTGCTGGATGAAGTCACAAGACGCTGTGTCTACACAAAGGACTGTGAGTTTTAAAACAAATTTGTATTTAAATTGTATTAAATATATATATATATATAGTTTATGGTACAATAAAGTGGATTGAACTGTCTCCTGTAGGTGTTACCTTTCCCTCAACTCCGACACCCTTTGCGTATGTAACTCGTTCCAACCGAACCACTACACCACCAGCAACCCCGACCTCAACTCCTGCAAGAGCAACAACAACCTCCTCCACTACTGTTAGTCCTACAACACCTGCCCCCACCACCACCTCAACAACTGTTCCCACCACAACATTAACCACTGAACCAGTCACTACTCTGCTTACATCTCCAACTGTATCACCATCTCCTTCTACAACCACTGCTGCTTCGACTACACCTGAGACTTCAACCTTGAGTACAACTATAATGACTCCCATTCCAACCACAGAGTCTCCCACCACAGTGCCTACTACAGCCCCTCCTGTCACTCCTAAGGTTACCACGCCAACTACTCCTCCTCTGACCACCCTGCCACCTACGACCACGGTCATCACAACTGTCCCCACCACAACTTTACCTGAAACCACCACCACACACACAACTACTCTACAACCAAACGAGACAACCCCCACAGCGATTTTCATCCAAGTGGAAACAACCACAGTGCTTCCTTCTACTGAGCCGCCCACTGTTCCCAGAACAGAGATAAACACAAGCCCTGACAGGTCCCTTGTAACAGAAGAAGTATCAACCAGGGCTCCATGGCCCACTGGTCCATGCACAGTAAGTTTTACTTCTGTGAGGTTTATAGCTGTAGGGAAACAGAACATCTGGAGCAGAAGCAATGCCACACAAAACCCATGTTTGATGAAAGATATGATGTATTTAATGATCCAGTAAAAGAATAATAAATTCTAATTTTAAGTCTTTAACATCTTATTAATGAGGGGAAGTTACTAACACCACAGTATCACTGTGTATTCCCTGGAGATCCTAAACCCTTACTTTTACTCTTGATATTTTTAAAAGGTTGTGGCATATCCAACCTCAGGATGTTCCTGGATAGATTGATGTTAAAGGTTATAAAGGGCAAATTGCATCCTTACTACACTCCCTTCATCCTACTGTTATCACATTATTCGCCTGCTCTATTTTGTTCACTTGCAGCATGAATTCATTTTTGCTTCTTACATCTCTGTACCTAATCAAAACCCCAATGAAACTAAAGAAAACTAACTTTGTGTCTCCTTCCAACTGCAATAGCACCCACAACAAAGAGCTACGTTAGTTTTTATTTGTAATGAAGTAAAGGACTTAAAAATATCAGATATTTGCAATTGAAACCAGTTGCGCTCTATTCAGAGTTAGTAAGTTAAAATGTATGGTATTATTGTTATCAGATAATTTCTTGGTATAACTCCAATTCAATACGCCGGTATTTATTTCTATTGATGCAAACCTGCTGTGAACCAAAATCTGCATTATATATATCCTGATTCCTTTCATTTAAGGTACAAGAGAAGAGACTTAGACAACATTTATTGTCATTTTGTATACACAGTGTATAGACAGAGTGTATATAAAATTAAATTTAACGAAATAATGAATGTTAACTCTGTGCTTTCTCTGAGGGTCAGTGCTTCTAATATTAGTTTTCGTGAACAGCATGTAATCAGCAACACTATAAAAGAAATCACACCTCTATAAATTTAGCATGATAGTTGATTTATGATTTTGTGCTTGGTCACATGCATTTGTTAAAAATGCTGTTATGCCAAATGGAGCTTTAAAAAGTTTCTTAACAAGAAAGATGATTACTGTTTTAAATACTTGGATACATTTTGCAAGTCATTCAAAGTAAGGATCACAGCAATGTATTGTAAAGCATGCACTAATTTAGTGTAATTTCATATCTGGGATTTTACAACACATTGTTATATAAATACAACTATATACTGTATCATTACACCTTTAACGACAAAGCTATTACTGTGATATTACAGTAGATTACTGGGGAATTAAAGATTTGATGTACATTATTACAATTCATCAGTCACACTTTAATATCATCAGTGTCATTCAACTATTCAATCAGCTGTCTCACAAAAACAGTAAGAGGATTGGACTGCGGCCTACGTGGGAAGATAAGAGAGGAGGGGAGAGAGAGAGATGAACCGATGTGGTAAAGGGTTCAGGTACTCCTCTAGACTCAAAAATTACAATGAGTCCACACACACCAGTGCAACGTCTTTAAAAAGTACAAGAACTAGGCGTCTTAAAACTGAGCCTCAAAATTACTGCTGATGCAAAAAACTAGGATTCCCAATCAAAGTCAGTAGGTTTCCATAAATGCATAATGATATAGGTTATGAAAATGTTGTCCAACTCTGCCTGCATGCTGTATCTGTCATGTTGAAACAGAGATAGTAATAAAGCTGCTCACTGCTTAGAAATGAAACCATTATATAATAAAAAAAAAAACTGAGCCTGTTTTTTTTGTCCGCAGCCCCCATTCTCCTTTCGTATTGATGAGTGTGCTGAGCTCATTTGTTTTAATGGAGAGCTGCTCTTTCACAACTCCTCTCTTCACTGCCGCTACAACACGGCCCCACCTCAGTGCAGTCTGCTGGGCCTGCCGATCCTCATCAACACAGACCCCTGCTGTCCTCTGTGGCAATGCCCATGTAAGTTTGTTCTAAAGCTAAATAGAATAATGACTGAACAACCTTTTACTGACAGCACTCATGTTTGCTTGTGTCAGGTCGCTGCACTTTGATGTCAGACCTGCGCATAATCACATTTGATGGTAATAACGTGGCCTTGTATGACAATGGCTCATACATCTTAGTGAGTCTGCCAAGAGAGACTATTATTGCCACGGTGGATAAATGTCCAACCAGTCAGGTAAATGAAAAGAAAAGATGAATTTCAACAAGTAAGAAATATACTTTTAAGAATGGATTTCTGGTTAATCCTTTGCTTTATTTTTTAGAGTGTAAACTCCATCAGAAGACCTGTAAGTGCACTCCCTTTTTTACTAGCAACCTTATTATTCTTTTTATATGTTGTATCTTGGCAAACACATTTATTTATTTTTTTGCATAAATCCTCATTAGTTCATGAAAAAAGTTTTGAAACTCATCAAACCTTCTCACATGTCAAATTATAATCACAAATCTAGGGTGCTTGATTTAATTGTTGGTTGGTAGGCTAACAAAAGGGCAAAATTCTGGTTTGAAAAGAAAATAATTTAAAAAGGTTCTCTGAATAAAAATGTTTGGTACCCTTTACTATATTACTACTTTATGAAACTGTATTCACGTGTGTGGTTAAAACCAATAAATAAAAATTGGCCTTCTGTGACGTTTTCAAGATTATCAGCTTGCCTTGTCCCGACCGTTATGTATGTTGGTGGGGGTATCATGCTGTGGAAAATTCAGGGTGATCCTAGAAGAAAACTTATTTGAAGGTTCTAAACATTTATCGGTGCTTAAATCATATACATGTATTGGAATATCCTATTCAAAGTGGATTAGTTCAACTCATAATTTGTGAGGAGACTTAAAAATTCTTATCTTATTTTACACAGTGGCTCTTAAAACTCTCCACTCTCCTAGTCAAATCATTCTCCAACAGTAGTTAAATAATAATAATCAGTCAGTTCTGCAACATCCTGCCAAAGGGGGAGACTGAGTACAAATACAATCCACACCTTTCAGATACTAATAACTGAATGATAACTATGCATCATTCTCCACCACTGCCAACGTGTTTTTATTAAAGATATGTATACAAAATTAAATGCAATATTTGGATGTAACATGAAAACATTGAGATGGTTTAATGAGCTTGAGTAATTTTATGAAGCACTGTAAGAGTAATTGAAACCCTAACTTCCATTTTCCACAGAGTCCTACAGGTGGAACATCTGGTCTTTGTTTTAAGAAGCTGAACATCACTACTTCCAACTACAGAGTCATCATCAACAGACTTGATCGCAAGGTGCCGCTTTGCTAAAATATACGAGCAAAAATGGGATTTACATTCATAAATTATATTTTGAATGTGTTTATAGGTGACGGTGAACTACAGACCTGCGAAGCTCCCATTCTCACGTCAGTCCCTTTACGTGGAAGATACAGGGAGCATGTACCTAATCCACACACCTGGCAGCATCAGTATACAGTGGTATCATAGCACAGGGATTATGGTGCTGCAGTACAACGCTCCTAGTCATGAATTTGTGCCCACTCGTGGCCTTTGTGGTGAGTTTTCACACACACAAGCACACAAACCATGCTCATCAGCACCAACCTCATTTATCTAAGTGCTGTTTTTCAGCACCTAAAGGCTTAACGTCTGCATGGCTGGATCACTTTGACTCGAGCCATTATGGGATGTGACAATTTGAGATTCTAAAAGCCATTTAGTCGCATTACACAGTTTCAGACAGGCAATTATCTCACCCCTAGCTTTCTATTGCTCACTGTCTAAGCAGCAATGAAACTTGAATGCACCAACAGCACCAAAGCAGCTGTCTGCCCAATCTGCCAGGTTGCTGTGACGGGAATCCAGAAGATGACCTGAAACTGCCGAATGGCACGGTGGTCAGGGAGGTAGGAGACATGATGCTCTTTCTGCAGGCGTGGAGAGTCCAATTGACGGATGAGACCGAACACACACGCAGGGTTGGAGACAACTGCACCACAGGGGACTGCTCCACCTGCCTCTCTATGCTTAGCCAAAGAGCCTTCACACCATGTCATAGCAAGGTACTATCGAGGCTGCGCACAGTATTTCTCACCTCTGGTTTTGGAGCTGGTGCTGACTTAGTTAACGTCATCTGAGTTTGATTTATAAATTGGATTTATTAGCTGATAATAGATTTTTTTAAATGTATCTTAGCTAACTAACTGCAACTTCTGTTGTTTTTTTTTTATTAAATTTAATACATACATATTTTTCTAATGGCAAAGTATTATTTTTATTTTTTTTATAGGTGCCTCCAGAGCAGTTCTGTGACATCATGTGGGCGGGAGATCTGCATTACAAGCATCACCAGTGTGATTTTCTGGCAGCTTACGTAGCAGTTTGCTACACACATCAAGTCTGCATCAGCTGGAGACGACACAATTTCTGTCGTAAGAACACAGTGACAAAAAACTAGTAGACAGTTAACTTTTAACCTTTTTTTCTCCTTAAACTTTTTAATGTTCAAACTCATTCATACTAGTTAAAAACCTGAATGTACTGTATATGCTTTGGATTTCATGAGCAGAATGGCCTAAGCTCACCATTATAACACAAAAAAAATTTAAATATACGTACATTTGCATGCGTCACACAGTGCATGTGAAGCAAATATGTATTTTAGTTCAATTCTGTAAGATGGGTTGCAACTATGCTTCTTAGAATGCAAAGGATTATGGGGAATCGATAGCGCCCCTTGTACCAGATAGGAACATTGGAAAGTCCCTATGTGAAATGAACTATGCATAGAAGGTACCCTGCTTCCTTTTTCTACCTCCTTCCTTACTACCATCACTAATGGGACAGTACTTCTGACAACCCAGGAACCACTTCCAATTTGGCTTAAGAGTCCTTAATAATTTGATATATTTGAGAAGCCATGTCATGGTTGGAATCAGTTAAAGTTAGTTCTGTATTTGCACTAAATAATAAAACTCTTAAAAACAAATCCACAGGGCAATGCAAAAATGTGGCCCAAGAATATCCTCTAGGGCTTGCTATGAATTTTAGCATCAGTAATTTTACAAAAACAGACTTTATTTTACAACAATAAACAAAAATTAACATACTGAGAATACAAAAGAAATGGGTGTTACAAAATTACAAGAAACAAAACAGAGATCTTATACTTCAAATACATAAAACATGTCATAATGTTTGGTGTGAACGAGATATTTGTTAAATACTTGAAAATGTGAGACATGATGGTAGCTGCATAATGGAGCGGGGATGAGTTACGGTACTTTAGCAGGAACAGGGAAGCTCTGACTCTGACAGGTCACAGTTGATCAGAAGATGGATGGAGCTAAACACAAAGCAATTCCGGAGTTGTGTGTTAGAACGGTTCGGTCAAAGTTTAAAATAATCTAATTAAGAGTTTATTAAGAATATTGATCTACAGAAGCATGTCTATATCAGTTTAATCTGACTCATCTTAAGGTAGTGCATTCTGCAGTAAACCATGAGCAAACATCTCTACATGCGAAAAGCTGGTAAACAGATACACAAATCACCTTAAACCAAATATTGATTACGACTTACACAAAACACTCACAAGGAAATAATTTTATTTATATGGTTTTAGTGTGATTTCGTGTGGAAAGGTTAAAGTGGTATGAATACTTTTGCTTTTTTTGTGTTTCCCTAATTGCTCACAATCCTGTCATCTTGCAGCATTACGTTGTCCGCCTGGTAAAGAGTATCAGCCCTGTGTGAGCACCTGCAACAGCCGCACTTGTCTGAACAAAGACTACTATGAGGAAACCACCTGCTCTTTCATCAGGGAGGAATGTGTGTGTCGCAGTGGAACCATCCTGCACCGAGCTGACTCCCCCTACTGTGTCACAGAAGATCAATGTGGTGAGTGGAAAGGATTTTAAAAGCATACCTTTTGTCATTAAAACCACACTATGCAAAATTCAGCTTTAGTTTTGGGTTTCATAAACCCTTACACTCCCAAGGATTGAAAATGTTGTATTTAATGAGCTGTGATTCATTTAGTCTGCACAGACAACGATGGTAACCCTCGGGCTCCTGGCGAGGTGTGGAATGGATCTGCTCGAAGCTGCTGTCTGTACAAGTGTATGGAGAATGGATCTGTGGTGGCTGTTGAACCAGACTGCAGTGCAGTCCCAACACCGCTTTGTGAGAGGGAGGGGGAGTATGTGCTGGATGTCCTGGAGGAAGGATCCTGTTGCCCCAAGAAGATCTGTGGTAAATTTGTCATCAAAGTCATGTAAAAAGATTAGCGACAGTTGGTTAGCAATAATCACCTTTAAGCAAATTTTCATATTATCCTCTTAATGTTATCCCATTTTTACTTTGCTTGTCAGAATGCAACATGACCATATGTGACAGTGAAGCTCCGCCTTGTGATAATGGAAACAGGCTGGTCATTGGTTACAGCGCTCTGTCCTGCTGCCCAGAGTATCGATGTGGTAATAAGAAAATTTAACTGACTTCTTTTCAAAATTCAGTTTTCCAATTATGTAATGCAGTTTTGTATATCTGTCAAACATTCCTTCTTAACTAGAGATTGTCACTGAGAATGTAGAGAAACCATGAATAACACCACAAAAATTCTCCTGATATAATTTAAATGATCAATTTTTAATTCCTAACTTCAATTCCCTGTTTAGCAACCAGAAAAAGTAGCAGCCAAATACCAATAAACAAGAGTCTCCTGGAAGTATAATAATAATACATATACATGCTACTAAGTGTGTGTGAGTGGCAGCATTAAAAAGTGTGGCGTTATATTAATGAAGAAAATAACCCCTTGACTTAATTAATTAGTTGCAATAGGATTAGCTCATGCAAAATATGGCACCACCATCAAACCCATATTGAGAAGAACCAGTCTTGAGGTAGTATACCAGCAGAATAACTTTTCAATGCATTGAATCAGAAATCATACACTTGTTTATCCTTCCTACTTTTTAAATACAATGTTTCAACATACGCCTACCTCATTTCCTTCTTTCTTCTTGATTTACAATAACAAAACATCACTTTATTCTAGATCCGCCAGAGTTAAGAATAATTGCAATTGTTACTTTATTCATTTTTGATTTACTTACATTTCAATCCATTAATGTAATGAATATCACTAACTGAACATTAACCATTACCAAATTAGATAATTAAAATTAAAGTGCAGTGGAAAAACTCAGGTGAAACAAATTCTGTTAGCTACACCTAACTTAGCACCTTAGCAACTACACCTAACAGCCTAGTAGTACAATGCAGACAGAATATAATGAGAAAGATAAGAAAATATTTCTTATGTGGTTTATAAAATGGAGTATCAGACACAATATATTAGTCAACGGGTTTTTAATTAGCTTTTTTTAATCATATGTAAGTGCAACCCAATGAAAAGAAAATCATAATATTGATATTAAAGGTCACAGGTTTGATATTTTTATACCGAATGAAAATACCGGGAGATCATATTAAGTAAGTCTATGAAAATTAGATTAAAATTCATGAAGAAACACCTCATCCAGGGAGAATTTGGGGTTATAGATGAGACTCTTCTCAAGGCAGCATGGACTCCTCACAATCCCTGAGAAGAAGAAAAGTTATAATAGATACTGTATGGTCGCAGTGCCATGTTGGTGTTAATGAATGTTTTAGATGAAATAAAGAACAAATTTAATATAATATCCTTAGTGTAACCAAGCATAGGAATGAATTAGGAAATAAGCAAACTAAAGATTGAACTAAAATGGTAAGAATAAGAATTTAGAAACAGGAAAAAGTATAAAAGACAATATAAAGAAAGAAAATGAACATGTAATAAACTAATTATAACAGGCAAGTTACTGGCTGCAGACAATTGTTTTTTTTTATCCATCATTTACTTACCGTATCTTCCTCAGAGTGTGACCCCATGGCATGCCCTCCTGTCTTTGCTCCTGACTGCAGGGAAGATCAGTTCCTCATTGAAGTCAGGGGTCAGAAATCCTGCTGCTACTCTTATCTTTGTGGTAAGTTGTAATACCTGAACCCTGTGTCAGGTTGGCTGAAAGGACTTGTGTCATTATCCTTCTATACATTAGAGCTGTGTAACTGTTCATTTTCTGTCTGGGCAGTGTGTGAGTCATGCATTGAGCCCATTCCAACTTGCTCTCATGGAGAAATTCTGGCTGTCAATCCAAACTCCACCAACAGCTGTTGTCCTCAGTACCATTGTGGTAAGCGTTTTGGCTTGTGTGGGTGTTTGAATCTGTCTCTTCAGTACAATGTTTCCTCCTTTTTTCCCGCAGTGTGTGATGTTAATCAATGCCCTAAATCAACCCTGACCTGTGCACCTGGTCTCTCTTTGGTTGAAACTGCTGCTCCCGATGACTGCTGTCCCCAGCATCACTGTGGTAAATGCATGCTCACATATGCATGTTATTTGTTACTCGACTGATGCCTGAAATTGTCTCACTTGTAATGCCTGACACGTAGTCATAAAGTGTCACATGACTGCTCTCTTTAACTTTGTTTCCCATTTGCACAGAATGTCAATGTGAGGACCATGCTCTCCCTATATGTCAACTGGTAAGTAAGTGAAACGCTGCATCAGAAGTCACTCTGATGCAGAAGTTCACAGTTAAGTAAGCACTTTGTTCTTCCCTCAGGGGGAGATGCTCGTTGAAGTTCCAGAGAGCAGCTCCAGCTGTGGATGCCCTCAGTATACATGCCGTACGCATGACCTTCTTCAAAAAATCTTAACCCTTTTCTCATGTGCATCATATTAATATGTTGTATCTTTATTTATGGTCATTTGTAGAGAAGGCTGAAGTGTGTATTTTCCAAGGAGTTACAGTTCTGGGTCCAGGCCAGTCCCTGGTACAGTATTTTGAAGGAGAACTGTGCTACACTGTTCAGTGTCTCCCTTACAAAGACCCACAAACAGGCTTCTATGCAATGGATATAACTTCGGTTAACTGTTCCCAAAAGTGTGGATCAGTATGTATTATCCATCCGCTGCACAAAATAAAATGGATCACATTAATATTAAACAGTTTCTTTATTGTATTGGACTTTAAAACTTCTTCTGTTTGTCTTTGGATTTAATTCTGGTCTTAGCATCAGGTGCACGTCCCTTCTACGGACCCTCAGGTGTGCTGTGGCTCCTGTAAAAACATCTCTTGTACATTTACCAACGAAAATGGGACAGCAGAGCTTTTCACTGTATGAATAAACAGAACCATCTACATTCACAGCTTATTCACTGCTTAGCTCTAAAATGTACTTGTGTTTGTATGCAGGCAGGGAGCTCCTGGGTGGAAAACTGTACACGTTACGACTGCATTGAGACGGCAGTTGGGGCAGTGATCCTTGCATCTGGTGTCATCTGCCCTCCATTTAATGATTCAGAATGTATTCAGGTTAGAGCCCCGTAATCTACTATACTGAATGATTCTTTTAACAACATTTCACCTTGTGTATTACTTCTTGCTGGTAAAGCCTAATTAATTGGCACCCTTGGTTGAGATGTGTAAATTCTTAAAATCAGCTCATATTGTATTGCACTTTCATCAACTGATTTATAAACAAAATATTTAGTGAGGAAAAGGAATAAGAAATAATTCAATTGAGCAGAATTACAGTTCCTGTGAGTAGTGGTACCCCTCAGCATCTGTCACTTTCTTACTTTTTGAGCTATAATCAAGACTTGATAGAAATGCCTATTTGCTCAAGTTCTCTTCAAAATTTGATAGGCCATTCATGATCCACATACTGTAAGTGAACATGGCTAAGTTATAGGGAAACTAGTGATTGAAATAATACAGATGTTGTTGTCATTTACAGAGCAAGTTCCCATAAGAGTAAGTTTGTTTGATAGAATAAAGCGTTTAATGATATCCATACATCTATAATGTACATCTATAATGTATGGATATGCCATGATTGGACGTCAGTAAATGGTTTTAGAATCTACGTCTAAATCAAAGACACAGAATCGTTCTTTTTATTCAATAATATCATAAAAGGCTGATAGATCATTATACGTCTTTTACTATGAATTCATATAGCTGGAAGATAATATATACTTTCCTTAAAATACCACCTCGGGGTCATCAAGTCTCATTAACCTTAATAAGATCAACTGTTTTACAAAATTAATAAAAAGAGAAACCTTTTAGTCCTACCATCACAAACATATTTGTGTTAATTTTGCTAACTGCAATTTATGCACAAATTTGTATCTAAAATCATACTTTCCCTAAACTGTATATTCAGTTCAATTCAGTTTATTTATATAGCGCCAATTCACAACACATGTCATCTCAAGGCACTTTACAGTTCACCAGATCATACAGTCAAATTGATTAAAAGTTTTCTATCTAAGAAAAACCAGTTGATTCTATCGACTCATTGACTGGAATGCAATCCCTCACACTAAGCATGCTTGTAGCGACAGGGGAGAGGAAAAACTCCCTTTTAACAGGAAGAAACCTCTAGCAGAACCAGGCTCAGTTTGAGCGGCCATCTGCTGAGGCCGACTGGCCTATAGCAACTGTAAGTAAGAAAAAATTTCTTTAGAAGTCACTCTTCCACAGAAAACAAGAGGTCTGCTAATTGCAACTTAAGCGATGAGTTGAGTTCCTATGTGAACAACATTGGAAGATCTCTGATGCTATGGGGCTGTTTTCTTCCAACAACCTTGAGATCTTCTTGGCGTGCATGACATCATGGAAATACCAGGACATGCTAAATCAAGATATGGGGGTCGCTGTTACAACAGTACAAGCACTTATTTCATATGTATTTAGCATTGAAGTGAATCACATGTCTTTAAATTACAGACACTTCTCATATGGCCATGTCAGTTCCGTGACCACGTGGACAAAATTGTTGGTACCCTTCGTTCAGTGAATGAAAAACCCACAATGGTCACAGAAACAGCTAGAATAAGGCAAATTAATAATGAATGAAAGTTCTATGAAAAAGAACAAGCTAAAGTCAGACATTGCTATTCAACCATGGTTTAAAAAAAAAATAAACCAATAAAACAGGCCTGAAAAAAAAGAGTGGTACTCATGAATTCATTTTTTGTTGCATTACCTTTGAGGCAATCGCTGCAATCAAATGATTCCTATAACTGTCACCTGTGGCCAGTGTTGAGCAAGTTACTTTAAAGAAAATAACTAGTTATGGTTACTTATCCAAAAAAGTAATTTAGTTTCTCATTTTCTGTTCAGTAAGAGTAACTCATTACTAACCACATTAACTATGCAGTTAATTTTATGAAATAAAGTATTGGAAATGTTGGGAAACTTCCCTGCCATTGGTATTTTAAAACTAGACGTTCCACTATGGGATATTATGTGCTTATTATTGATAAATGAATATAATTATTAATTATCTGAACACATTGAAAACTAATCTGCACTATTTTGATTTGTGTGGTCTGACAAGTTGCAATATGATAATGTACATGTGATCATGTTTTTTGTTTATGAAAAAAAATAAGATGTTTGTGAACTTTCTTTGCACATTGACAGCTCTCAGTTGGCTCTAAGATAGATTTGAATCAGAAGAATTTCAAGCAATTAACAAAAATAAAATATAGTTTGCAATAGAATTAAACAACAGTTACACTATTCCAGAACCTTAGCAGGACTGTGTGATTCCAGTATTTGTGCATGAGAAAACCTAAACCATGCAAGTAAAATCATTATATCCTTGATAAAGTAAAGAACATGTCTTGATTAAAGGCAGCAGCTGTCAGTCAGGGTTAAAATGATGTGCGGAGCTAAATTACAGCTCCTAACAGACATTGATAAAGTACATAATGAGCAATTCACAGCAATATTTATCCTTCAGTGAGCGCCTTACTGTAGGAACGCTGTCATTGAATTAGTGGCTCTATGCCATCGTCTATCATCTGTGTTCATGCGGAAGTTGCGAATAGCTGCTTCATGCTCCAAGTGCGCTTACGCTTACACGTTTTTGTCTCATCTTTCCATATGACATTCTCCTGGAAGCTTTGTGGCTTTGTGGCAAATTACAGTTTGGTTTATTTTTTAGGATTTGTTTTCAGCAATGGCGTCCTTCTCTGTCGTCTCCTATTAGGTCCATTTTGGCTCAGTGACAGATGGTATTGTTCATGAGCTTAAAGTTCACCTTTAATCTCTTTAGAAGTTTTTTTGGGCTCTTTTGTCCCCATTCATATCGATTTGTCATCAATTTTCCACCTTTAGCCACATCAGGAAGGTTGGCTACAGTCGCTTGGATATCAAATTTCTTACTATGTGTATCGCATGTTAACTGTATTCACAGGACCTGAGATGATCATATAGCCTTTTCCTTTGTCTATCAATTTCTTTCCAATCTCCTGAGACAGCTATTACTTTGGCTTCCTTTGGTCGATGTTGAGTGTGATAGACACCATGTCACTAAAAAGCACAGTGACTCCCTGTAGCCCTATAAATAGGCCCACTAATGGATTAGAAGATTGTAGACATCTGTGATGCCAACTAGTGGACACACCTTGATTAACATGTTCATTTGGCCACATTATTTATTTATTTTCATTATTGTATTATCTAGGGTACCATCTATTTTGTCTTGGCCTGTTTCATGAAGTTTTTTTTTTCCATAATTTTCCTGCAGCATGGTTCAAAAGCAATGTCTAACTTTTTGTTTTCATAAATGTTCTAATCGATTTTACTTTTGTAAGATTTAAGTTATTCCTCTGACCATTTTTGTTTTTTCTTTCATTAAACAAGGGGTACCAAACATTTTATGAAGTTGTGTAAATTAAATCAAAATATAATAAATGTGCATAAGAAAACTCAAAAGCAGAATATATACAGATATTTTTAAAAACAGAAATAATCAAAGACCCCTTTTGTACACATTAACCTCATGCAATTTCAGGGAAGATTAAGAGTTGCACAGTTGGCAAAAGACAATTGTTTGAAACTATCGACAGCAGGTGGCTCTATCAATTGTGCCGCCAGTAATTTTTCTTATAAAAATAATGGTGAAGAGATACAATAAAATTATATTTTGTGACTTTGAGGTTCTGCTACGGAATGAAAAGAATATGTTTTACACATCTTTACCAGAGGTACCTGTAAAAGTAGCTGCTTGTAGCTTCCTCTGAATAAGATTTTATTTTAACTCTGAAACTTTTTTTCTTGTTCTCTCCTTACAGAGTGGGGGCGTAGTTCAGAGCTATGTAGACGGCTGCTGCAAGACATGTGAGTCTGCAGATTTATTTAGGGCTGGTGGTAATGCTTTGTGCAGCTGATTAGAGGGGTAAGCGCTTTGTTGCCTGGCAGTGGTTGAGCTTATTGGCTGAATGGTTGGGGTTTGGCATTTTGTAGAGGGTGGTGATAAAGCCTGGCAGCCTGTGACTTCATTTCAAAATCTTTTTGGCTTCTGCAGGTGTGCTCATATGTTCAATTGGCAGAACAGCTCAGGATAAAAAATGTAGATCTTCCTAAAAATGAACTCTCTCTACTGTATAAAAATGGTTTGTGTGCAAGGAAACTTTCTACCTGGTATGGATCTAACCTTGAATAAAAGTGTCATCAGTTTTTCTTTTTTTTTGCTCAGAGTTGCACTTTCGCTTGCCTTCTTTTGCAGTGTCCTTGCCGTTTTGTGTATCGGGCTGCTCAACGGTGCGTGTTCCTTCAAATGAGGATGTGCCATGGTGCAGGGGATAGGGTTTGCCCTGCAGAGCTTTGTAGTTCATTAAGTATTACTGTGTGACTGTGTTACTTGGCTGGCTGCCTGAAGTAACTCACACAAAACAAGACAAATATTCCATTCACGTGCATGCCAGAAGCTTTGATTTGATCCACTGTGTTGTTGTGTGTTTCATGAAACTGCTTTTCTTTGAATAAATCATAACTTGTGTTCTCCTGACACTTTTTGAACCGGATGTCTGCGATCCTGACGATGCTCCCAGGTTCTGGAGTGGGTGTTTTACCGTTTACAGTTAAACCCATAACACCCACTGGTAGTACTAACTGTGACACAGGTACCATCTCTGCACAGTTCCTCATACAGTGTCTCTTTCACACATCTTTCACATTTCTATTTCTACTTTATTTATTTTTTTATCTATATTTTAAACTAGTTTTTTCTTGTTTTGTTTATTTACCTTATCATATTTACAATAAAAATGGTCAAAGAATTACATTTTCAACATTATTCTGTAGTTATTAAAAGCATTTAGGTATCTATGGTTGTTTTTGGAAATGTGGTGAAGATTGGTCAGTAATCATTATCTTAAGGCTTCCTTTCTGCCAGCCAATGTTTCAAAACAAGCAGCTACTGCTTGGCAACAAAGAGTCTTCCTGTGTACATAGAGTCAGGATTTTTGTGCATATTGAGTGCAGCCATTTTAATGCCTTTGCAGATTTTTAAAATGTCTATATATTACACAAATTCTATGTTTGTAAGGTATTGGCGGGTATAAGATTTAAATCTCCCTACATTCTCAGATGGAATTGAAGACATACTGCAGAGGCATTTTTTATCTCTTGAATGTGTGCTTTGGACCAAGGATGCATCTGAAAGTTGCAGAGCAGTAGTGCTTTAGAACTGGAGTTGGACACTGCTGCTCTAATGGCTTCCCTTAACAACAGGAAAGCAGCATTGATTTGCACTGCTGTCGAAACAAAGTACCAGATTCTTACAAGAAAAAAACTCCATTGTTCAGTTATTTCTTTCATTTAATTTTAAATCATTGAGATTACCAAAAAAGATAAAATAAAAATCAACTTAATTCAGTCATGCTTTATGCTTACCACGCTTTACCACTGTACAAACATAACTGAACAAAAACACTGTTTAATGATGCAAGGAGATATTGTTTTCTCATAAGAAAACAATGATTTTTGAGTGTTTGGTTACATTTTATGAAGCACGCATTTATGAGAATGTTGTATTGCAGAGGTTTTTGGGAAAAACACTAAAAGATTTAAATACACACACACCAGGCAGTATCTGTCCTGCCTCCTGATGTTTTCATTGCAAGTTTGAGTTTTAGCTCAACGAGGCACCACAAATTCATTTTGCAGAAATACACATTATGGCAGGATGCTTGCAGATGTAAACAATCCATTCAGCTCCCCTCATAATGAACCCTGAATAAGTCCATTAACTAAGAATAACCAGAGGGAGGTTGTGCTGTTCTATTTGCTGCACCTGACTAAATGTAATAATGTCTGCTAAATATCTTGACTGTCATTCAACTTAGTTTTTTTTGGGGTGTTTTAGATGATGATTGGCCAATAATCCTTCTCAGCACTTTTTATTGTAAAATTTTGCATCATCAGGGACAAGCAGCATATTGTAATGCTGCTGCTAATCTGGGAGAGCCCATGCTGTTTGTTTACAATGGCAGGTATTGATTAAACAATAAAAATAAAAAAAATAAACTCAAATTTAAATTAAAATAAAATTATAAAACATAAAGCTTCTTAGAATCAAAAATATTTTTCTATTCAACATATACAGAAAACCTAACATACCAATCTGGATCCCTGAGAAGCAAGAAAAATACATCAGTTAAGTGTTTTTTTTCTGCTGCACTCTCCTAATCTGGCCTGATATTAGTATTATCACCCTCCTCATCACTCCCAGGTCTGCCTTCTTTTAAAATTTTGGCAATATTCTGGCTCTAATCCACCCCCGCCATCTCTAACAAGATTCTATCATCCTGCTGTGTTTAACATAAGATGCCTTTACTCACTATGCTGCCCCTGTAGGGGACCTCATCGAAGTGTTTCAATATCTTTTTTCCTTTTTTTGAATAATATTTTTCAAACTAGTGCAGTATTTATACCTATCTCATTAGCATCAACATTTAATAAGAAGGTAAAATACAAATAAAGCATTGTGTGAACAACATAGTTTTTAGAAACAGCCTTTAACACTAACCTCACCTTCTGTCATATCTTTGCAGAAATCCTCTCAATATTCTGAATTACTATTCTATAACGTTCAGTTTTCCCTACTTATTACTCAAAACCATTATGCTATGGCTTTGCATTCACCTCTCAATGCACCATTCCTACAGCAATCTCATGCACAGCATGTGGAGCTATTTCCATATCTGTTTTATATGTGTTTTCTTTTTATAACAAGACAAACTTCAGCATGTTTCAGAGTGTATTCTAAAAGAAAAAACACACATTGTATTAAAAAGGGGTTTATGGGGACCTTTACTGAGAATGATGGATTATCACACAATGCTTAGCTGTATTTTCATGTCTGCAAATATTTCCACTTGAATTATTCGCAGCAAAAGGTAGGGTTTGTGCACCGTTGCTGCACTTTATGCTCCATAAAGCTGGAGAATTGCAATGCTTACTCCATCACTTTACCTAGAATCTGGTACAATAAACCAAAAAGCATTGTCTTCCCCTTTGACTTTTACTTTTTTTAAAAACCATACCAGTTACAGGTCTCTGCCTACAAGTTTGTGGTATTTAATTAGACCAATTTGTATGTGAACGGTTTAGAGTGATAATCGGTATATAAATGTTAACCTTTTGTAATAATATCCAGGTAAAGAGGATGGGAAGACATGCAAGCGTGTGGCCATCCGGACCACCATTAGAAAAGACGACTGCAGGAGCAATGCACCAGTAAGAGAAACAGAATTAAACAGGAAATCATAGCATGACAAAGACTGATTAGTGAAAATGTGAGCTTACCTGTTTGCTTACCTGTTTGCCCCTCCTGTCCTCATCACATCTCCCTCCTCTTCTCCTAGGTTACAGTTTATTCATGTGACGGTAAATGCCCTTCTGCCACCATATTCAACTTTAACATCAACAGTCACGCAAGATTCTGTAAGTGTTGCCGTGAGAGTGGACTACAAACCCGGACCATCTCACTGTACTGCTCTCGCAATGCCAGCATGGTGGACTACAGTTTCCAGGAGCCGCTGGATTGTTCTTGTCAGTGGAACTAGAAATATGAATAAGATCATAATAAATTAGAAGAATACAATCACATGAGGGGTCTACGGGGAGTGCACTTGGATGATTATTGCAAAATTGGTCAAGCATGAAAAAACAGCCATGTTCTTTTTTTCTTATTTGTATTTTTATATAATTTACATTATAATCGCTTTGACAGAAAATACTGAAGTAGATGACACTTTAAATAGTTTTGTCTGAACTTTATCTGCCTAAGATCTGCTGTGCCAACCCTGTCAGCTTCCTAGTGCTTCCAGCTGATGGTATCTTTAAGTCATATTACTGTTCTGTATATAAATGGCTGATTTAAACAGCAGTTTCTGCTTTTTATGTATGAAATATATAAATAGCGTTCAGACTATAAATTGGCATTTGGGTTGCATTATCTGATAAAGGAAGTTTTTTTGGATAAAATCCCTAGGAAAATTAGATATTTTCTTTGTTTTAGATAATTGGTGCATTAAAGAATTTCATATGTACCTACAGTATGTTTTCTTTATTACAAACCCCAAAACACTTTACACCTCTCACACCCTATCAGCTCTTTCTGTGGTTATTAGATACGCAAATATGTTCCATGTCAGCACCAGCAGTGCTGACATGTTTTGTTTTGCTCCAGAGTTCATTCAAGCAGGAGTACCCCCTAACAGTCCTGTCGTTCTGTATGAGCCAGGGCTTCCACCACTCCTAACACCTGAGCCATATCAGTCATACCCTTGATAGGGAGACAAATAAATGCAGAGAAATTCTAGTACATCTAACTGATGATGTCATGAAAACAGAATATGGACTGAATGTATGGCTTTTTTTTTTCTATCTCTTCCGCCTCGTCTTTTTCTGCATCTCAGGATCTCAGTACTGGGATGTCCCTGGTCGTCATGGTGAATGGTTTCTATTTTCTCAACAAATAGACAGAGCAAATTGATTAAGACTATCATATCCTCAGACTCTTACATTAAAAGTCTTTCTGCTGCTCGTGCTGCTATCATGATGTTGTGTGGCTCCTGGATAAAACTCTTTCCTTTTGTGTGCGATACATTTAAAGTTAAAGCGCTATGAAATGGTCATTAAGGAGGTTGTGGGCTCTTCTTAGTTCTTAGAAAGTTAATCATTCTACCTTATACATTTGTTGACATTCACTGTGCGTCAGCAATTAAAATAGCTTGGGACTTTCCATGCTGATGTTCAGCAGCTTTGGGTTTTCATGTAAAGGCTACCAATGGCTGAAAACAGTTTGGACTGAACTGATGGAGTGACTACATGTATCCTGGGGAAGTCGACTGATCAAAGGAGGGGATTTGGGACATTTACAAAAAAACAACCAAAAAAAACATCCCAAATGACTCAAATAGCAACGCCACAACATCTGTGGTTTCTCTGCAGTTTATGGCAGGTAAGATTACTTTAATATTTTGTGTCTCATTCATTTTTCTCATGTCAAAAAACTTTAGGTCAGTTTTACCCTGCTTTCCTTTTATTTTTTCACAAGTTTTCAAGTTAAAAACACATTGTTTATTTTTTGGCTATATTTGATCTCCAAAAAGTAATGCATAATTTTGCAAGTGGAAAGATATTTATACGCACTTCTTGGTATTTCTTACACAAAAATGTATCAAATAATGCCTCTTTTTTTATAAATAATTCCTGGTCAGTTAGATTGGATGGAGAGCATCCTTAACAGCACTTTCTGAGTTTTGCTGCAGAATTTCAGCAGGCTTTAGTTGTAACTTTTGGCCAGATTTTCAACTACAGGAGTATGTATTGATCTTAACCAGTAACAATTGGCTAAGTATTTACACTGGGAGATCAAAATGTTTGGTAGTTATGTTTACTTATTTTGCTCAAACAATATTGATATTCCGGGAAGATTTAGGTTTAAAACTATGTTTTTAGACATGATGTCAGAAGTTTTTCAAATCCTTTTCATAAATCAACAGATACATCTTTATTAGAATTACAGCAGACAAACTTTTCTAATGTAATATAATGGATGGATGGATGGATGATTTTAAAATGTCTTTGCTGTTGCTTCACAACTGATTTTTTTTTAATTACCGTAAAGTATTTGTTTGTCAGGGACAGTACACATTAATGAATATTTTCTAAAACATAGAACATCTTAAAAATCAAGGCTACATACTTACAAGGGCAGGTTCAAACAGAAACATTAGCATAAATATGTGCAGATATTTACTAAGTAACAGCTGATCCTTACATTTGGCTGAGTCACGCGCCAGGAGATCGGTAAAGTCTAATGAGCACATTGGTGATAGGATGTTAAAGATTTTTCTAAATGAGCTCTGAATGTGTTAAAAGTTGAGTATTCTCTGATACTGAGAGGGATGCTGTTCCACATGATACAGCCCCTGGCTGAAAGAACAATCTGGCCAAAGGTGGTCCATCTCAAGGACACTTCACAGTCACCTCTAACCATAGACTGAGTGGCTTTGCCAGAAGAGGATTTCAGTTTTATGAATTCCCTTAATGGTGACGCTGCAAGTCCATTCAGTGCTTTATAAACCATTCAAGCATATTTAAGGTATATAAAATTCTCAAAGTTGTAGAGATGGTAAGTCTCAAGAATGTGACAGTGGTGGTACGAAAAAGTTTTTTTTTTTTTTTTTTAGCAAAAAATCTTTAAAGCTTTTTTTATATACTGATTTTAAATGTGGTTTCATTTGTAAGAGACCAGGTTGTATAATAATATTGTAATGATCTCAGAATGTAGGTTCAAAAGTTCAAAGCGTTTATTTAACAAAACAGGTGCGCAGGGCTGCTCGTCTGCTGCGGGGCGGATCTCTGCAGAAATGGGAGAATACAGATCAGTGACCGGATATGGAGCTTAACACGACTTGGAGCAAAGTCACTGACCTGATTCAAAGTTCAGTCCGTTTGCGGAGCTCTGACCGCAGTTGCGGCGGGAGACACCCCCAGAGTTCCTTGAGAGCGCGCAGCAGACGCCGAGCAGCAACAGAGTCCAGAAGGGAAATCCAAGGCCGAAGTCAGACGACAGTTCCAGGTTCAGAAGCCGGTAGAATCCAGGATCAGACAGGACAAACAGAGCAGACAGGGGCAAGGCAAAAACTCGAAATCCTCAGGGCAGAAACTGGTCAATATCAGGGAAACAGGCAGACTGCAGATTGCTAGGGAACGTATCACAAAAACACAAGAATAACCTGGCGCTGGTGGGAGGCAAACACACAACTTAAATAGTAGAGGAACCAGGTGGAAATGATCGGCGATAATCAGCCGCAGAACCAATTAGACAGGGGAGCAAGGAGCAAAGGAAAAAACCAAACCATCAGCGCCAAGATCATGACAAATATTGAATTTAATTGTTTCAGAGATTTTCTTGACGTGACCTTTAAACATTAGAGTAGAGTCAATAACTGCTCCAAGGTATTTGAACTGGTCAGTAGCCCTAAACCCAAACCATCACCTCAGCATATTGCTGCCACCACCATGTTTCATTATGGGGATGTTGTGTGCAATGTGAAGCCCAGTGTTAGTTTATAGTCAGAACACAACATCCTGCCTGAGACTTCTCACCTTCCCTGCCATTTTAAATGGGCAGCTATGTCTGGTTTGCCACTGTATAGTACTCTTTTTATATTCAGACAATCAGATGATTCTCCACAGTGACAGCCAAAAGTGTCTGGCATATATCAAAGAAGTTCCTTGGTCTTCACAACGCTTTTTGTTGGGTTTTTTATGCTTTTTTTTCTTTAAAAAATTATATCCTACATTAAAACAGATTAGCCGCAGGTGTACTCGGTTTGCATTCTACACCAATACATGTCAAGTTTTCAGATTAAAAGCAAATTACTTAAATCCCTTTAATACAGAGGAGCCCTCGATTCAGCCTTTGGGGTTTGGAATCTGACCTTGCGACCTTTGTTGCATGCATTCACCGTTTCTCTCTCCAGTACTGTTTTATCACTGTCAATAGAAGCTGTTGGGGCCATAAGAATCTTTCAAAAAATTTTAAAAGCATGTTATCATTCCACTGTACTGTTTTGTACTACAGTACTTTGTTTTGGTCTATCACATTAAAATCTGATAAAGTACCATTGATTAGTTGTAATGTAGTTGACTGAAATGTAAAAAATGGGGAACAGTTCAATATTTAAGAAATATGTTGTACTAAATATATAATGGAAATTACAGGTGGTTTTCTCCACCTGTGGACAGCGTTCACATCCTTCTGAGGTTGATGTTGTGTTTAAGTCCTTTTCCTCTAACCCAGAGGCAGACAGCTACTCCATCACCTACAGGCGTGCAGGTGACCCATTGGTGAGAATCACAATGTAAAATATACAGTCCTTCAGCTTTTTGTTTCCTTAACATTGACTTTATTTGCAAGGAAATTTTGTTTTTATATGTGTTTAATATTTCTTCTTCTATTTCAACATTTTTGGTAGATCTTCTCAAAGCGTGTCAATAGCTCAGCATGCTCTCCTGACTGCAGGATACGTTTGCACATGAGCCAGGACCTTAGGGGGTATATCACGCTAAGTGAAAGCAGAAATGATTCAGTGCTCGAGACAAAGACCTTTCACTTCAGTGAGTATTGCTAAACTGCACATATGAACAGATATTTAAGATTTATTAATTTAGTTTATTTGTGTGTAAGGTGAATTTCACCAACATTAATCAATATATTAATCGTCTCTCCAGTTCCAGTGTCTCATTCCTCCTTTAACGTATCCACCACCACCACCACTGCCCACCTGAAATGGGAACCACTTCACAGACAGCAGAGCATACTCACCTTTACACTGTACAACATGCACACACATTCTGTCACTGGCATCTACAACATAAGCCTCTCAGAGATCCAATCCAAATTCACGATGAAAAATCTCCAGCCTGGCACACGCTACATGATTGAAGTCATGGTCGCTACCTTCCTCGCTCATCCTGGCTTCACTCTGATGCAAAAACTCCTAATTTTTTTGGAAACAGGTATTGTACTCTCTAAGAATAACAAACAATGCGTTTCTTTTTTTTGCCAGTGAGCTGACTGACTGGAGGCTTCATATTGTGCTCTGATGATAATGATGATTGCAGATCAGTGTCCACAGGGCTGGCTGGCTAATGGAAGAAGCTGCTACTCTGTGGGGAGATCAGTTTTGAGTTGGGGTGATGCGATGAGCAGATGCAAACATTTGGTGTATGGAAGCCATTTAGTTGACCTGAAGACCCTGGAAGATCTGTTCTTTGTATCTTCTTACCTACAGACAGCAGACAACCTGCTGCTGCTCTGGACAGGTCTTAATGACCAAAAGGTAACTTTTCATTCATAAACATGTATCCTGAGACAAAAAGCATGATGAAAACTCAGAATAATGCAGTTCATCTCTGTGAGTCTGTGTTGACTTCAAGCATGACATTTTGGGCACAAATACACAATATCAATAAACTTTTATTTTACACACTAAAATTCAATCAAACTTCCCACTGTATAATACCACCACCACCATGTTTCCCCTTAGGAATAGTGTGTTAGGAATGATGTGCTGTGTATGTTTTCCACACAAAGTTTTGCCTTTTATTGTTAGAAAGTTATTTTCTGACCAGGGAGCCTTTTTTATGTTTGCTGTGTTCTTTGTAAGGGTTGTGGTGAGCTGATAAAGAGGAACTCCTATGGCCATATTTCTATCAGTAATTGTTTTTCCTCAATCTTTGACACAAAGGCTGATTTATAGTGTGCACTGGTAGAAGTCTTATCAACAGATTCTCCAATTCAAGCTGCTGGTCTCTGCAGCTCTTACAGGTCAAGGTTTATCCTACCAGTTTAGATGGTTCAGATTCATGTTCAATTTTGCAGGTGTTCCACATTTTTTATTTTTAGATTATTGATTGAACAGCACTCTGTTAGTTGTTCAGTATTTGGTTTATTGTTTGAAAAAAAAAAAAAAATTTTTTTTATGCTTTTAACTTCTAAAAAACGTATATCCAATCTAACTGGTGCATTCCCTGGTCTCCATGAGGCTGTTGTTCACAAAAAAGATTTTGTGTCTCTCTTTCATCTTTCCACAATTTTCTATACTGTGATACTGTATATAATAAATACATTGAAAGTTATAGTTATAATGAGAAAATGTGGAAAAATGAAAGTGCATGAAAAGAACTACAAAAAGTATTAGCTTAGCAGCTTTAAAAGCCATTATACTTGAATTATTTAAGATTATTTGTCCAATCAAAATTACTTTACAATATTATCTGTTGAAAAGCTGTTTCACATATTAAAGTTTGCCTTTGATAATTATTTCTAGACACTTTAAACACCAAACAGTAGACTTTTAACTTTTTTTCTTAAACAACTTAGCTTCATCAAATGCCCAAACCTGAAAATTAGAATAATTCTTTGTATAATTATTTGTGTTAACTTGATGACATGCTGTCACTTTAAAGTGATCCAAACTGTCCCTGAAGTTTTAATAAGCAGGTGAAATTAGTTTACTTTACAAGCTATAAAAGCTTGATGACAGCAGTTCCTCCTCAGAAAGGAGGTTTGTTTTTGAGACATTAATTAGTGGTTGTGTCCATTCAGCACATAATGTCTACTCTCCTCTCGCAACAGGAGGAAGGCCACCCACTCTGGTCTGATGGTTCGCCGTATAATCAGACAAAGACTCTGGTGACTCTACTCCCAGCCGACCAGACAGACTGTTTTGCCTTTCAGAGGAATGCTACAGGCCCTGGATACTTTCTGACTGCGTTTTTTTGTGACATCTCTCTACCATTCATCTGCCAATACCAAAGTAATTTGCCTACACAGTGTACCCTTTTTTTTTTTTTTTTTTTTACAAATTTCAAGATTTTTTTTTTACATACTTCTAGTTTGCATTACTTATGGGTCATTTCAATGGCTGACATTGTGGAAATTACAAAGAAAAGTATGAAAAAAGGTTATGTTCTGTACCTAAAATTCAGGCACCAGAAAATGTATATTTTCATTTCTATTTAATCAGAGGAAAGTTGTTTCTGTGAACAGCAGCCCAGAGATGCAAGAAGCTATGTAACCTTTTATGGAGGGATCTTAAAGTGCCGTAGAGAGCCCAGTCTGCCAGTACCTGACCACGTGTGAAAAACTTTGAGACCTAAATTCTGGCGGCACTGAAATAAAACTTCTTTCCTGTTTCTGACCAGAATAATTCCTCTCATGTATTGCATTCGACAGATCCTTCAACTCCTTCATCATTTTCATTCGACCTGGCTCAGGTGACAGACCAGCAGGCAGAGCTGCGATGGAGTGACCTTTCACCCCTCTTCTCTCCTCATTTTCCATCCTTTGAGATATTCCTCCAGTACAGAGAAAGTGAAATGGCCATTTCAGGTCATGGTGAAGAAGATGGATGCAAGGAGTCAAACAGGGAAAAGAGCAAGCCAGGTTTCAAAGAAACAGTCAGAGTCCCAATTTCTCTTTCATCTAGAGGGGTAACTGTGACAGGTTTGTCCCCTGGTAGCATCTACTCTTTCACCCTTCAGGTCTCCCACCATGCCGGCCCCAGCTGGAGTTTGGGACAAACACAGACTGCATACATGAGTGAGTCTGCTGAAAATTTATCACAAATACGGGAAACCCACAAATCATATAAATATATTCTAACCTGGAATATATATGCTTACAGGACCCCTTCCTCCTCAGAATATCACTGCTGGTTCCATAACTGCTAGTCAGATTATTTTGCACTGGATGCTGCCGGTTACCCGGTGTGCAGCTGGCTGGGAATTTGCTGTACTATGTGAAAATGTGTCCTCAGGACAGCAGTGGGTACTTAACAATATCACCAAGGTTTCTGGGACCAACAGGAATTTGTCCTACACCGTTGTGATTGGAGGACTTGAGTCCTACACTAGATACAGAATTGAAGTCTTCACAGTTACACAGTTTGGAATCTGGAGCTGCAGACAGGTACCTCTGATTGTTCAAACAGGTAAGAATATTAGAAACATTGCCAGTTATTACCCATTTTTAAATAATGAGGGCTAAGAGTTTTTCAGATACTGATCTGCTAATAAGATACCTAAGAAACAATGTTGGGAGAAAAATATAAAGAAATGAGGGATGACTTAAAATTGTAGCAGATAACTTTATCTAAAATATGTTTGTCCTAAAAAAAAATGTCCTTAATTTCTAATTCTGAAATAAATGCATCACTAAATGGGCCGTGTTAGAGATGTATTTACTCAGGTTTAAGGTTTTATGGCCAATTTACTCTTTGTAAAGCTTTGACCTGCAGATTTTTGCTTATGCAGATTTTTCTTTCTCTATTAAAAAGGAAAGAACAAAAAGAGCTTTCATAATCATTCTACCTAGCTGAGCCTGCTATAAGGAGGCATTTGTTATTTTATACTAGAATCAGGGATATGTGTTGTATACTGTAAAAGGCTCCATGATTTATGCTAGAGAATGTCAAACATTATGAACAAGACTTTCTTCCTTCCTGTTATCTGCTAAAAGTTTCTGTCACACACCTTTGTTCTGTTTAACACCTTCACTAAAGCCTTAACCAATTGTTTTTCAGGAATCTTGAGTGTTTTGAAAATTAATTAATGCCTTGACAATGTTGTAAAAGTAATGAATGTTTGATTAGATACTTAAAAACTGCACATTACTATTTGGAAATATGGCATTTTGTTAATTAAAACACTGGTAATAATTTCAAAAGTATTTTTTATTGCTTTTATTATTCGCAAAATGCAGCAGAAAGTGTGATATTTAAATCAAAATATATACCATTAGGCTTTTGTGCACAAAGATAGTTTTTATATAAATCCAGAGTTTACAAATTCAAACAGATGTCCTACATTGTTTTTAACAGATGTCCTACATTGTGTTTAAATGAAATTTACTGTTAAAAAGAAAGAATAATCCCTTATTTGTGTCTCTCAGCGGTGAAGCCTCCTGGTGATCTGCTGATGCTAAGCTTGAATGACAGCCTGTCAGTTTGCTGGACAGCTCCACCTAGTGATCCTCCAGATGCATATTACGTGACAACCCAATCGTTTAACAGTACTTCAGTTTCTTCGCTGTGGATAAACGACTCCAGCTCTGGTGGATTTGGGAAAAATGAATCCATTTGTGTTAATTTGGGCTCATTTACTCCTGGTCACACATATGAGGCAGCAGTCGTTGCCACGAGGGGAAATTATAGGAGCGAGAGGTCCATTAGCATTCACACCACAGGTGAATATAAATACAGCCCTTGACAGTACACGCCTATTTGGAAATGTGTGTCTGATTTTGTATCTGTCCTTGTGGATGCAGCTCCATTGCCTGTGCAGGTGGCACTACCTGTATCTGTGGGGACAAACTATACACAACTGTATGTTCAGCCTCCAAAGCTGGGTCTGAGTGATGGTGTCAAAGTGTGTGCATGTCTTGGAGTTTGCAACAGGGCATGTAAAAGATCGTGTGAGTATTCTTGTGACTGGCATTCCCTACCTGCTGGCATTTATACCACAACCATCAGCAGTCTTACTCCAGGGACACAGTACCAGCTGAGTGTGTACAGTACTATGAAAGGAAGAATTGGACCACCTTTCTACACTCATCCCATTAAAACAAGTAGGTTGACGACTTATTTTATTCTAATTATTTTGTCTTTTTGATTCCATGAGCTTTAAAAAAAAAACATTTTCATAACCGTGTTTTGTGTTAAAATACTACTCCCTCCACAAGTTTTCAATACACAAAGTAAAGATAAAAATGAGGAGATGATATAAAAAGCTTATAGTTGGAGAACTAATATTACAGTATCTCCGGGTTACTACTGTAGGTTTCCAGAAGAAACAAGGGACTCAAATTGAGCTTTGGGGCATCAAACATTCTCAGTTGGTGTGGCTTTCAGAAAAGCCAGAACATTGGAAAGTTTTGGTCAGTTCTGGTGTTAAGTATGGTGGAGGACTTGTAATGCTATGGGTAGTTTTATCTTCTAAATGAATTGTAAAATATTGTAAGAGTGGAAGGCATCATAAACCCTTTAAATTTCCAGGAGTTTTGAAAAGAAAATGGATAACTTATACTGGAAATTGGGATTTTTATCTTGAAAATCATTTAAAACATGGCAATAACACTCAATCCAAATGTTTACTTCACCCAGAACTATTCTTCTTTAATCAGAGTCCACTGGTTTAAATGCAAAGAAAAAAAAAAAAAACTAATAGGTTACCAAAGCATAAAACAGAATAAAACACCTAATGGATGGATAAGAATGGAAAATGTTACTGCTTCTTTTCCAACATCAATGCTTCTCCTTACAAGTGCATGAAAGCTAAGGACTAACTAAGGTTACTGCTTAGCTTTTTGGAAGGCTCCCTAGAAGAGCTGAATATATAGCTGCAAAGCGTAGGTAAACATCTTACCAAGTTCTCTACATTTTCAAAGCTAACATTATTTACTGATTTTGTACTTAAGACTTTTCTATCGGCTTTCCTCTGCCTTGACAATGTTGTAAAAGGTTTTTTAATGTACCTTTCTTCATGCAAAAGAATAAACTACTCATCACGTTATTAATAAGTGTCATTGAACTTAATCATCTTACTTTTAATGTAATTACGGCAGCAATTTATTTCATATGTGACTAATGTGTGTTTAACCTCATATAATTGAAGCTGTTTAGATAATTCAACTGTGTTTCATAGATTCTTTGTGCAATTTACCATCAGCTACAAAATACAGAAATTACTGCTGTTGTCACCTTCAGTTACAGTACAAGCCTTTTTTTTAATAATCATGTCATGCAAATTATATAAATCAGATTCAAAATCAAATCTGCCCCAAATTTAGCTGAAGATCAGGTCTGCTACAGAGCTTTGAAGATTTGGGCTTAAATTATAAAATGATAAGAGGATTTGAAAATGATTGAAGTCTGCACTTTTAAGTTATACTCTTGACTTAAAAGGACGTATGTCTTATATGTGGCTTATTTCTAAAACACAATTATTGATTTTCTTGTAAATATAAATCATTCATGTAGTGAGAAATTTATTTATGATTAATTTTTTTTTTATGTTTTATACTGCATGTATTGATTGACAGATAAAGGCTTTAATGCTTCAATGCTTTAATGTTTGCATATCAAATTATATTGGCTTTGGCGGATATCTTGTGAAGAGGTGTTTGATTTTAGGTCTAGCTCCACCGAGCAGAGTGAGGGAAGGAGTGGTGACAGAAACATCCATAGAGCTGCTTTGGGATCCGGCTCCAGGACAGGGTCAGAGCTATGAGGTCATATGCTTTAACTGCGGCCAGAAACTCAAGGTGAATTAATAAATTAATGCGTAAACAGAAAGTGTACATTTTTTTCAGCATTTTGTGAGCAGATTTGATTTTTATCTGCTATATGCAAGACTTAAATGACTCCTTCAGTCCTTCATTATTAAATTGGTTGCATATTTAATATATAACATATTGTGCACAATCTGTATTCCTATCTCACCGATAACCCCACTGTATTTACTATACAGAAGTATTGATCATTTTTGCCTTTTGGATTTGTGGTTTACAGGTACAGAAGGTGTTTAGTCAGAGTGCAGTGTTTTCTGGTCTGACTCCAGGCTCACTCTATCATTTTGCTGTACGGACAGAGAAGGAGTCCTTCACTGACAGTTCACCTGTCTCAATCAATATCACTGCAGGTAGGCACACAAATGCACACATACAAACACCGCAATACTTCTCCATCCTTCTTTTCTTTAACAGCGACATGCGTCGCTTTTTGATGTGCCAGCTCCTGGCAAAGTGGAGGTTTCACTCGTCAATAAAACAACAGCATCCATATGCATTAGCTGGAGTGAAGCCAGAGGACTGGTGAGCTCATTCATTCTGTCCATCAAAAACACGACATCCATTCAGGAGCTGATTGTTTCTCATCAGGAGAGCAGGCAAGACTCTTCTCATTCTGCCACAATCAAAATTAATATGAACCCAGAGTTATTATCGCTGCCTGAAACCTGTTCCTGAAAACACTGACTACCAAAGGTGTGTGTGTGTGTGTGTGTTAACAGATCATACAATTTCCAAGGCCTTGCTGAGGGCAGCAAGTACACAATTGAGCTGATCACGACTAGTTTGGCAAAAAGAAGTAAGCCTTGTACTGTGATCCTGTATACAAGTAAGTTAAAACTCTAAAGTTTTGCAGTGCTACAGGTGAGCAGGAAAAGCACTGGCCTGTGCATCTCATGTTCCACCATATAAACACTTATCAATAAGGCACCAAAGAATTCAATGTAGCACTTCATATTTTAAAATGAAAAGATTAATCTCTACAACTTTCAACATATTCTTTTGCTGGTTCAAATACTAACTACAGATATTTAATGTTTCTTAACTGCATGCAACTTAAGTGCCAGGGATGCCAAAGCAAGTGGTTACATCAGAGCACTCCGATACGTCTGTATTTCTGACTTGGAAGCCACCAGCAGGACAGGTTGACAAGTACAAGGTAACATTTAAATTTGTCCAAGATCTCACAAACACAGTAAATTTATGATGTACATATATCCATGTATGTTTACTATTAGAAAAGATCTATCCAAACTATTATTATCAACCACGACCTGCATTCATTTTGTGGTTGCATGGTAACCACTGTGAACACAATAAGGATCTGGTTACAACCGTTTAAAGATGAATAGCCTTCATTGACATTTTGCCAGGAACAATGACCAAGTACATAAACACTGTTTAAAACAATGTTTAGCATGAAACTAAAGGGAAGATGTTCAAAACGATTTTTGAGAAGTAGCCTTTAAATGACTAGTATTGCTATTGTTATTTGTTAAAAAATATTTCTGTGTTTTGCTTTGCCAGCTTCGTTTTGGTCTGCTGTCTGCAGACAGGAAATCGTGGACTGAGGTCTTCACCGAGAGCACAAACTATGAGGTCAGAGAATTGATCCCGGGGTCAGCCTATGGGGTCAGCATTCAGAGTGTTCTGGGATCAGACAGTAGCCATGAAGCAAACAGAGAGTTCAGCACACGTAAGAAACAAAAGCACACACCTAAATCTTATTCAGGACATATGCCTGAAAAACATTTCCAATTTGTCCTTAACACCCTGCAGCACAATGCAGCCTTCGTTTGAATAAGGTGGATTCTTCGTCCTTCTCTGTGAGCCTGGACGGGGCACCTGGGGAGTTCGACTTTCACAGAGTAACCGTGGCCAACCTTACGGTCACAAAAGTACTCACAATTCCTAAAGAGGTGCAGGTTGCTGTGGTTACAGGCCTGCTGGACGGGTGCAGCTACAACGTGAGTGCCGAGAGAGTGAGAGGAGTGACAGCAGAAAGTGCTGCTTTTCTGACTGTCACCACAGGTAGATGATATTTCAAGAGCTTTACTGATCACTGGCTCAGTTAATCACACCTGACCTCATCAGGTCTACTTTGATTTACAGTAACTTTCTCCTTCCCTCTGACCCTGTTTCTTCCCGTTTGTTCCTTTTTAGTGCCAAAGCAAGTGAGAGGCTTGCATTTGTTCAACGTTTCTGAACGTGCATTCTCACTACGCTGGCTGCAACCAGAGGGGTGTGTTGATCACTACCAAGTGAGACTGCAACCAAACCAAGGAGCAGTCACATTTTACCCTGTCCATGATGAATACATCCAGGTACACACACAGCCTAGTTTAATCACAAAAATGCTTTCTGAATACATTGCCCTGAAGACAACAAAAGTCATTGCTCTGAAAGCCGAGATCTAAAGTGTTTCTACATTTTATTATTATGAATTCAATGCACTGAAACACATCCTTACATACTGTAAAAAACAACATCTCCTCCCATTCAAGCAAGAACCACCCCATACCGACTGCCAGGTGTCCAATATCTCCCAGAACGTAACCTTACACACCATACACACACATACAGACAAAACCCAGCACAGAGTTGAGTAATGGATCACATTATTTATTAAGTTGGCCTCATGAGCTTAGCTCTGAATCATTCATTTGCTTAAGCAGCTCTCCCAAGAGAGGCGAAAAGACAAGAGGAGCAGCTCTAGCTGTGTGCCAATCGAAGGATTCACAGAAATTGTGGAATACCTCAAGATCAAGCCTCTATTGAATTTGCTCAAGATCTGGATGATACCAATTTAACTTGTTGTCTGCCGCTAATTTTTACGCATTGTGACTGGACACATATATTTTGGAGGCATCTAACCTGCTGTGGCTAAACTTATAGTCTACTTCCACTACCCAGCAGCATGGCCTTCTTATCAGCAGTTCTTATGCTCACCGTTAACCTGGGAAAGGTACACTCACAGGTAAGAATGAACCTGTGAATAGCTCCGATTTTACACATGCTATTTATATGTAGTTCCTTTTAAAGTATCTCTACTTATGGAATCTCACATTTTGTGAGATTACTGCTAAAACATCAATGAGTTTCTCTAAAATCTTATTGAAAATCTTGTAGGACATGGAATGTCCCAAAAATAGATATAAAAAGATGTGTTGTAGATTTGATTCTAGCCCCTTTACATTGATAGCCTGAAATGTATCCGTACTTTAACCAACTCCCCTTAAAAGTCATCTAGTTAGCCTTTTTATTTATTTTAATCCAACTAGAATTATACAGAGTTGTTTCCAATGATAGTCTGAGTGTCCTATAAGGTTTGTTAGAGAACATTGGAAAATAAATGTGGTTATGAAAACCAAGAAACACAACAGAGATCTCATGAAAAGAAAGTAGAGAAGGTTAATGCAGGGGTTAGGTTATGCCTATCCATAAAAATATATAGATTTGAAGTCAAAAATTCTATGTGTATTTAAAAACATTCGCACAAGTAAATCTTGTCCTAATACAAAGCGCAGCACTGTTATTTTTCAAGTGCCTACTATTGCCCAACCTTGTTTTGAGGAGTATGTGGACGTAAATCCTGATTCGACTGAATCTCACTGTAAATCTTTTTTTTTTTTTTTGTGGGGGGGGGAGTCAAGAGCAAACAAAGACAGCTGAACCAGTTTCAAAGTCATACAGCAGGGTGTTGGCTTGAGAATTATTTTTCTTGGCACACAGTTTAGCCGTCTTTATTTAGATTCTTTTAAGATCAAACCTATGTCTTTTGGTTTTCCATTGTAAAAAATGGTGCTGGCAGCTCCATTGGGGGAGTTCACTTCAACCTAGACAGGTTCATCTTAGAAGAAAAGTTGTTCAAGGCTACAAAATACTGAATATTGTGGCGGAGGTTAACATTCCAGCAGTAAAATAATCTGAAACATGGAGCAGAAGCTCTACAATATTATAGTATTTATGTCTTAGAACGGCCCAGTAATAGTCTAAATCAAAATCCTCTTGAAAATATGCTTCAGTACTTTACAAAATGCTCCCTAGCTCTCCCCATCCAATGCGACTCAGCTTTAGGCTTTAAAAAAAAAAAGATTTAGAGAAGTCTCAGTGTTTTAATGTGCAGGATGTGAAATTTTCAAGGAACCTGATTACTTTGAAAACGCCCTGTCCATAGCTGCATTCATTTTTAAAAGCATTTTTTTTAATATAATCTCATAAATAAGAGGTGGATACTACTAGATGACAGTGAACCCCTCGCTGTTTATGTTCAGACCAATGTCTCACATTTATGTGGCTTTAATTGCTGCCACCTCAAGGAATCAGCATGCCTACATTTAAGAGACTAATTACAATAGTGAGAATTTGACTTTATTGATTAAATATTTTTAAACATTAAAGTAGTACCTTGCTAGTTGGACATTAGACTGATGCATTTAGACATTGATATTTAGATTTCTTTGTAGGAAATGGCATAAAATGTAGATTGTTTGATTAAAGTGCTTGATTTAAGTACCCACTGTGGGTACTTAAATCAAGCACTTTAATCGGTTATTATAACAAGCAGTGTTTATAAGATATTCATCCTGTTGTACTGAAATATATAATAAATAAAAATAATTGACCTTTAATAATCTCAAATTGGAGAAATTTACCTCTGCATTTACCCATCCCCTTGGAGAGCAGTAGGCTGCCATCGTGAGGCGTCCGGAGAGCAGTGTCGGGTTAAGGGTCTTGCTCAGAGACCCAGAGTGGCAGTGGAGCTTGAACTCAGAACCTCATGATTTCAAGCTCTATGCCCTAACCACTAGGCTCCCACTCCCCATATGCACAAATCCATATACTTATTCATGGGTTACTTTGCATTAAAGTATCTTGCCAGGTGTTGCAGGAGAAAGCAGGAATTTAACCCACAAGCTTAAGAATGAGTTGAATTGTTTATTATTATTTTTTCGTGGTGAAACAGTCATACCAAATACAACATGAGTTTTAAATAACTGATTTATTATGATATTGCTATTATCTAGCAATTTCACAATAAAGCCTTTATATCCATCTATATTGGATAAACGGGCTTAAAAATAACTTTCACATAAGCTTTTAAATAAACTTGCACATTCAGTACTGCAGCTCCACTTCCCTGGACTTTAAGGAGCTTTCCAGCTTGAGGATGATGCTGCAACCATTCCCAAGATGCCAGCTTTGACGAAAAAATATTTCTCTCTAGAAACACAGAGTTCAGCACAATCTAACAATATCACTCTAAAGTAAATCTAATTTGTGTTTAATTCATACAAATGGCCAGGACAGTACAACAAAAATACAGCTTAAGAAAGAAAGTTTAATCTAAAAAATTTAATTTTTTTTCTATAAATCTATAGGATCTTGATTTTGTTTTCTGTTCTGCTGGTGAGGGGAGGGTCTAACTGAGCATATGCAGTAAAGAAATCATTAATATACCGTATTTTATTGGAGAAAAAAATATAGTCAATTTTTTGCAACTGTTCCCAGTTTCCTCTCTGTAGAGTTTACATTTTTTTTCTTTGGGGCTTCACCGTTGTAATTGCATTATGTTTGTCTGTTTTGCTGACTCTTGTTTTCTTAGATTTTGTCTTTCCTCCTCTCATGAGTGCTTGGTTTTTGTATTCTTTACTACCTTTATTCTTCTTAGTCATGGATTACAGTCCTAAATAATGATAGTTTCAGAATATTAGTGTCTTTTACTCTAAAATGTAGCTTTGGCCTTCACCTTTTGAGCATTTTCAAAGATGCTTTTCCATTTACAGAATATAGTTTAAATCGACAGGCTACAGTATACATGGTTGTGGAGATTTTGAAGAAAATTTTGACCTAGTGATTCCTTTTCATTTAGGGAAGTTATAAAACGTGGGGTAGATACTGTAAGAAAAAAATAATAATCTTCAGGTATGTTCCTACGTAGCTGCACACATTTTTGGTTTTCAGCAAAGCTTTCCATTAAAACATATCCAACTTCCTTTGCCAGGCCTAAGTTGGTACAATAATGGAAAATGCATGACTCTGGACTGGAATTTGGGAATAATAAGAAACTAACAAAAACACTGGGTTTTCATAACCTCCAGTGGAAATACAAATGTGGCAAAATAATAGAAAATACTGAAATCATAACTATTCAGTGACATTTTTTTCTCCCAAATCTCTGGGGATCTTTTCACAAATGTATACAGTGGTGGAATGGAGTACAGAAATTATTTGTTTAGCTTGGAAAGTGCTGGGAACATTCAGTACAATGAATTTGCTAACTTTCTCTTTAACGTGTACTTACTTAAAAGTTGCATGGAGAGTCTTTTTAAACAGTGGAGTATAGGGAGAGAATTGTGGGGTTGACCTGCAGCTATAGGACACCGACCTGTTTAGAGATTTAGTTGGCGTCACTTTCAGTGCCACACTTGTTGACCCATTTTACCTCCCAATAATATAGGATCTGCATACTTTTCAGTTTTGCTTAAAACAGATTAATTTTGTTTTTATTTTTTTTGTCAAAGTTAACTATTTATATTCATTAAATTATTTCTATATCAGACAGGTATGACCTAATTAAAATCCGTTTGTATGCTGATTTCATTTTACACCTGGTGTAATATGAAGTTGAACTTTTCTCTCATCAGTCTAAAGCTCAAATACTATATTAAATGGCCTTCAGGATCAACAAGATTCTTTTACCAAATGTTAAATGGAGATGTTATTTTGTTCGTCTTTGGATTTTTTATTTTTTTGTGTGTGTGTGTCTGCATCCATGAAGTGTGAAGAATTAGAATTATACTTAAAAACTTATACCTAGATGTGGATCTCATTTAAATTTACCAGTCTGAATGTCCCTTTAGGTAATTTTTATCATGCAATTTATCGTTAAAATTTGTTATTTTCAAGTGCTTTAAAAGATGTGATTGTTCATGAATGTACCATAATACACAAGCATATATTGTTTTGCATTGAGCTTCAGGTTTATCTTTGTCTCTTCATAAAATTTCAGGTTGCAGCTGACCCCTCTCAAGCAGGACAAAAACTCTTCTAGACTTTACCCTCTGACAGTAGGGTGAGGTCCCTAAGGACCTAAATGTCCTGCAACAAAAGCAGCTTCTTCTTGGAAGCTGCTTTTGTTGCAGGACGTTGGAGTTAGCCTAAAAAAAACAAAGCCTGATTCCCCAAATGTCCCTTTTCTGTTGCCAATTATTTGAATATCTAAAGACAAGCACCACTATTCAATTAACGTCATATTTTTTAGTGTATTGTCCTCTTCCTATCAAAAAGTTGCACATTTTTATTTAATTTCATATAATCCCTATACAATCTGCATTTCTTATTCTACAATATAAGTTTCCAAAATTCTTAATGACAAGTTTATGATTGTCTATGTACTTTATCACCAAAGCAATTCCTTGTACATGTAAGATGTGTAAGCCTTTTACTTATTCGGATGCTGTGAACCTAAGTTGACATGTCTACAACTTTAAAAATTGAAAAAAAGTAAATAGTATTTAAAAAAGAAAAAAAAAACAATGACCAAAAACATAGATAATGAAAAGATTAACTGATTTCTTAATTGTACATTCCTGGCAGGAGACCGAATCACTGAGTGTAACTGAATTCTGCTTTGGTTAATCATAGATAACACATAATATGCAAATAAATAAAGCAAACCACAATTCAATAAGGGAATTTTTAAAATACTGCGCTGTCTGCAAAAAGTACTGTTTTTTTTTTTTACAGCAATGCAACTCTATGTACAGGTAGACATTTTTTGTTTTTCAATAGCAAGGAAAATTTAAAAGTAACATATTTTGAAAAACTGAAAAAAAAAATGCATGTTGGAACCCAGATAGTAAATCAGATATAAAAACAGTGTGTGCTTTCACAGATGGTTTTGGACAAGGTGTGTGTTTTTCTGTGTCCACAGGCTGACGTGGTGGATGTTACTCCTGGGACGCAGTACTCTGTGACAGTCTCTGCAGCCTCCGCATCAAAAAGTAGCCCTGGAGTGAGTCGCATCATCCTTACCAAACAGAGCGGTGAGATGGTTTTACGATCAAAGCTAATTGTTGAATATGCCTGATTTAATTATGCAGTTTAATGTATAATCAGGGTCTTCTCTGGTTTTTGCCCTGGCACATGGCAAAGGATGAGTTGAGTGGGAGATAAAGTGTGTGTGTGGATCTGTGTACTTCTTTCATTGCTTTAACTCCTTTTAGGTAACTTTAACCAGAGCTTTTGAACCCCCGGATGAATGCGTCTGGAGTGAATGTCAGTGAAATGCCACTGCTGTGTAAAGACTTATTCATCAGGCTTTAGCCACATACAATGTGGATGTTTAGACTCCCACACATGCATACCTTCCACTAAAACCAGCTTTGCTACTCTTTAAATATAGCTCATACTATGTCAGAAGAGTTTGCAGTCATGATAATCTGTCCAATTTGTACCAAACTCTTTTTACGGATGGTCATTTTGAGTGACAAATTTATAAGATTTGCTTATTTGAATAATGTTGTTCCTGGTTCTCTCCAAGTTTCTGTAGTACCTGGTCCTCCACAAGCCCTCGAGGGAGAACCTGTTGGGTCTAATGGGATTCTATTGTCATGGACCATGCAACCTGGTACAAATATAGATGGATATGTAATCAGGTAGTTTTTGCTCCTTTTCTGTATATATTTTTCAAACATTGAAATGTCTTAGCAATAATTGGGACTCAATTTCCTTTAACAGAAAACTATCATCTTAAATTAGCTTATATAGTAGAATCCAAATGTTTGATGCCCTGGCCCAGCCAGAATTATTTTATATGGGCTGAACTATTGGCTATTGCCAAATTCAGGTTAATATCTATTTTTTACATTCTAGGTGGATTTGCCCCTTTGAACATATACTGTAAGATATGTGCATTAAAATATCAAGAGAAAATCAAGTTGCAGTTTCTTACAGAAGTATTGAAGCTTTTTTTTTGTTATGGAAAAACTCTGTATGCTATTACAGCTTTGTCAAATACTTAGTTTTTTTCTTTAGATCATTTCACAGTTCCTTATTCAAAAAAAGCAATACATGTCCATTATAGAATTAAATAGATATATTAAACATAAAAAACATGTTTTTTTATAACAAGCCAAACATTCCTCATCTAATGCTGTGATGTAATAGACGGTAATGTTAACACTTCAAGCAAACACTATATCCACACAAAGTGATTTAATCTGTAAATAGGGAACCTGAGAGTTTCCTTCACATCATTGTTACTATATTTTGATTTTTAGCATTTTTCCAAAACCTATATCAACCAAATAATGAACAAAAGATATGCTAAAGTTTTGAGAAAATACGGTTCAAGCTGGTCTCTAAACAAAGTTTATATACATGATTATGTATGTGTATATATTCTTATGTATCCTTAGATAGTTAACAGTAAAATTAAGTAAAATAGCCAGATTCTGTCTAGATTTACTTAATTCCTTTAAGGTAATTATACTTTAGGTTTAAACAAAGATTTTGAACAGTTTTCAAAACTGATCATATTTTCAATCTACCTTTCTATCCTTTTCAAGTTTTTTCAATAAAAGGCAGTGAGATAGAATTTAGTTTCTGCTACTGTTGGTCAGCTGGACAAAAGAAGCTTTCTACATTTCCCTCTTCTTCCAATAAAAGCAACTTCCATTTTCTCAAAGATAGCCGTTCTTATATTGTAGGTCATATTTTCCATTGCAGCAGTAATTGTTGCTTTCTGTTGTATACAAATAGATATTTTACCAGATTACAAATTTTTATTTTTATTTTTAATAAATAAGCGCATTTAGTAAGAATTTACCTTGCCTACTTACATAATATTTTGAGTAATTAAATATCAGTTCAGCTTATCGATCTAAATCACAATTTTACTTTTTGCTATTAAAGTGAAAACTATTTAAAAAGAAGGGAAATCTTGAAATATGGTATTGCTATTATTCTTTTTCTTTGTTTTTGTAGGTACAAGGAGGTTTGCCCATATCCTGATCCCTCTTTCACACAGGTGACCAAGTACCTGGATGTACCAGAGACTCTAATCACAGACTTTACCTCAGGTTCAACATACCACATCCAGGTAGGATGAACAATTTTACCAAATTTTTCATGAGGACTCTTCTTTGGTTGGCTTATTAAAAAGGAGTTAGGTGTTATAAAGCTAATCTGAGAGTTGGACATAAGTGCCAATTGACCAAATAATTTCAAAAGTGTTGGAAGGTGTAATTATCCTTTCTGCCTCTGAGCAAACATTCCTGGAAGTATTTCCTTTGTCTTATCATGTGGCTTTGTGGCAGATAACACAAAAGGACCTCGTGATCTGATTTGAAAAGAATGCAGGTAATTGATCCCGATTACATTATTAATCAGGTAAACAGATCTATGGATCAGCAAAGGCTCTTTCCACTGCCTGTTGTCACTGAGCTTGAATGCGATCATGCTTATTAGTTTCAGAATCCATTAACCGACCGTGACCTTTATACAAATGGACTCAGAAACTGACACACTTGCTGATTATACCTGCACACACAGGATTTGTTTGAGGGTTCATATGGGATTATGAAAGCGTGTTCATGTATCAGGTTACTTCACCTCCTCATCATTTGTGTTGGCTCTCCAGCTTATGAATGCATCTGCACACAATTCCTGGACCACTGAAAAGGTGTCACCTTTGCCACTAGGAGTCATAGCATAGTCACTTTATATACTCTACAAAGAAGACAAAAAACTATTTAATATAACCCTCAGTCCTGATAGTGTTAAGACAATCCTTTCAGAGCCTACTGTAGATAGAAGTCCAGAACCCACCCACCCCCATTTATTTTAATCAATGAATCAATTCATAAGGCTGTCTGTGTTTATTCTAAAACCTCAACATCAAATATAGCACTACTATCACTAGTATCAGTATTAGTAAGGATGTTTACCGACGCATCCATTAACCTCTAACTAAAGCCTTTATAGCTTTAGCTGCAGTTTCAGTAAAACCCAAAGTTAATACTGTAATTGAGCGGTATTGAAATATTATCCCTCCAGGAATCACATATTGTTTGGCTATTTTTCACACATTTTTAATTTTGCCTCACTGTTTTTGCAACTCCACTAGTGGTTCCACACTTCCTTGCCTCCATTGTTTCAAGTTGTTTTCCAATTATGCACCTGTGCAATGTTGTACCTCTGATAAGATTGTGTTATTATGGTAAATATACACAGAGGGGCTTTATTTTCTAATAAATTGAACAAAAACAAAGTGCAAAACAAAAATAAATATAAAAATAAAACGGAAGTATGATGCAGTATTTTTTCTGAAAAACTTTGTATGTGATCAGAGGGAGCTACTGGGGTATAACTCTGAAGGTGTTAAATTAGACTATGGCTGCTTAATTTGAGAAGAATAGACACTGTCTGATAAAAGGTTATGATGCTCTAAAATTTTCCTTCATATTTTTTCAAATTAAACCTCCAAAATGTCTGTTTTTTTTATTGGAAATATTGTCATCTTGGGGAAGTAAAAAGAGAATCGAAAAGTGTGGCGCGTATTTGCCTTCAGCCCACTTTGCTCTAAAACACTGAAGTATAATACTTTAAAACCAATGTCCAAATAAATGCAGCAGCTGAAGGCCTCTGTGAAGGCATCAGAACTTTGTTAGTGAATCCTAGTGAAGAAATCACTACAATAAAGACAGAGTTAAGATTCAAAGCCATGTTTGGCTATAATGTAAAATTGATTTGAACATCAGCAGCACATAACTAGAACAACTAGATAGTACAACCCCCTAGTCTGAATGGCAGGCTTTAATAATCAGGGAACTTTTTTGTTACTCCAGAAGTGCTGCATAGATCTAGGTTGTTAAATTACTAGATGTGTATACTTTTTCATTAAATACAGATAGCTTTTCCTACCCATGCAATAAGAAGTCAGATTAGTTGCAGCAAAACAATTTTTTTTGTCAGCATAAAAGTATTCATCTTCCTTGGGGTTAAAATTTCAAAGGAAAAAAAATGGGAAGTTTACAGGTAAGGCTATATGGATATAACAGCCTATATAAATAATAATAGTACAGTTACTATTCTCAGGGGCCAGGTTTGATAAAGGGGACATATGTCTGTGATCTTGGCATTAAGAGCGAGCAGGCTGCTTACAGTAGGGCTGCACACCAAATAATGACACATTCTATCCGATTGACAGCAATTTGATGTGAAACGTGGTTTACTGAGATTTCTGAGCTACTGTAAGAACCAACTAGAAATGTTTTTCATGGCTCATTTTTTTCCTTGTTTTACACCTGCAGTGAATACCAGACAATGATCCCCTGTTGTTTGTGCCGTTCCTCAGTTTGATCATGTTAAAGTTTAAATCCTGTTTGACAATTATTTACCCTATGAAGATATGTTTACTGGGATGTTTAAAGAGGGAGTGCTCCAGGCAAAATAACTGGGAAGCCTTGAGGCGTTAACACTTAAAGGGGCAATCACCTTTAGATATAAAAGGGTCCTGCTGGCCTGGAAGCTAAACACCACTCGCAAGAGCCACAAAGGACAAGCTATACAGTGAGATTTATTTAATATTTGCAGCCCATAGTAATACTGTAGACTACCAGATTTCCTGATCCTCCTGGTTTAATACATAAAATAATTTCTTCAAACACATCTACATCTTTAGTTTACATCTGGTTTTGAGTCACTTTATAACAGCAATGCATGTTGGTGCTTTATTAAAGGTATAGTGGAGGATGTTCCTTTTTCCGTGTGGATCATCAAAATAAGTTAACCCCCTTAATTTTCATTGATTCCGGTGATAGGTGTACATAAAGCCGTACTACGTGCTCCTCCCCATTTTAACTTACCGGTGGTGAGTCTGACATAGTGGAAAAAATTGCAAATCTACTTTTGAAGAGTAAGCTTGTATGAGCGATTCAAACAATAACTTTTAAACAGAGCGTGCACAAGGAGAAATGCGCTTTTGCAAGCTCAGGCATGGCGTTCCCTTTCGTGAGTGGGTACAGGGTTGTGCATGTGTATTTTTATTTTTCTAAAGTGGAGAGGGCAGGTCTTTTCAAAAATTCGTGAAGATCCTCCACTACCTTAAAGTGAAATATACTGTATTGATGCTGTAAACTATTCGTCTTTCTCTGTTTAGGTAGCAGCTATGTCTGCAGCTGGGACAGGGCCATTCGGCAAACCTTTGTACATAAAGACATCTGAGTCACGTGAGTTGTAAAGCATCCCCTGCATGCTTTCAAAATAACACTTCTGCGAGGTCAAACTTGTGTTTTTCTGTGATTCCCCACAGCCCCTGGCCTGGTGACCAATGTGACGGCGTATGCTCAGAATCACACCTTTGTCATGGTTACCTGGTTCCTGCCACGCCGCATAAATGGCCTCATCACCAAGTTTGCTGTCAAAGCAAAGCATGCTCGAACGGGGCAGACAGTTCGCATGCTGGAAGTCAATGCAGAGGAAATCATGACTGGAGCCCTCCCTCATTGCAATGTACTAGATCCCCTTCATAAAAGCGGAACTTTTATCCAGAATTATCCTGGAAAACTTCTCTCTCTGCATAATTTGATGTCTCCAGGATGCGGCTGATATCTTGTCACGAGCGACTCCCAGCCCCTTGGAGATAACAGCGTCGTCTCCTCCCATCACCCTCTCTGCCGTGCCACCCGCAGCAGCTTGGAACGTGCCTATATCAGTAGGAGTGGATCAGCTGCGACCTTACACTGCCTATCTTTTTGAGGTTTCTGCCTTCACCTCTGATGGAGAGGGACAGGTAGCCTCCACCATGGTTCGCATGCCAGAATCAGGTGTGTGGAAATCAACAAACAGCCCTAAATCTTTATTGTAAATGAGTATTTGAAGATTTTCATTGTAATTTAATTAATTACTCATGTCAGCACCGGAAGATCCGCCTGAAAACCTATCAGTGTTGAACATGACATCTAGGTCAATTTCTGTGTCGTGGAACTCTCCAACCATCATCACTGGAAAATTCAGCTATGTGCTTTACCTTTATGGACCTACAGGTTAACTAATATTTAAAGTAGTCCAATAAATCTATACCTTGAAAAAACTTAACACAAACTGAAAAATCCTTTTCCTGTTTTAGGGTTTTTGTATAAAAACAGCACATGGGACATGCGTTTCCTTTTTACTGGATTGACTCCCTATACAAGGTATATTGTGGCTGTCCGAGCTAAAGCAGCTGGAGAGGTGGGACCAGCAGCTGAGGAGGTTCTAACAACACCAGCTGAAGGTATAATAATAATAATAAAAAGCACTTAAATGTTTCATGTTACACTTATGTTTTTTTGAGTAAGAAAGCCTTCATAGAAATATTTGGATCAACTTGTTTCTGTCCGTAGCACCCAGCGCAGTTCGGAACTTGGAGGCAGTGGCCGAGGATTCAGTTTCAATTCGTGTTAGTTGGAGAAGCCCTGCCCAGCCCAATGGTCCCATAATTCGATACAGGCTGCAGGTCTTGGCTGACAGTACTCTGCTGCAGGACATCACCCTCACATCAGGGGTGAGGCAAACATTATTGTCTCCACAGCTTTGATCTTCTACCTTAAAACTAGCAAAAATACAGTTAAGTGCAAAAAAAGGTTGGATAGTGTTCTTACTATGAATAGTTAACAGTATAATTGTTCCATACAACCTGACTTCCTGATATTCTTACCTGTATTTAGCCTCTATCCCATCCCAACGTTATCTATCTGTATGACCCTGTGAAACCTCTCTTTACATGTCCATCTATGTTCCCTTGTGACATTTTTTCCTTCACCTGTGCTTGGATTCAGTTGTTCACAGACCGTGGGCCATATTGAAGGGTTACTGACTCTCTCTGCATGAAGTGTTTTGCATGAAATTCACAAAAATCATCTGTTTGTTTTCCTCAGCAAAGAGCACTTTCGTCCTTGCATTGGCTGTATCTTCTGCGTACCTCGTTACAAAATGCAGCAACTGCATTAAGTATTGACATTCCTCTTGCCCTTCTTCCATATATCCTAGATTTATGGAGTATATAAATTATTGCTGTCATGCAAACAGATTGCTCTTGCCCATCCTGTTGTTTTATTGGATGGCCATATCTTGTTAGTTTCAATGTGTGGCATAGTGAGTCCTTTTCAAACATGTCTCAAATACATCTTTTAAATGTACAAGCTTTATTTTTCTTTACATCACCAGGCTTTCTTAAAGAAATTATAAAGCGGCTTTTAATTTAGTACAATTTTCTCTACTTGTGGCTTCAAAAAGTTCTACACCTTTTAACCTGTTGCTAAAAAAGTCAGTTTTCAGTTTTAAGTAAACTGTTAAAAGGAGAATAGCTAGCCAGGGAGTTGACATTGGCAAATATTTAACTTATACCTTTGCCCAGGAAAACTGAAACCTCCCTCATTTTTTGAATCTATTTTCTTCATTAAAGAGGTTGTAGCCTGATATTTTACATATCAGATCCTTTTGAACTTGTCTTTGAAATTTTTTTTTATGAAAGAACTTTATAAAACATTTTGGACCTTTTTATACACCTTAAAAACAGAATTTGTGTGTATGCACAGTTGCACACACATTTTTGTGCTCTTTATATACTACATCTGGATGTATCATTATCGACATAGGGAGCTTGCCAATGGCTTGTTTACCATTGTTTCTCTGTCTCTAACACAAAAGTTTAAAAGTTACACAAACAATAACAACCGACTACCCTGATTGATGGAATCATGGTAAGAGCAAATGGGTTTACTTTAATACAGGGGTCTCAAACCGGTTCCAGAAAGGGCCGTGTGGCTGCAAGTTTTCTTTCCAACCAAGCAATAGCACACCAGACTCTCTTTATCTCATCAAGTCATCATGTTCAGATTGCACACAGTTCATGGGATGACTGGAGTCTGGTGTGCTATTGCTTGGTTGGAAAGAAAACCTGCAGCCACACAGCCCTTTCTGGAATCGGTTTGAGAGCCCTGCTTTAATACCTTTCCACGATGGAATAATGGAAATCAAGGAGGAAAACCAAAATCCAAAAGCCATTTTGGGCTTCTTTGGCCAAAACCCAAACAAAAGAACCACTTCAGACTCTTCATCAGGTTTTAACTGAGGCCAGGCACAGACATTTTAACATAAAAAAAGTACTGTTTTTGTTTGTTTCTTTTTTGGTCCAATTCAATCTGAGAAATGTAAACAACAAGAAGAAGCAGTTTCTCAGCGCTCTCATGAAGCTACTACAATCTGGCAACGCCCAGCCCAGCTCACATGATTTTATCCTACTTTACTACCCCTTTGGTGCAGAATCTTGTGTATAACACTACTAATGTCGATTTCATGTTGACCTTGGCATTAACACAAGAGGAATTATCATTTTATATATTGTACAGTTTCAATGTAAAAAAACATTAAATCTAAATAAAAATTTTGCTAAAATAAGATTTTTATCTGCACCACTATAGTAAAAATACATCCAAGTCCTGTGGATGTGAAATAACTAGAAAAACAGTTTTTTTTTTTTAAAGAAAAAGTTGTAGCTATAGTGTTCAACGTTCCTTTTAGTTTTTCCTCTTTTAACTGCTTGAACTATTAGATGTCACAACAATCTTGTTTATTTAAAAAAGAAATAGTTTTTTTTATTTTTTTTATTCACATTTTAGTCTGACATGTACCTTTTATCTAGCACATGTTTCTTAGTCTATACTGTTTCTAAACACAAACTTAACTACACTTCCTGCTTCGCACTGGTACAGATTTTCCTTGCGTCTTAAGTAATATGTATTGCAGAACTTGTAAATCATGGCTGTTATTTCAAACCTAACTTAGATTTTAAATAATTTATTATCTATGACCTAAATAGGACTTAACTTTTATCTTCTTTCTGCCCTCAGAATATAACAGATTTCTTTGAGAATCAAACAAATCATCCTGTTGTCGACAACCTTCTGAGGCGGAGAAAGAGATCTGATGAGCTCACTCCCGTCACGTCTCCACCAGCGTTTACGGCTACAATCTCAGCTCGCACTACACCCACCGCAATGACTGCTTCCAGCTTTCACCACTCAGAAAATAGAAGCACTGATCACTCTACTAACACAGATTTTCAGCCTACTCTACACCCTGCGATCGCTGATGAGTCCAGCCCGGGTTATGAGTCAAAAAACGTCACTCCATCCTCTTTGAATGTCGAATCTAGGACGTCTGCAATGTCCGTGATTTCTGTGTCACCTAACACACTTCCATCCTGGCTCATACAGCAGTCACACACAGAGGCGGTGACCTCAGCTGTTTCTAACATGGGCCTGACTCCAGGTCAACAGCGCCTGTCCACACGTGACGCATCCTCTGCAGGACGAATTTCAACACGCAACGCAGCAGTAACTACAGGTTAATTTACTTTAAACACAACTTTTTTTTTACCTTCTTCTGCTTTAAATATACTGTCATGGACAACATGTTCTTGTTGACCACTTGTCCAGGTGTAACAGTAAGAGAAGAAGTGGTGGATGTTTTATCCGAGGAGCTTTCGTACGTGGTGTCGGATCTAAATCCTTTTACTGATTACACATTCAGAGTTACTGCCTCCACCACTGCAGGAGAAGGGCCTGCTACAGATATCACTGAGAAGACCAGTGAGCAGGGTACGAACAAAATCAACATTTTCTAGAAACAGGAGCCAAAACACAGAGTTTCTTAATCTGCAGCATATCTTGCCTTTTCTTTCTAGTTCCCAGCTCTGTGCTAGAAGTGTCCTATCAAAATATCAGTTCCACATCAATTCTAGTAAGTTGGGTCCCACCAATCAATCCCAATGGGCGGATCACACATTACAGCATATATGGTCTCAATCTGCGCAGCAATCAAGCCCTAAAGTGGGTTACTAACAACACCAGCATGCTAATATCAGGTAGAGAGCTCATTCAGTTCAAAATTATAAATATTTTTGTGAAGATATTTAGTTCTCTTTTTTAAATCTATGTTCTTTGGAGCCTACGTGTGTAAAAGATTAATGCATGTTTGTTTTTTTGTCTGCCTTGCTATGTAGATCTGGACAAGTACACTGGCTATAAGCTACGTGTGGCTGCATCTACAGCGGTGGGAGAGAGCTCTCTGTCAGAGGAGGATGATGTTTTTGTTTTTACTTTAGAGGACGGTATGAAATTATCACTGAAAACACATAAATCTACCAAAAAATCAAAATGTTAATCTGGCTTTCAATGTTGAAAGAATTAAACTATTATGGAAATTTAAAAAGCATTATTAGGCCTTCTAAAATTTGGAAGTATAAATACTTGAGCGGCTGTTGTGTGTTTTTTTTAACTTGAACCCTAAAAACCTCTTTGTGATTTATGTTGTATATCTCCCTCTTAGAACCTGACTCCCCTCCTGATAATCTCTCTGTGGTAGAAACGAGTCCATCTACAGCCACTCTGACCTGGTCTGCCCCACAGAGAGCTAATGGAGTGATCCAGTACTATGAGGTCTTCTATGAAAACGACTCGTACTCTGAGATGGTGAACACCACTTCTAACAGAGTCACGCTGATCAGTTTGGCACCTTTCTCATTTTACAACGTGTCTGTGAGGGCGTACACACGCTACGGCAATGGCAACCAAACATCTGAAACTTTGCACCTGCTGTCTGGAGAAGATGGTGTGTTGGAGGCTGTAAAACTTTATTTAAACCCGTTGAATTTGGCCACATTTTGTCATGTTATAACCTAAAATGAAGTTACATTTTTGTTTTGTAGGGTCCTAAAGGATGAATAGGAATAAACAGTATCTATTCATTGCAAAATACCGTAGTTTCAGTTCGACTGCACGGAAAGCATTTGTAAAACTCCACCGCCAAACAGTTCCAATATGATTTAAACCATACCTTCAAACGGGTCATTCTAAATCTATATCATGTGGACTAAAAGTCTGGCTCATGGACCATTTGATGCCTTCAGATGAATTTTTTGTTGCCTGCAAGTACAGTTACGTTTGTACTTACTGAACCTCCAGGTGCTGTCTATGTATCTTTCATGTATTAACAGGTTTTCTTGCTGGATTGTCTCCTTATTTTGTTTCTACCACTTTCCTGTCAACTACAAACAGCTTCACTATGTCTACGAACATTTATATATGAGATTACAAATAAAAACAGATTTTTTTATATATATATATATATATGATATTGCATTTGATTTAAAGTTGGTGATACTGGATTTATACTACATCGTTTTAGGGTATCAGACACAACAGGGTGAATACAAATGCTTTCTATGCTTTTCATCTTTTATTCATATTTCATTTAAAAAGAAAGTATAAGCAATGCTATTTACAGTTAAATAAATTTAAATTAAAAGATTGTGATTTGAGTTTGTAACATGACAAAAGTGAAAACTTTTTAGTGTTTGATACTTTTGCAAGGCAGTCTTTAAAAATGCATACAGTACATTCAAGGAGCTCTACAAGCTATCAGACCAAATTCCGTAAAAATTCAAAAAATATCCACTGGACTTGGTTTTCAAGATTTGAAGACGTTTCGCCACCTCTCCAGGAAGCTTTCTCAATTCAAATGTCTGGATCCGCAGTGAGGATCCCACTGCGGATCCAGACATTTGAATTGAGAAAGCTTCCTGGAGAGGTGGCGAAACGTCTTCAAATCTTGAAAACCAAGTCCAGTGGATATTTTTTGAATTTTTACGGAATGACTTTGACCTGGATGACTGAGAACCTTCATCAACCTATCAGACCAAATGTTTATCCTCTCTCTAGTTCCAGGTAGTCCTCCATATGGACTGTCCTATGAGTCAGTCAGTCCCAGTGAGGTGAATGTGACATGGAACGCTCCCCTGCAGCCAAACGGGGTTGTTACTCACTACAGCCTGGAGCTCTGGAACTCCACACACTACCTGAACCTCACCTCACCGACCACCTTCCTCCACATCACGCACCTGAGGAAATATGCTCAATACCGCATTGTGGTTCAAGCACACACTCGGGCAGGGCCAGGAAACTTCAGCAGCGAGCCACTCAACATCACCACACTTGAGGATGGTGAGAGGGATGGGCTTGGGTTTTGGGTTTTTTTTTTTAAATGGGAGGAGTTCTGGTTAATATCCAGCTCCTGGTGGGATTATATCTGAATGATTATTTTAGCGGCTATCTGATAAATCCTAATTTTCCAGCCAGGTTTTTCTACCTGTTTTAATCTCTGTTTCAGCTAAGGCTAATGATGTTACATCACAGGTTTCTCAGCCTATGGGATCCCCATTCATCTCATCCAGAGTCACAGTCTAAACATCTACATACTAACAGAGTTTTTTGTTTTAGGAGAGTATTCCATTCCTCGCTCTGCATTTGTATGGGAGCAGTCACATTTTTCTGCCTTGCACTTTCCCCAATCTTTCAAAAGTTGATCCACCTACCTTTTCAGTTCATCTTTGTTTTGCAACACTGGAAAGTTTTTCTCCTGCATCTTAGCTCCAGACACTCCCCCTCAGTTTCTCCAAGCCAGGAAGTTATCAGACTATGAGGTAGAACTGTCATGGGAGCCACCACTTAACGCCAACTCAGAAATACTCTACTACCTTGTCAGAGTTTGGTGAGTTTGGAAATCATAATTACTCTCTTTTTATTTTCTTCTTTGCAAGTCTGAAGTTTATTAGAAAAAGACCTGACAGTGCATCATCAGTTGTTTTCCGTTTGTCAGGAATGAAACTACTGAAATGTGGCAGAATGTGACAGAGACGTCGGTGGTTATTAATGTGGATTCAGAGAGTCGCTACAATGCCTCTGTCTCCAGCTGGACTAGACTGGGAGATGGAGGGGTGCTGATCTATATCAGCTTCACCACCACAGAAGCAGGTACTGCAGACAGCTGGCTTTATTGTTGCTTCACATACAAACTGATGTTTTTCTTTGTGTATTTCAGCATGATGTTCTTTCAAACCATATGTTCTTTCAAACTCCTGTCGTGTGTTTCAGAGCCATTTGACCCACCACAGAATGTGACAGTTGTCAATGTGACTGCTTCCTCTGTCACCTTGATGTGGCAACCACCCACTGAACCGAATGGGATCATTGTGCACTACACTATTTACTACACTGATAACGGTACTGTGACAGAAAAGGTAAATCAAAGGTTTGGCTAAGGTATTGTTCTTTAAATTCATACTTCTCCCAGCACAGCACTCCTATAGAACTGTAATAAATGATTAATCTTAGGGTTTCCCAAACATATTTCTTTTATTATTTTAATCTTACAGATAACTATTAAGTAAAAAAAATCTGTTTTGTTTAAAGTAGTTAGACACCTTCAGTGTCTTTCATTGGCCACTCTGTGACAGACCAACATAAAGAAGAGAACAGTTGTGAAATTAAAATACAAGGACAGTGTAAATGTGAGGGTGGAGGTTGGTCGAGGACCCAAATACAGATATGAGTTCTTGTAGGTTTAATGTAGTCAAAGGGCAACAGAAACAAAATCCAAGAATCAAACCAAAAAAACAGGAAACGTCAAGATAGAACACACATACTGTAGGGAGTCAAATAACAAGGACCCAGTCCTGAACAACTGCACAGGGAGAGTATATATAGGAGACGGAACAAAGACCGGGGTAATCAGTTGATATGGAGCAGGTGTGGATGGAAGTGACTAGAAGGGAGCTAGGGGAAAGGAGACAGGTACAAGAGGGCAACAGAGAGTAACTCAAGACTGCTTAAATATAACACAAAATGGGAAATAAACCAAAGACCAACAAAACAGAATTACTTAGATAGCTGAAAACTTAAAATTCAAAGTCTAAAAAGGGAGAACCATAAAAGACAAAGGCTTTTGACCGCATGCTGAATTTCTGTTCAGATGTTGGTGCACTTACTTACTGCTGCAAACCACTGAAACTTATGTATATGTTTTGATCGAAACCCTTCTGTTGGATGTTTAGGGTTGTTCTCCTGCTGGTACAGTGGGTGAACCTCTAAACCATCACAATTCTTTTACAACCTTCAACTACTGTGCTCTATTTATCTTCCTTCCTCTTCTATTTAGCTATGAACAACTTCCCCTTCTTTATTGAAAACAAATAAATCCCTGCCAGCATCATGCTGTTACCACCAAGTTTCACTGTGTGGATGCTGCTAAACAATATAGTCTGCCATTTTGTTTTGAATTAAGACTAAAGAAATCAATGCAAATCTCCATTTTCAGTGCAAAATCAATATATTAACCATGTGTGCTGTTTTGTACTGATGTATTAAAGGATAACTGACAGAATAGCTCTCTGTGAAATTGTCAAGGGTTGAGAATTTATTTTCTAATTTAACTCTGCTTTAAATGTATCTTTAACTTTTTTCGTTATTAAGTGTTAAACCTTAAGGTCCTCCCTTTCCCTAGTGTTCTCTAACAGATCTTTAAGGCTTTTAAAAAACAGTTATAATTGAATTGGGGTTATTTGTACATTTTGTAACTATTCACTATTTTTTTTTTTTTTTTTAATGGGTGGAAGCAGTGTTTAGGCATGTTATTAATGTTTAGTGTTTAATACAGATGCATGCCAGATTTTTGTACTCAAACAAACAGTAAGTAGAGAATATTTTCTAAGAGAAACACATAAAAAAACTGAATGTTGTCTGTTCAAAGATTGCAAGCAGTGGTAATTTGCCATTATGCCAGAAAGAATGACATATCCTGCTGGGTCTTAGTGGCCTGTTTGAGATCAATACCTTCCTTATTATTATTTCTAAAGTCTTTGTATACCAACTCAAATGTGCAATTGTATAAATGCCTGACTCACTATGTGAAAAATGATCACAGCACTATTTTTGCCCACAGAGAGTTCTTGTGACAGACTTACCTGTCCGTTACTCTCCCAACTCACCCTTCATCTACACCGTGACTCAGCTGATCGGAGGCAGCAATTACACCATGTGGATGACTTCGAGCACCATACAGGGCGATGGAGGGGTCCAGTCAGAGCGTATAAACCTGCTCTTGCCGGAAGACGGTCAGTCAGAAACACAAACAAACCCCAGACTGCATATATCTACATATATTCATATAAATAAAATATAAATACTTATTTGAAAGGTCTTTGAAGGCTAGATGATACAAGTAATAATTCAGAACATTACTGGAGGGCAAGTCTGCACCCTTTTTTCACATCTCCTCTTACCTTGAAATAAAATTACATAAAAACTCTGCAATAAAGCAGGTTTCAGGCTGGCAGTCGCAGGAGAAAACTGCCAGTGACTCAGAACTGATTGGCAGTGACAAAAAAATGACTTTTAAATGCATAAAAAAGTAAGGGATGGAAAAAAAACCTGAAAATATAAGTTACTTTGGATAAAACATGGAGCCAATAAGCTTTGTGAAAGTTTGACTGGTTTTATGATACCAAGATATTGCTTCTACAGCAATAAAGTTTGCATATTTAATTGTGGTTATTTTTTGCTTGCTGTAGTAAAAGAATCAAAGTCTCTAGGTTTTTATGTGATTTTGGGAAAAATAGTGCAGACTGCTACCAGACTTTAGAGCAAACAGATTCTGTAATGTTAATATTTTGTCTGTGAAATATTTTCTGTCTCTGTATGTTCATACTGACCCTGTATCTCTGCCTGTGCTCCAGTTGCTCCACTATCAGCCAAACATCGGACCTCCAGGGCAACTTGTCACCCCTGCCAAGCCAAGCCCAGCAGGGGCTCGCTCGCCGGGTCATAGACTAATGACTTTATAACCATTATTTGTTCTTATGGTTAAAAATTAACATTCCCCTTTATTTACCTTTTTTCTACTCTGTGTATCATGATGTATTTCTGAAGGAGCTGACAAAAGGATGAGTATTTCTTTAACTTTCCTTCTAACTTTGCTATATTTTCAGTGTTGAACTTTCACCCCGTCATCCCCATGTGCATTTCATGTTGTGCTGCTGATGTGATTGAGTATTCGTCTGTCTCCCAGTACTGTTAATGCACTTTTCAGCTGTTCTAATTCATGTCAATTTTAAAATAATGCTTTAACCAATTTGCTGTTTATTTCCAATAAATGCGACTGTGTTTTTGATGATTGACACCCTCATTGTTAGAAGTTCCTTTGTTAAGCGTCAGTTTAACTTGTTACTGCAGTAGTATTTGCGTAAGAGTAACACAGTTTTACTTTTTTCATTTTCCAGTGCCAAGTGACCCAGTCTCAAACCTGACGGCTCAGAATTTCAGCTCCACGGCCATCATTGTGAGCTGGGATCCTCCCACTGAGCCAAACGGACGTCCATACTACATACTCACCTTACAGGAGGCAGGGATATTCCCAAATATGACCAGCCAAGGGATTCCGGCTGTCAACAAAACCATCAGGCAAACTACTACAGACAATGTTTTCCTGTTTACCCGACTAAGGAAGTATTTCCCATATGTACTGACTGTTACTCCAGCAACTGGTGCTGGTCCTGCCTACAACCAAACAAGCACAAAGTACCTGAGAACAGATGATGACAGTGAGTCTATGGAATTTTATTTTTTCTTACATCCAAGATTCAATGTAATACATTCTCATTTATGTAGGTTTGCCAAGATGAGCTGGTTACATTTTACTGAGGAGAGCACCTTACAAAAGAACTCTGATAACTATAATGTTTTTCAAAATGCAAAAATAAACTTTAGTTTATAATATGTTAAAATTTTTATATGAAGAGCTTCCTTCTAGTTAGATTGAACCCTTTTTAAATTCTTAGATAAACTCCCATGCAACCCCTGGCTGGAGAAATCATCTTATAAGTGAAATGAGTCAACAAGTGTGTATCTTAAAGATATAGTGGAGGATCTTTGCAAATTTTTGAAAAGACCCACCCTCTCCACAAAAAAATGCACATGGCAAACCCTGTACCCGCACCCCTCTTGTTAAAGTTGCTGCTTGCATTGCTCATACAAGCTTTCCAAAAGAAGGTTTGCAACTTTTCCACTATGTCAGACTCACCAAAATGGGGACGAGCACGTAGGACGGCTTTAGGTAAACATACCACCAGAATGATTGGTAATCAAGAGGACCACTTATTTTGATAATCCACCTGGAAAAGCAACATCCTACACTGTACCTTTAATCTGAGCATTGTGGTTGCATCCTCTTTATGTGTGAAGGCTGTTTTTTTTTTTGCTGTGTCAGAGTTGATAGGAAGATTTTCCTAATATAGAACAATTCTTGAAAGCTGGTAGATTTCCCACCAAAGAATATCACCTGAAACTGCCTCAAAAGGTGATTGTGAAAAGTATTCACCCAAAATGTCTGAATCCAAATGACTCAGAATTTTACATTTTACAGATGGTGGTGAAGATTCTCATTCATCCAGGTCATAGTCATTCCAAAAAAAGAAAGTTGATAATAATTTAACAACAATTCCCTTTAACGACCCCCCCTTTCAGAGACTTAGACGGGTATGGGTTATAGGCTAACAAAAGAAGCCAAACGACCCCATTCCAAACGGGTGGACCCCTTCGTCCGTTTTAATTAGCATGTTTTAAAAAGCAAAAACAAGGTTTTGATGGGCTTCTGTAGAAAACCTCGAACTCAACGCTTGTCCTGACATTTTGAATTGAAAAAGCTTCCTGGATGAGAAGCGAAACGTCTTCAAACTTGGAAACAAAGTTCAGTGGATTATTTTTAACTTTCTTTTTTTGGAATTACATAATACATAATTTTATTAGATAAAAAAATTATATTTTTGACCATATTTATATCCTAATTAATGTACATTAAAATGTGTTGTTGTAAAGAAGGAATGTGAAAAGCGTCCTACAGTACCTTTCCAAACCAGTTTATATTAGTATCACCACTCTGATCATTGGATGTGTCTGTTTATTAGGTCCAAGTTCTCCTCCATTGCTGTTGTCAACTAGAAACCTTTCTTCGTCTTCTATCGCTGTGGTATGGCAACGCCCTCTGGAGGCTAATGGAGAGATAACAGAGTACACCCTCACTCTGTCTGGACCTGAAGGCACCAACACAACACAGACCACCAACACCTCAGTCATCCTTACCGACTTGGTGTCGTACACGGCTTACAACCTCACCATCCTAGCCTCGACGCGTAAAGGCTCAGGGCCTAGCCTGCTCATGCAGCTTCACACTGATGAAGGCGGTATGTTAAGAAAGCAGATCCAACAGATTTCTATAACGCTGAAGTGAAGTTAAATATTTTCCTAACTTTGTCTTCCAGGCCCCTCCACCCCTCCCGGTAACCTGACTATATACAACCATACAGCAGTTTCCGTGTGGCTGACCTGGGATCCTCCTCTAGAGCCTAATGGAGTTGTGATAAAGTACGGATTCAGGATCCAAGACCTCATCACACAAACCGTCACACATCGGGTACTGTTAATTTCACACACTGAAAGCTTCTTCACAATAACAACAGTACACACACAACCCAACCTACACACACACACACTCCACAGAACCACTCAGTAAGAATCAAACAAACGGGGGATAATTTCACACTCCAAGTATTGCTCTGTGGTAATATTATTCCTAAACGCACGTGCGCATTTATGTGCTGATACACTGATCTTATCCACTCCATCGGTTAAGTCTGGATAACTAAATCTTGTATGTGTGTTTCATTTTGGTTGTGTGTTGAAACAAATGTAGAATTCCTCTGGTTCATCGACCATGGAGCATCTGTCAGGCTTCAGGCCTCATAGCTCCTATGAGATCAGTGTGTACAGTTACACCAGAGTGGGCCATGGGAATCAGTTCAGCAGCCCTGTGACCTTCACAACCAATGAGTCAGGTAAGACTCACACTAGGGAAAGTAACACATGTGCATGTCTACGCTTAGATTAGTGTTAAAGTTTATATTTCCAGGTGAACATTTTTTATTCAAATAAAAATATTTTGTTTTCAAAAAGACATACAGTATAGGAGCAACTTGGATTGTTACAATGAAAACCAAATTTATGAAGAAAGATCCAACTTCCTGGATGCCAAACTAACAATAACCCCAAAATAAGCATTTGTAATTTTTATTGTGTATTTATCTTTTTAAAAAAACTGTTATTATTAGGGCATTCCTACATTAAAAAATGACATTGCCTTAACTTGCCTGTATCTAAAATTACGTCAGGAAAAAAATTCTTAAAACATTTCTGAAAAAGTGACAAACAAGGCTGCACAAGAACTGACTTTCCAGCATGCAATGAGGAAGATTACTTGTAAGCCAAATAAAAAAATGTTTGAAAACTGCAGAACAGAACAGTAGGAGTATGCTAGTGTTATTAAATATCAACAGCCTCTCCGACTGCAGGGCAATGCTTTTCCAGTGGAAAAGCATGGTCACAAGTTTAAGAATCAGCTTTGTTTACTGGTGATAAGTAGATATAAGAATTATAACCACAGGAATGAGATGCCGGATCCAAGGGATGGAGGCAGGTATTCTCCATGGTGTGGCTGTACCCAGGTTTAAAGCTCTGTCGTTTTGATAGAGCTACCTTTAAAAGCTTTAAAGGCAATAAATGTTGCAAAGAGCAAGACAGATCCAGAACTTACTAGAACCACACTTATAGCATCTCATTTGCATTGTTAATGTATTTTTACAACTTTAATCAGGGTTGCAGTATCAATCAGTAAAACTCTAAAAGAAGCCCTGAGACCTTTTTAGATGTTTACCTTTGGCTGTCAATACAGAAGAATAAATATTGCAGCCATATTAGGAGCTATGGTTTGAAAAGGTTCAGAGATTCAGTCTCAAGCCTGAGAGCAATGTTTCTAAAGGCTGGTTTGTTTAGGAAGGTGAGTAACAATAATACAATCTCAAGGAAATAGATATGTGACTAATAATTTCCGGTTCTGATGTTAGACAGTAAAGATGTATATCGCTGCACCAAAGACTGCACAGAAAGATTGAACGCAAAACTGCAGGCAAAGTGTACTACAACCTTCAAAAAGATTCTAGATTACAGAGAGTTTTCATTTCTAGTATCATTCTTTCCAGGGGACAAAATGGACTTCTGTCTTGTTTTGATATCTTGGTTCAATTTGGCAAGATATTGTTCATCCTCTAACACAGTTAGAGGACTAGCACTAATGTAAGACATGAAGCTTTAATACCTTAAATAGATTTAAACATGTACCCACATTTATTTATAGGAGGGACGACAAAAGCAACTATGGGTGGACAAAATATTTATTCTTTATTCTTTGAAAGTGAACTGAGGAGCTTCTAAAACTTGTAAAATGTAATTTTAAAACTGTTTGTGTTGTAAATATGTCAAAGGGACCATTTTATCTTACATAATCTTAAAAAATGGAAACAAAAGAGAAACATAACATTTAATTAAAGCAGATTAACAGTGACTGCTGTGATTTTGGAAATAGCTACTTGAAAATTATGACTAGCTTTAACTTTTCCATATCTACAATTAAGCTGCAGGGCTCAACGATAAGCTGAGTTTATATTGATGCACAGAAAGGATGGAAAGCAGATTGAAAAAGAATCAAATATTTAATGCAGGAGAGCCCTACCAAAGAGTTACGAGGAAATATACTTCTGTTTCAAAAAATAAACGAGGGCCTAATAGTTGTTTAGAGAACTAATGTGATGTTTGTGTCAAAATATTTAATTGACAAGAAATGCTCTAAAAGAGTAAGCAAAAATGTAAACCCCTTTATTGTCCCACAATGGGGAAATTGACTCTCTGCATTTGACCCATCCCATCGGGGAGTAGTGGACTTCCATTGTGTGGCACCCGGTGAGCAGTGTGGGGTTAAGAGTTTTGCTCAGAAACCCAGAGTGGAGGGTGTGGGGCTCGATCCAGGTACCTGCAACCTTCTTAGAACACAAGCGCACTGCTGTAACCACTGCTCCACATTCAGCTCCACTACGCATACAACGCCACAGACTTTATTGTAGGTAAATGCTTGATAAAGTCCACCTCATACAGAAGTTATAAAGCATTTCCTAAAAGCAAAGAAAGTCTGAAGCCTGAGTCTGTGTTGGTAATCCAAAATTGTGCTTCTGTGGCTCAGACTCTTAGTGCTAGTATTTTACACCCCCCAAAAAAAAAAAAAGTTTCAAAACACTTGGCACAGAAGGTCGATTTTATTATTAAAGGAATTCTGGTCAAAAAGCATAATATTGGCTGTCTGGATGAAGAGCAAAAATGGCAAACATCTGAAAACTCATTGTAACTACAAAAAGTTCAGTTATTCACAAGTGACAATTGATTTCTGTTTTTTTAGACAATATAGAAGATTAAAATAAGATTAAAGAGAAATGAGGTACTGCTTTCAATAAAAATTTAATTATACATTTTTCAATGTGACATTTATTAATTTTCTCTATCCAGAGCTGATAATGACAGCCTATGCCAGTTGTTATTGTGTGTATTGTGAACACCCAGATTACAAGTCCATCACAGTGCCAAGCACAGATACACACAAGGAAAGCACTATTTGTTACTGTAAAATAAATCAGGATTTTCTATATTTATGATATGAATTGCATACAGTATAGGCTATGAAAGCAATCAGAATACATTCTCAAACTAAAAACTAACTAAAACATGTGCAGATTGTGACAAAGAACTGCATACATACATTTACCATTTTAAAATGTAAGACTAATGCAAAAACAAGGTCAAAATTAAAACACTGATTCTAATCAATAACATCTAGCAAAATTAAATTCAGTTCTGAGGAGAGAGGTTCAACCTGTTCTCATTCTGCCCCTCTCTTCAGTATCAGATGCTGTGGGAAATCTGTCCTGCTTAGGACTGAGCTGGGACTCAGTCCTGATCTCCTGGGAAGTTCCAGCCAACCCAAATGGACAGATCCTGTTTTATGAGATCACAGGGGAGGTCAACATGCAAACCTTCACACACAAGGCTGACACACTAGAGTACACAGTGACTGGGCTGTCACCAGACCAGGAGTATGTATTGGCTGTAGCTGCAGTGAACTCTGCTGGACCAGGAGATATCAACAACTGCACAGCCTTCACCCTTTCTGAATCAGGTTAGCCATATTGGCTGTTTTCATCTGCAAAAAATAGATGATTTAATTCAAACTAAATCCTATTTGTCTTTTAACAGTTCCAACTGCTCCTCGCCTCCTCTCTATCTCTGAGGTCACAGCCACCAATGTGACACTTGAGTGGAAATCACCGGTCTCTGTTCCTGGCCTGCTGAAAGAGTATCATGTCATTGCACAGCTGATTTCCACTGTTTGCGAACCAATCATACAAGCTACTACCCTGCCAACCCTAGAGGACGACAAGGCCTTGCATTGTGTGGAGGACAATTTTACCGTTTCAGTAAATGCCGCGGATGACGCTGAAGAAAGCAGTGTCACCCTTCAATCCCTAGCTAAATACAGATACTATCGCTTCAAGGTGGCTGCAGTGACCAACGCGGGACCTGGAGCATATGCACAGTGGAGTTATGCACGCACTCTGGCTGGAAGTACGAACCCAACTGCAATGATGTGACCTTTATGTGTCAGTTAATTAGGGTTTACAGCAAGTCAGAGCATTCGGTAATATCTGACATATATTTTAGTTTGTTACCAGACTAATGATTTATACTACACATTTGCTGACCAATCAAACAATGTAAACAATCAATGAACACAAGTTTTTGTCTCTTTATAGGGTGACATCTAAAACTCTTAAACCAGTGTAGCACAATATCAGTTATTCTCCAACAGGTTATTAAAAATGATCCTAAAATGACATATCATCAATTTGCTTTAAAGGAATAGTACACCCATGCATCGTCTTCCTATACTTAACAATTATGATGATAAAGAGACCAGCTTAAATCAGCTGTGTAACATCGCTTTGCAGATTAAAGATTAGAAAAACAGACTGATGAAATAATAGTCCCAATATTAATCCTAGTGAGCGAGGGATGCTTAAAGGAATAGTACACCCAAAACATGATTAGCCTTCATTTTCTACTCACCTCCATGCTGAACAACACTCTGGAGTACTTTTTTGATATCTCAAATGCATCTGGAGATCTGGGAGGCTTCTTGCTGTCTGCTGACATTCAAATAATGGAGGTCCATGGCGCCCGAGACAGAAAGGTCCATAAAAGTCCACAAAAACGTGTCAATATTCCTCCATACTGCTCGTCCAATGTAATCCAAGTGTCCTGAGTGGGTAGCATCCAGAATTTACTCGAAACGAAGTCATTTAGAATGTTTTTAGAGCATAAACAGTAGTGTATAGGATTTCCTAATAGCGCCCCCATGCGCGCTCACGATTCTACGGAAGCCGGCAGACCAAACCAGCGCATTCAGCTCGGCAAAGAACTCATGCTCTTCCTCAACACTGAAGTCCTCAGACATTTTTCTTTCGTTGTTTCTTTCTTTGCACAGGTAAACAGCACATTTCTTCTTCTACGCTTGCATTATCGGCAGACCAGACGCTGAATGCGCACTTTCTTCCGGTTTGGTCTGCCGGCTTCCGTAGAATCGTGAGCGCGCATGGGGGCGCTATTAGGAAATCCTATACACTACTGTTTATGCTCTAAAAACATTCTAAATGACTTCGTTTCGAGTAAATTCTGGATGCTACCCACTCAGGACACTTGGATTACATTGGACGAGCAGTATGGAGGAATATTGACACGTTTTTGTGGACTTTTATGGACCTTTCTGTCTCGGGCGCCATGGACCTCCATTATTTGAATGTCAGCAGACAGCAAGAAGCCTCCCAGATCTCCAGATGCATTTGAGATATCAAAAAAGTACTCCAGAGTGTTGTTCAGCATGGAGGTGAGTAGAAAATGAAGGCTAATCATGTTTTGGGTGTACTATTCCTTTAAGCATCCCTCGCTCACTAGGATTAATATTGGGACTATTATTTCATCAGTCTGTTTTTCTAATCTTTAATCTGCAAAGCGATGTTACACAGCTGATTTAAGCTGGTCTCTTTATCATCATAATTGTTAAGTATAGGAAGACGATGCATGGTTTTCAAAACTTGTTGCAAATAAGAATTTGAAACACAGGTTTTGCATTCACATTCAGCTCCCACTTACTCTTTCTGCCAGCTTTGCACATTCAGACAGAATTACATCATGCATTTACTAAATATTCCAAACCCAGACAGACTGAATAATCTTATCACCAATTCTCATTTGAATGTAAGTCTGGAGAATGGAAATAAAGGACACACATTCAAAATCCAGTGTATTGGGTGCAGGGCCACAACATACCCTGACTAACACATTAAAGAAGGTCTCCAATGCAGGCCAAAGCCATACCATTTCTTGGACAGATAAAAGTGTATGTAAGCAGAGATGGCATCTCATCCGTAGTATCAGGTTTTTCAGCAAAGATTAAATTCAGATGGATGGACGAACCGATGGACAGACGGACCTACCTATTTTATATTTAGCACCAAATTCAAACACCAGGTTTTGGAAAAGAATCATAAATACTACATTTTAAGAATCTATTTATCTGTCAGTAACCCCAAAAAAGCCCAACCTCAATTTGTTTGTTTATGCATACGATATTAGAGCTAAAGCATGTTAAGAGGTAACACAACTTTTAATTTGAATGTGGACATAAAATAAGGGAACTAAGGAAAAGTTTATATTTCAAATTCCTCATTTAGATCTTTCGAGCCTAAGGCATTCTGTGTGTTCTGGACTGACTACTGTAGGTTTTTCCAACCTTTAAATATTCTTTGATCTGAACCACCCCATTACAGAATATCTCTGAATGCAATAACAGTAGTATCATAACAACTTTTCACTGTCCCAATAGGGAAAGTTTGCCCTACAGCCCAGAGAAAAATCAGTCATTTAAACTTGAAACCATATATACATTTCAATGGAAAAACATCAATAAAAATATTTATTAAAAATATCTTACTAGATTAGCAAAGTAATTACATCCAGTCACATTTCAACTTGATCAGAATAATGACCTGAGAATTGAAAAGGTTTGTATTACTTTGACCCTATTTTAGGCCGTTTAAATCTCGTACCAAATAGGAGGAGTTTAAGTCTTCCTGTTGAAACACGAACTTCCACTTCAGTCTGCCGGTCACGTATTTAGCTTTGTCCTTTTTTATCCTTACCAGCTTGTTTTTTTTCCTGTGAAGTATGGCATGCTAACAGTATGATGCTCCCACTATAGTATATTACCACTGGAAAGGCATTTAAAAGAGTAGTTTTTCAAATACTCATAAAAAAATGTTTGAGCTATTATTTCAAACAGGCAGCAGAGTGTCTGACTAATAGTTTTTCAGTGAACAGATTATCTTCTCCTCTGAGTAGTAGATCTTAGCAGCTCTTTAGCTCCTAATAATGATCTCCTCACCACATCTTTTTTTCCTTCAACTTCACCTTTATGTGCTGTTTTGGGGATGTCTATAACCTAGAATTCCAGGAGTTAGAGGTATGAGTACTATTACAAGGCTCTTAATTATATGATGATATTGTCTTGATTTGGCAAACACATTCATTGTCACCTCCCGCATTACCATAATGGCTTTACTAATATATTCTGGCAGCATGAAGTAACCTAGCTCCCCAAAGGCACCAATTGAGACAAAACAAATCTCTTTGTTTGCTCAGGATGAAACAAATAGGTTACCTTAGTGTCTTTGATTTTATTTTCTCCTTTGGGATTAAAGTCTCTTCCCGGCTTATATTGACCCCATGCATTTCAGGTAATGAAATATGTTTTGCTTATCTCCTCTCCTTAGAACCTGACGCTCCTCCCCGTGACCTTAAAGTGACTCCAACCTCCACCAGCCTCCGGATTGCGTGGCAGGTTCCAGCTGTTCTCTCGGGACCAACTTCATATCTAGTGCAGGTCGCCCTTCTGAGCTACAACCTCCCTATATAGACATGTCATTAGGAAAGCTCATTGTGGTTTTGCTTTGGTCACAGTTTTAAAACTGCAAATGAAGCACTGAATGGGGTTTTGAGTATTAAATGGAAATCAATTGATAATAATCAAGAACTTCTCTTACTTCAGGTGGATGGTCCTGGTGTGAACATATCAATAGTTCGGGGCCCAGGAGAATTGACTACAGTCTTTGTGACCAATTTAACAGCTTTCAGTAATTATGCCGTGACTGTCACCGCCTTTACTGGTTCATTAGAGGATGCTGGCAGTGACGGGAGAGCCATTGGGCCTATTGTCTTTCAGACACTGGAGGAGGGTAGGTGTAAATCCATTTTCTTATTGGCTTTATTTCTCTGCTTTTGCACCATTTCCTCTTTTCTTTACAGAGCCCAAAGACCCTCCCAAGAATGTTACTGTCACTGCTGTCCCAGAGGAAGTGAACCTGGTCAGGGTGAGCTTCAGTCCCCCTGAAGAGCCCAATGGAAACATCACAACTTATTACCTATTTGTGTATGAGAAGGACCGGCTGATTAAAAATATGAGCCTTGATAATATCCAAGGAGAACCCAACATGCTGGTCGCTTTCATAGAAGGGCTTAAAGGAGGGCACACCTACAGTATACAGGTGAGAAACTCATATTGCATGTAGACATAGAGCTACATTCTCCATGAGACTGAAAACAAAGACTATTATCTTTAATTCACAGGTCTTTGTAAATCTAAATGCTAACAATAGATCTTTTCCTATGGCAGAAAAGGGTGTGTTTTTGCCCTGAAACAATTGACAGCCATATATTGGAGGTAGCTTTGATGCATTTAGGGCAAACTCTGTCAGTACAGGTGCAGATCAAATGATTGGATTAGCTTGAAACATTTCAGAAGGTTAAATGGTTTTCAGATGAGTCACTTTACTAGGCAATTGTTTGTTGCCTAGACTCCCAGTATCAGTGACTGCCTTCTGGCCATCAGTTAAGTTGGAAGTCTTCTTATTTGTTCAGCCATTTTTTAAAGACACTGAATTATTAATCAGTCACAACAACCTGCTACAATGCTTAGAGACAAATCAGATGTTACGTGAGAGAAGAGAGACATTATTTAAAAGTTTTCTGACCTTGCATGGTAGAAGCACTTTATTTTTCTTCTAAACCATATAGTTTCCAGTTAATGGGGATGCAGTGGGCCTGGAAAAAACTACAGTTTAATGAAGTAACAAACCCAAGCAATCCTGTTTTTGATTTCTGTAAACCTACAGCTCTTGTTATTTTCTGTGCTAATCCTCCCGGTGCCTCCCCTGATTCCATGTGTTTGTCCTGCCTGCAGATTGCAGCCAGAAACGGGGCGGGCAGGAGCCCACTGAGTCCCCATGTCCAGATAACTACGGGGATTAAAGGTACAAGCTCCTGTTCTTAGCAATGCTCAGCGTTTTTTTTTTTTTTTTTTTTTGTCGCGGTGATCAAGCATAATTATCTGGTTGAATTTTTTAGTTTTCCTAAAAATAAAAAAAACAAACCTGTCCTTACACATTAAATGTGTCATTAGTCATGTAATGGAGAGCATTTCTGTATGATATAGTTCCCCTTTAGAAGTGCATCTGATACAAATATCGTTTCCCCTGATATCTGTGTGTGTGTGTGTGTGTGTGTGTGTGTGTGTGTGTGTGTGTGTGTGTGTGTGTGTGTGTGTGTGTGTGTGTGTGTGTGTGTGTGTGTGTGTGTGTGTGTGTGTGTGTGCTGTAGCCCCATCCAAGCCAACCCAAAGACCCCAAGCAGTTCTGGGCCAAGGAGGGGTTGCCATAGTAACCCACAGGAGCATAACCATCCGCATGCCAGCCTGTTTCTATAGTGACGACAACGGACCGATTGCAAAAATCCAGGTCATCGTGGCCGAGTCAGGGGGTATCCACTTTTTAGTCAAATACATTTCAAACAGACGTTTGTTGAGTGTGTCATATTTTCACAATGCACCTCCTTTTTGCAGTTCATAAAATAATAAACTCAGGCAGTTTTTTTTTTCTTTTTACACATTCTTCCCTTTTTTATCCTGTCTAGTGAGGGACAGCGAGAACCTGACCAACTGGAGGACAGCCTACCATCAGCGTCCTGCTCCTTACTTTACTGATGAAGGGTTCCCCAACCCCACATGCTTAGAGAGGGACAAGGCAGCAGGTGTGGATATGCATGTCGTAAGCGGTCGTAGGGTGTCTGGACTCAACCCTTCACTGCGGAGGTACAACCACACCAATGCAGGGACCTACGTGATTGGAGAGAATGACAACTGCATGCAAGAGAACAACACTGATCATTTCTGTAACGGGCCTCTGAAGGCCAACACTGTCTATGTGTGAGTCCTTCAGAAGAATTCTGGACCTTTAAGAACTTTGAAAAACTTTAACTGGGGTTTTTAAAAGAACGAAAAAAACTCTTCTGTTTTGCTGTTGGTTTGTGTTAACAGGTTTAAATTCAGAGCCACTAACATCAATGGCCAATATACAGACTCTGAATTCTCTGAGCATATCAGGACTACAGGTAAGTTTTCAATGAATAACTAAGCAAACATCACTCTGCATAAAAAAATAAAAACTCACTATGCTTTTTTCTTTATAGAAGGGCTGATATTTTTAGATTTGCCCTGAGTTCAATACACTTGAATTAAAAGGCTGAATTACCTCCTCAGTGTGCAGTCAATTTCTCCAGAGACCTCTTAATTATCTAATTACTTAATTCAGGTGTGTTGGTCCAAGGACACATTTAAAAGTTGCAGGATACAGGCCCTTGAGCACTAGAGTTGCCCGCCCCTGTTTGATTCCAATAAAACAGCAGGTACAGTGTAAGAAAAAAAAAAAAGATTAGGACTTGCCTCTACCCTAGAGGGCAAAATGTAAAGAAATAAGAACTGATTACACTTCTTCCACTAGTGCATGCAATTCTGCTCAAAGGGTAAGATGTATTGAGCCTGAATGTCAAAGTTAGTCTACTGATAACGACTCTAAATGTTTTCCCTAATGTGCAAGGGCTCAAAATTAAACATACAAGCTCTGATACATACTGTACTTCCTGTTTAAAACACAGGTAGATAATTAAACACTGGAACTAGTTTGATATTTAAACAGAAAAGATCCTAAACACACATCCAAACTTGTGTTGAATCAATAAAGCAGAAAACATGTATGCTTTATGATGGAGAAATTCTACCAAACACAAACTTGTGCATCCTGTTTTTGCAAATAAAAATCCATGACACATATAAATTTTATTCTCAGTCCAGTCTGAAAAAGAAAGGGGTTTTATAACTTGTTCAAAGGCTCACATTGTTCACTCTGATCATGGGTGCCTGCTAGTTATATTTGGAAGGAAATATTCTTCTTGTTTGTTTGATTTAACATAAGTGAAAAGTATTTATCTCTGATTTTGCAGCAGATGGACTGCTGACCAAAGAGGAACAAATCATCCTGGGTGTTTTGCTGTCATTCTTCCTGGCCGTGTTACTCATCCTGCTTATCTGTTGCTCAGTCAAGTAAGATTTAAAACAAGCCTGCATAAATTTACAACTAAACTTAATTATGAATGCATTACATTTCTCAGTGAAAGTAACTACTATAAGTTACTTTTTGTTCACAGGATCCACCAGCGTAAGAAGGAAGGTGGGACCTATTCACCCAGAGAAGCTGAGATCATAGAGACTAAATGCAAATTAGATCAACTGATTGCTGTTGCTGATATGGAACTGAAGCAAGAAAAACTCAATCGGTAAGTCTTTTCCTGTTTGTATAGAAAGAAACTGCTCAACTTTAGGCTTGATTTGTCTGTGTAAGACAAGATTCAAAATCTGTGTGAGCAAGGTGAAAACCCTCTTTGCTCTGGTTGACTTGACATGCAGCTCCTGTCAGCACAAAATCATCTAGCAGTGTTGAGTTTGTGCAAAAAATAGAAACAGTAGCAGCAGAAAGATACAACACAGAATTGTGGCTTTGTAATTTCTCTTCTCGTCAGTTCTCTGCAGAACAGAGAAGTCATTCTGCCTCCTTTATTCCAAAGAAAGATCAGCTACAAAATCTAACATCCAACTTTTTCTAGGTTTGTTTCTTTTCTTGTAGAGAACAAATTTCCCCACAACTTGCTTAAAAAAAAAAGAAAAAAAATGAACTCTAAACTTTTTCTGTTGTAAATTGCAAAGCTTTTACAAGTAAACATGCATTACTTTTTATTGGATAAAATTACTATTTTAGAAGTTATATTTTATTTTGACTCAGACTTAACTTTATTTATCCTTTGGGATATTCTTTGTATTTATTTAATCATCAACTTTCTGAACTTGTGTGTGTCTTTTCCTTCGTTATCTCCTAAGCCATCAGGAACATCAGTAAAGATTTTCTGTGGCTAACATTTCTATAAATCCTCTTAGTTCTTCTGTGGGAAATGTTTTCTTCCTTCAAAAGGCTCCTACCATATTTCTGTGTGATTTATGAGCTGTCCCACCCGTGTTCATGTGGAGGTCTGTCCACAGATTTTCAATTATGCTTAGGTCAGAAGAAAAGGCAAAGCCTAGAGTTCGATCTTTATTGTGCTGTAGATACCACACTCTTTTATCTCTTTTGCTTTCCATGTGTCATTTCTGGTTTCCAGAATGTTCTGATATTTATTAGATACAGTATGTTCTGTGAAATATCCCTCTGATGCAAGCTAACAGTGACTCAAAAGATAATGACTCAGTCCTGATTCACTTTTAAAGAGATGTCATATTCTTAAAATCTTGTTTTATACAGATTTGCTCATTAGGCCAAATATATTTTTTTTCACTTTCTTGCTTTCTGCTTGAGTAAATGCTCTTTTTTTCCTTAGAAAATAAATTATTCACCTCCTCATGATGGTCATATATACTGTACCTTTGCAGTATAGTACAATAAATGAGTATACTACCACTGAAGTGTGATCTTATTTTAATTTGGTGGTTAGATCTGCACCTCAATGCATCTGAGAAGCCATTATTTAAGAAACATTCTAATTCAGAAATCACATTCACATTTCCTGATTGTCTGACTGCATAGCAGCTTTAAAGTGGAGCTAAAATGACATTGTTATCAGTAGTGCATTATTTAAATCAGTAGTCTGATTTTGTCCAAGTAATAAATGGCTCAAACAGTGATATTTCAATCTGAAGTATCTGTTTTGCTTGGTTTTGTCAAATAGGCCATTGGTTGCAAATGGACGCAGAAAATGGAGCTCCGATGTAGTGTCTCTATAAATGTGAGACAATTGTATTTGTACAATTTTGTAAATGGTTAAAACATTTAGGGGCAGTTTTATGAAGGTGCATGCTGATATTAAATGTGTGCAAATAGTAGGAATGCATGTATCATTTCAAAAAAGTTCAAAGAGAATGTAGAGGTTAATAGTGTGCAATTTACAATGATAATGAAAATATAAATGTGAGATTATGTATGCTAAGGGTATCCTAAGTATAGATCACAAGTATTGTAACCCCTCCAGATTTAAAAAAGAATTCAGTTTAGTCAAGGACAATCATTTCAGAAATATCGTGATCCAGATTTCATTCAGTACTTGGGAGCAGATCAGGACATTTCTTATTTACCTTATGTTATTACATTGTCATAATCAGAAAGTCAGAACCCTGTTGTTTGTATCAATGTTTGCATTTGTGATCTCTTTTTAAAATTCTACAAAGGAAGAATACAACAATAACCTCTCCCTGCAGGTTGCAGTCAATGTTTTATTAAGGTTCTTTTAGAGATATTGATATCTTCTCTTATGAATGTTTACTATAACACAGAGCTTCGAATGTTTTAAGGCTAAATTAGATAGACATATCTGAACATTTCATTCCCATGTTTTTGTGTCGGTAATTTGAGCAACTTCATCATCTGTACATTTCAGAGCTGCTCTGTTTAAATGAAACTATTAAGAAATGATTCTTTCAAGCATTAAGTCGTACACTCCCTTGAACATCATTCCCCCAAGTTTTTTTTTTTTTTTTGTATCTGATAATACTTGCCTCTTATCTTTATGAGTAGAGGGAATGAAAGAGGGTGACTCACCTCCCTAATAAAACATTTAGAATGACAGTCCCTCCTCTACGATGACTGTTCACTCAATTTTCATAGCAAAGGCATTTCACTGTAGTCATTTGGCCAGCATCGCTTGTCTCCTCCTCTCTGATAGGACCAGAAAATCAGCCTAGCTCTGACAGCTCGGTGAGAGTTGTTAAAACACAACATGTCTTGCAGTTCAAGCAACACACCTTTCCTTGTCACTTCCCAACTCTCTTTCCACGCAGACGTTTACATTCCCTCACACAAGCTGTCTTTCTCTCACTGAACATTTGTCTCCCACCAGGTATTCTTCCTTCTTCTTTAGGCGCAAAGAGATTTATGTCATCCAGTAAGTTGGACATTTAGTGTGTGTGTGTCTCATTTTGATGTGTTTGCATGTTCTATTCTTTTAACTTCATGCACACACACACACATACAGTGTGCCTATGTGTGTCATCATGTTGCTTATTAAGGCTTACGTCAAACCGTCCATCTGTGCAGTTTTAAGAGAGCTTCTGTGGAGGCTGATAGTTCAGTTAATCAGTGACATCAGCATTTTACCAATAGCCTGCAGGTTCTTCTCCATTCCTAGTAGAGATTGAACAGTTTAGCTGAAGTCCCTCTCCTCAAGACCCTTTTAATTTGTTTACCCAGCCCCAAATCGTTTGGAAGACGGGGAGGGCAGAAGTGCTAAGCTTTTTCAATTGTTGAAGATCCAAGTAGATTTCACAGAAGATGAGCTGCACACTTTTCATGCAATCAATTGTCCCCCTTATTCTCATTATGCAGGAAAATCAAGGTCTGCATCAGTGTTTAATCAGGGTGGATTTAACCGCAAGATGCGGTTCTAAACGCGTATCTCTGTGTATTTTCTGCTGCAATGATTAGTAAAATTTTCATGGGCAGCAAAGCCAAAGTGTGGGTTGTAATCATTGCATTAATTTGCTTATTTTGCTTCTATTTTCGTCCAGGCTGCTCAGCTACAGGAAGTCGCTCAAGTAAGTCATCTTTTATAAATGATGCGTGCATGCACACAGCAGCTGCTGGAGAAATCAGCATGTTCTTCATGGCTCTGCACTGCTTATACCCTAAAATAAGTTGATATAAAATAGTGTATTGTTGACTCTCTCTCTCTCTGTCATTAACGTTCAGTGCATTTCTCTACCATCGTCTTTGTCAGGCCTGTCAACAAGAAATCCTTCCTGCAGCACGTAGAAGATCTGTGTGCCAATGACAATGCAAAGTTTCAAGAGGAGTTTTCGGTAAATGTTTGCCTAAACGGATGGAACCTTGCACCTGCTGTTCTTTGTTCATAACGCTTCTGCTTTTCCTCATTTTCGCGTATATTTGTTTCTTATATATTCAATTCGGATTTCATTTGACAATAAAAGGTAGTGCACACAGGAGGAAGCATGTAAAGCGACTGTTATAATAAACAAATAATCAATTGCAAACAAGAGGTAAACTGAATCATGTTAATGGATTTGAAAAAGGTTTAAATGAGAAAATATTTTGGGATTTCCACATATTGCTTGGTTTCTCCCTGCATAAATGTTATGTGTTTGCTTCTATTTCAAAAGCAGCAACAAAACCCCAAACACATCAATCATAACTGATTACACATACTTCTAAAGCTCTTATAGATTTCTCTTATATAATCTCCTTATTAGTGCAATAGTTTTTAATGAGGCAAGCCAAGTTAGCTTTGAAAAGTTCAAATTCATGGCTGCTGGAGTTTTTGTGAATGCTAATGTGAATGTGTTGTTATTGTTTTTTATTTCCCCAGGATCTCCCAAAGCTGCTGCCAGACCTGGCCACAACAGACGCCGACCTGCCCTGGAATAAATCCAAAAACCGCTTTCTCAACATCAAACCCTGTATGTGGTTGGACTCAAAATGAGCAAAACAAAGCAACCTAAATTTTCCATCTTACTGCAACCTTTTTTTAACTCTGTGAAGCCTTTTTTAACAGCCTCTTACTAAATGGTCTTCCTCTCGTTCTTTGGCACCTAGACAATAACAACCGAGTGAAGCTGCTGTCAGAACCAGGCATGGCAGGATCAGACTACGTCAATGCAAGCTTTGTCTCAGTGAGTTATCACTAATGAAAAACACCTTGAACTCTGATTAGAAGTGTATTCTAAGGCTATATCTTATGTGTTTCACTTTGCAGGGTTACTTGTGTCCCAATGAGTTCATAGCCACTCAGGGTCCTCTGCCCAGCACTGTGGCGGACTTTTGGAGGATGATCTGGGAAACAGGAACCCGCACAGTTGCCATGCTCACACAGTGTTATGAGAAAGGCAGGGTGCGTCGTTAGTGATGTTACAGACATTAGGTTTCATTTCAGGGCTTCCCTTCATAAAAGGATAACATCCTCTCTGAAGCCCTGACATATTCTCTGTGTACTGTGTTTGTGACATTTCAGATTCGTTGTCACAAGTATTGGCCTGAGGACAACAAGCCAATGACAGTGTTTAGTGACATCCTCATTTCTAAGGTGTCAGAGGAAGTGCTTCCTGACTGGACTGTCAGAACATTAAAAGTAGAAAAGGTAGTTAACACGAACACACATATGCAACACTATCTGCATTCATAGGTACAACTAAACAACATTTGTTTAGTTGTACCTATGAATGCAGTATTCATTACTGATTGATTGATTAATTGAGTGATTGATACTGAATATATGCAATATATATAGTATTTACATGGGTATTTATATAGATGGGTATGATTCTATATAGCTATTGCACTGGGGATCAAATATAAAGACACATTAAATTGCACATTAAACATTGCACCAGTTACTGCTGTTGCAGTGTTGCATTGTACAGTCTGGTTGCCGCAGGGATGAATGACCTGCAGTAGCACTCTTTTTTACAAACAGGGTGTAAAAGTATTTCACTAAAGTAGCTGCTGTAGCAGACAATGAAGATTTTGACTGTTTTTTTTTCTGCTCTTAGAATAGATAAAACTAGGACAGGAATAGAGTCTTCTCTGCAGCAACTGTCTACTTAAATAAATCCCATCTATAATTAGCATGTTTTGACGAAATTAAGTTCCTTATGTGTGCTTTAAAGTTTACATAACCTCCCATTTAAGAAAATATATAATATAATATATAATTTAGTAGAATCAATTATATTTTGAATTTTTGTTTAAAAATTAACACAATTAAAGTACCCAAATTAAAGTACCCTACTCATGAACAGTGAACCAACATAGCTGTGAACAGGTGCAGTCTTACTGAATAATTCCTATAACTTTATAGAAATCACTTGATTTCAGTGTTTGCCTCAAAGTGTCGCTAAACAAGATTTTAGTTCAGAAGCCACATCAGGCTTGTTTACTTGTTTTTTTGTTAATATATGCATGTAAATATATTTTCGTAATTAAGGTCATGATTTCCATTTTTTATCATTTGTTTTTTTATTACTTTTGCCAATTTCAATTTATTTTACTAGCTGATTTTGTTTCTGTCTTCAATGGAAGGGTATTTAAATCTTCAACCACAACTGTATGTTGCATGTTTTTGTGCCTTTCTGCAGATTCCTATTTTCCAAATTTATGCCCACAAAAGCAATCTGCCTATGACCAACAATAAACTCACATTAGACTCTAAGTTATAATTGACCACCACCACTAGATTATATATACAAAAATTTAAATTATGGATTTTAGCTACATATTTTTCAACATATAGTGCCAGGAGTTTTGGTTATGTTTACATACTTGTCTTTTTGTATACTTTCCTGCAAATGAAAGCCCTAGACAAATGAACCTTGTTTTTCCAAATGGAATAACACACCATATTATATTGATTTTGAAATTATGTGGGTCTTTTTACTTTAATGGTGGTTATAAAACAGGTTTGAATCCTTTCATTTCGGGTCAATGCAATATTTTTCTATCCTAACCCTAAATCTGAAACATTTGGCTTGAAATTCAAATTTCAAATGCCATAAAAGTATATATAAAAGTGAAATAAGAATTGAAAACCATTTTTCATAGTAAATATATTTCTACAGGTGCTATTAACATGACATTTTCACCAGGTGTTGGTAACAATCTATGCAATCCTAATATACAAAGAACTTAAACCATACTGTAGATGTCCAGAAATTAACAAGGTGGAATGGCACAGGAAAAAAGTATTCAATTTGTGAAGAAAGGGAGGTGCAGGCATGGAAAGCAGAGACACCAGCTGAAATCTCTCAGTAATTAGAAAGCCACCCTGCCCCTTGTCAATGCAAATTATTATCAGCTGGTTCAGTCCCAAATGATGGCCTATAAAAAGGTGTCTCTGGTATCACACAAGAAAAATCTCATCATGGGTAAGTGCAAAGACCTTCACAACCTTATTGTTGCAAATCATAATGATAGTATTGGTTACAGAAGGATTTCTAAACTTCTTAATGTTCCAGTGAGCCCTGTTGGGGCCATAATCCAGACATGGAAAGAACATAATTTCACCTTAAAATGACTTCCTCACAAGATTTCTGACAGAGGAGGAAAAAGAAATATCAAAATAGTTGTCCAAGAACCAAAGAACACTTGTGGAGAGCTTCGGAAAGAATGGAATTAGTGTAGGTAAAATTGTTTAAAACAAAACAATAAGTAATGCACTCAACCGCCCAGGCCTGTAATGCATCTCACCATGCAAGACTCCATTGCTGAACAAAAAGCATGTTGAAGCTCGTTTAAATTTTGCTGCACAACATTTAGACAAGCCTCTGACATACTGGGACAATATATTCTGGTCAAATGAGATCAAAATTAAACCTTGGATGATATAATACACATCATGTTTGAAGGTCAAATGGCACTGTACATCACCCCAAAAACACCCTACCAATAATGAAGTTTGGAGGTGGGAACATCATGGTGTGGGGCTGTTTTTCAGCATATGGTACCTGGTAAAGTTCAAACAATTAAAGGAAGGAATAATTAAAAATCTACAGAGATATTCTTGATAAAAATCTGCCATCTACCAGGATGATGAAGATGAAACGTGGCTGAACATTTCAGCAAGACAATGACCTCAAACACACAGCAATGAAACAATTGTTTTCAGAGAAAGAAAATAAAGCTGCTAGAACGGCCCACCGAATCACCTGACTTAAATCCAATAGAAAATCTATCCAAAGGACTAAAGATCAGAGGTCATAGAATAGGCCCGTGAAACCTTGAAGAGTTGAAGAATGTGTGGACGAATGGGCCAAAATCACACCTGACCAAAGCAGGCGACAATTTCTCCATACAGGAGGAAACTTAAGGCTTTCGTTGCCAAAAAGGCTTATGTACAAAGTATTAAATACATTTCAAAAAGTGTGTTCAATACTTTTTCCCACTCTTCACTTTATTACAAATAACTTACTTTCTGAGACATCTATGGTTTGATTTCTTTGTATGCGTGGATTGCATGGATTGTTACTAACAACTGGTGTTAATAGCACCTGTAGAAATATGTGTTCAATACCTATTTCACTCACTGTATAGACATATTAACTTAGCTCAGTTTTGGGTATGTAGTCACCAAAATACAAGTTAGATGTAATAATCAATAAAATAGATAAAAATCAACTGTTGTTCTTAATAAGAGAAAATATTGAAACCTAACATAGATCCGTCAGTGTCTGTTAATTGATACAATTGTTTGAAGGTACTTAATGCTTTTTTCTTGACAAATCTGAAAAAAGGGTTAGACATGCATCAATTGTCTGTGGACACAAAGGATTATAATTCTCTATTATTGTCATCCAATAGATTAAAAATAATACTATTAGTTTTCTAGACCTTACAAAAATTCCCAGCAAGACACAATTTAAGCCCTGCTCTACTTTTAGATCTGCAGAGCTCTGATTTAGTAGAGATTTAATTATACAGTTTTACAGACAACCTACTCTGGTGTTAAAAGTGAAGTGAGAAGTTGCATCTGAATGCCAAGTGTACAGGAGCTCATTAACATCTTCAGTATGAGATTCTACTGAAGGTACTTAACACCGGAGGCTCTGCTGAAACTGAATATAAAAAAGATTACTGTAGATGTGTTGAAAAAATGGCAGTGAATGCCACCTTCTCTACCAGCTGCTTTGTAGATGATGGAGAGGTTTCCAAATGACAAATGTTTAACATTGCAGAGATAGATGCAAAGACAAGGAATAAAAAAATCATTTTGCTCTATTTTCTATCTGCCTTGTGGGATTTTTATAGGTTAAAATGATCATGTACTGTGAATAATTTACTGTGATGTATTGATAACATTCCAGCGTACCCTCTCTATGCTTTTGGTATTGTACTGCTTATAATTAGTTCTCTTTCAAAACTTTGCCTTTTCTAGGTTTGGGGCAGACTTTGAAATCCCTTCCTTGATTATCCTCTGTCATTTTACATGGCTTATGTGGTGTGGATTTTATTTTATTTTATTTCCTTTGGAGCAAAGGGTGCTAGATGTGCTACATATAACCTTTATAAGTGTTTGTCAGTTGTTGCATTCTCCTGCTTTGGATTTCTGATTTTCAAAAGATTATCCTATTGTTAGTTTAAGCCATAAACTAACAATAGGATCATTAAGTTTAATCAAGTACTGTATGTTGTCATTCAGAAATGTTCATTGTCTTTATCTTCTGTGTTTTCCCTCAAATGTTTATGAGGAAATTAATCTTAAAATGAAAACCTCTGAATTTGAAGTGTACTGCATTGTTAGTGCTTCAAAACACCCGGATAAATAGTTCTAGTAATCCTAATTGATTTAGAAACCAACATTTTATGACAAACAGAATAAGCTTTTAGATGCACTAAATACTTTTGACATATAGAAACACTCTGACAGCAGCAAACAGCTTCAGCTAAGGAAATTCTTCAGTTCTGCCACCCTTCACACCTGTATCTTCTCAGTAATTATCTCATACACCTTATAAAAAATCAGCATGTCTTTTGTTTCATTAGATCTTGTTTGCTCTTTCATGAGTGTGTTCACATCAAATTTATTTATTTTGCCTATGGACTCAACATTTATATAGGTAAAGAAAGGCAATCTTTTGTAGTGTTAAAAGTAAAACAGGACAATTCAAAGAGATTTAAATTGGAAAAAATAAAGGAAAAATGGGAAAAGTACATTTATGGCAAATAAATGTTTGCATATATTTATTTAGATTGTGCACAAATTTGGAACTGCATTCTGTATTGATGCACAAACTACTCTTCTAATCTTAAGAATCAGAATGCCTTTGTCATTTTGTAGAGCACAGCAAATCCTCTGAACACAGTTTGCAGCTTCATTGCAGTCCCAGTTGGAGCAGAATAAAGACGCTGCTGTTGCAGGACTGTTTGTCAACCTGTCAACCATTGAAAATAAGGCTTAATGATTTCAGAAAAGAAGGATTTCCTTAGATTTTACAGTTGCAAGTTATATCTGTAAAGTCAATCTTTATATATGTCACTGTAAACCAATTTAAACCACTTACTGTCGGTATTTGTTCACCTCCTAAGAATACATTATTCAGTGAGGGACTTTCTCTAGTATTTTCATAATTTCAATACAGTATAAGGAAGAGGGGCAAAACAAAAACTGTCAATAATAGGGAATTAACAAGGGGGAAGCAAGCATAAACCCTTAAGCCAAAATGTATGTGCCAACATGTTTGCTTGTCCATTCATCTTGTAAAACTGGCCTCACAAATTTACATTGAAGCACCCTGAGTTATATAACATTTGAGGTATTAAATGTACCTAATCACATTGCTTTAAGATCCAGAATAGGAATATATATATATATATATATATATATATATATATATATATATATATATATATATATATATATATATATATATATATATACATATAGATATATATATATATATATACATATAGATATATATCATATGACAATGACTCCGTACACAGCAGTATATTGATAAACTTGTTGGGAAATAAGAAATGAAAGTTCAGATCTCATTAAGACTCTGGCGTAACCTTACACTGGCCTCACCTGCAAGAAAGCCTTCTAACTTTAACCATAATCAAGAATGAGTTGGTTGACAAAAAAAGGCCTCTCAGGGTTATGGTGTCCTAATTTTTTCTAAGGTAAAAAATGCTTTTCAGTTTCTATATTTTGTTAATGAGCTAAATGTACAAGGCTCATATTTGGAGTTCAGCTGTAATTAAATCTATTGAGATGAATATAATGAGATTATACATTTCTATAAAACATTTTCAAATAAAGAGCCTATTAATTAATTGGCAAAAGTTTAAACTTAACCATGTCTAAACCTTTTTGCAGCATGGTCACTACATTTTAGTCAAACACTTCAACTACACATCATGGCCAGAGCACGGAGTACCAGAATCCTGCAGCACCTTGATTAAGTTTGTCAAAGCTGTCCGAGCCCATCGCCATGACAACTCCACCATTGTGGTCCACTGCAGGTATGGTAAAATATAATAGATTGTGTTGATAAAAAGAAACAGGTTGCCAAGTTCTGAAGCAGGTCGCAGAGTGATAATGATTGTCCTCTCGCCTTTCCCTCAGTGCTGGTGTGGGAAGAACAGGCGTATTCATTGCTCTCGATCACCTCATTCAGCACATCAGAGATCATGACTTTGTGGATATTTATGGGCTGGTGGCTGAGCTGCGCAGTGAGAGGATGTGTATGGTGCAAAATCTGGTGAGTTTGCTGGAAACAAAAGCTACATTTAAACTTATAAGATATTTACACATCTGTAAAAAAAAAAAAAAAAAAAAAAAGGACATAAAGTCGGTTTTGTCAGTTGAGACCAAATAATGGCTAAGTTTGTAGGGGGAAAAAATATAATTTTTTGTTTTGTTATCTCTGTTATAGGTTACTTGTTCAATCCATTTACAGGTTTATGAAATCTAGTTTAAAAATCCTAATAGAATAGTCTATTTTAAGATGCTGAGCAGATTCAGGAAATTTAAAATAATTGTCTCCAAACCAAATAATCCGAACTGATTTGCCACATAAATGCCAAACAGCTGAATTAATTAAAATCATGCCCGGTTTTTATCATTATCCATATTCAACAAGGTTTATTTTTGTAACTAAGAGAATTATCTTTCAGTGGATTAGGGTTAAATGCAAAACAGCAACCGCCGCCCTAAAACAGCATGAACTCATCCGGAAATCACCTCAGTGATTGCAGAAGTGATTGCTAGCATTGGCACAGTGCCTAATGTGGGATCTTCTACTTATTTTCCTCCTCTCATCATAGTTTTCCCATTTCTATTTTTTCTGCATGTGTCAATATTTGGATAGTGCTTTCCCTCCTGCACTGCCTGCCTGAACAAAAACCGTGCATATGACTCTTGAGGCTGTGATGTACAGTTCCTAGCAAACGTTTTCAAACACCTAGATATTTGTCACATTTTATCTTTATACCAATAATTACAATGCATTTAACTCGGTCGTATTACAGTGTGACATATAAACAAAAGTGTCATGGGAACATTACAGATTCGATTGCAAATAAATAGATTGGGATAAAATTTGTACATTTGCTATGGATATACAGAAAGAGGTAATGATGAGATATGCTCCAATGCTCCTACCTCCATATTATGGCAACTTTGTTTTGGCATAAGAAAAAAGCATAATGCAGTAGGTACCATGCCTAGATGCACTTTGGCTCAAATTCATACACAACCCAGCCCCCACCCCCCGCAAAAAAGAGAAAAAAACAAGGACGGTAGGCGTGTTTTTGTGGCTTTTTGTTTTGACTTCTTGTCAGAACAGCTTGAATTCACCATATCGCATAATTTACCAATCACTCTATACACTTTAGATCACCCTTGAGATTTTCATTGGCCATTTAGCTATTTTTAATTTTACATATCCTTCTGAACGAAAATTTTCTATTGTCTTCATATCTCAGATGTTCTTGTTGCCTTTTAGCAGCATTTAGAAACATTTTTTCCAGCTCTTCACATGCTTTCACCTCTAAAATTAACTTTTTATTCAAAGCGTAATGAAAGTCTGAACAGTAACTGGAAATACTAAATTTTCCTCTATTTTCAGACAGAAGTGCTCTATAATCAGCATGTAAAACATTTGATGTTTTTGTCCTTGATTAAAGACCTTGTTTTTGACACATTATTTTTCACTGAATGAAAGAGCTCAGAGATTAAGCTTAACTCTCCTATTATTTTAAGCATTAATAATTAACCTTTCAGTCAGTGAAAGTAAATAAGTCATAATGAGTTAACCTTTCAGTTAATGATTTTATTTTATAGAATTAGTAGCATGCACCCTATGACTGTTATGTCTGTTAATTTCCCATCACTTACACCTAGAATCTGATTATCAAAAGGTTTGCACATGTACATGTGCACAATGTGCACACAAATATTTGGACAAAAATAACAATAGTAGATTAATATTAATAAAGAAAAAACCCTCTGTGAAAGCAGGTCCAAACATAGTAGACGATCTTTATAAAGGTAAACTAAAAGGAAAGAAAAGTGACTCAACTTGAATGTTGAAACATTTTTCTAAAAAAAAAAAAAAAAAAAAAAAAAACATAAAATAATATTTAAAGCTTTCAAAGGTCATCCATCTCAGAGCCCAGAAGAGGATATCAGGAGAGGTGTCTGGAAATGCCTCTAACTGATTGTAAGAGGGATTTTTCTCTCCCTCTATGTTCCCTCCAAATGAAGCACAGCTATTGGCCTACCTTGTTCTTCAATAGATGGTTCAGAGGCGAACCATATGGGGGGAGAAGTTGGTGGAGGTAAATCCGGCTGTTTAGAGTGTAATCAGCTGTAAACGTAAACAGGGCTCCCTTTCTGTTAGAAAGATGGCTTCAAACACCAGATAAACACATTTTCCATATTTTTTGTTCTATATTTTATGTATTTTCATTATTTTATTTTATACTTTGATTTGTAGCACTTCAAGATAGGCTACTAATATTATGTCTAAAAATTATTATCATAATTACCTTTAATAACATTGCTAAAAAATCTTAATTTCCTTTTACAGTCCATTTCAACCTGCCAGCGGCACGCACAATGTGCTTATTTTAACAGGGCAGAACCGAACCAATTTGCACATCTTAACACCTCTAAGAGCAACTATAATAGATTGGCTGCAACACATGTTCACTTACTGTATATTAAAAACAGTGGCTGACCTGGGTTGGGATGCTTATTTTGTTTTTTAAGTTACACAATTAATTGATGCACAAATCAGTTTTGAGAGATTTGCAAATCAGGCAGAAGAAGTAGAAAAAAAAAAAACTCTTCTTTGGCTATTTTTTCCTATGCTTTCAGGCCCAGTACATCTTTCTCCATCAAAGCACACTGGAACTTCTGAACAACAAGGGCAATAGCCAGTCCATATGGTTTGTTAACTATTCAGCTTTGGAAAAGATGGATTCTTTGGATGCCATGGAAGGTAAAAAAACAAACATTGGTATAAGAACAAAAACTTTAGACAGTAATACCGGGCTAAACCCACGGGTTTTGTTGTGTTGGTTTTCAGGTGATGTTGAGCTGGAATGGGAAGAGACCACCATGTAAACCACTAATACAAAGATTTGTGGGAGCTTTTCTGGAATCATGGAATCTTAACTGAACCTCCACCTTGTAAAACAAGTTAGGCTACCAGTAAAGAACTGGAAGGGAACAATACTTGGTTGCTCCACTTCAAATCTTTTTCTCTGCCCCGTTTCTACTTTATTGCACATCTTGTCCAGCTGTTTCCAAACACAAAGAGAGAAACTCTTGGAGGAGCTATGACTTGTAGCAATGAGACGGACAGAAAAGGAAAGAGTGAGCTAAATGTCCGACTTGTATCTTTGATGTACTCCTTCAGGTACTTTGCACAACTGTATTCCAGCACTTAAAAGCATTATTATCTGTTTTTTAAGATAATTTATTCAGCCAAAGTGGTATTTTTGAGTGTCTTTGTAACTTTGCTAGTGTTCAGGTAATGCCGATCCTTTCTCAAGAGTGATTTGCAAAAATTAAATCTTTTCTTTTGTCTTGATCCTTGACAGTGCAACGTTTCCCCATGGGTTTACTGTCATCAAATGTTTATTAGCTTTTGATATTAAAAAGAAAAAAAAATTATAAAAGGAAACACTTGCCAGTGATGTCTGCAAATAAATTGGTGATAACAGAGGTTATATTACACTTAATGTTTTGTTTCTCTTTAGCGATTAATAAACTTGAAAAAAAAAAGAAAGGCTCTAGTCCATTTAGCTGTTATCGTGTCTAAAGTCAAATGTACAAGGAAAATTATTTTGTTTTTTATGTGTCCACCTATTGACGAGCCTCTATTTTCCAGCAGGACTTGACTCCTGCCCGCACTGCCAATGCACCTTAGAATCACTACTCTAAACCTGATAAACCTAAATCTAATAGCAAGTCTGTGGAGTGTTGTCAATATGAGATGATACAGTAAACACAAGAGCCAACAATGCAACTCCACTGATTCAGAAATTTCTGTACAAGTCACAATCAAGATGTGAGTGGAAATAATACATACATGTGCAAGCTGAACTGCAAACTTGAAATATAATATAGTCTCTAAAGTAGATCTATATAAAGCATGACTGACTTAAATTGAGGTGCCATCAAGAAATACCTCAATGGTAAATGGAAGTACCATCAAAAATAAATAAAAATGTCAGCTTTTATTAGAACACTAACATTGATACACAGTTGAGTTTGAAAGTTTATGCACCTCTCCTTTTAAATAAAATTTTCTTGCGTAGCAAGATGCAGAATAGGGACCTTTGTTGGGTATTATTGGCGCACAGGTCTGATGAACGTCACCTGGCCATTCAGATACAGGTGCGTTTGAAACAGGTCAGGTACGTATTGGATTCAGGACCACATAGCATAGCCAAGTGGAGTGGGTTGCATTGGAAAAATTTTGATCTTTGTTGTCCAGACTGTCATGAAAAGATCACATACACGTTGCATATGGGCAAAAAAATTGGATCTGGGTGACTTCAGGCTTCCGTGTGAACATAGCCTTAGGATGAGGTGGGGCAGGGCTGCAGAAACTTTGCGAGGAGAGCAGAACTGTCTTTGCTAACAAGCAAAATTGCCCCACTTTAAGAGGTTACTGTGGGTTTAAAGTGCAACTATCTGAAGATGTCAGACAGCATACATTATCCACAGGTATCCCAGTCATCCCATATTAGTTGAGGTGGTCATTGTAAATTTCTTGTAATTATATACACTCACCGGCCACTTTATTAGGTACACCTGTCCAACTGCTCGTTAACACTTAATTTCTAAGCAGCCAATCACATGGCGGCAACTCAGTGCATTTAGGCATGTAAATATGGTCAAGACAATCTCCTGCAGTTCAAACCGAGCATCAGTATGGGGAAGAAAGGTGATTTGAGTGACTTTGAACGTGGCATGATTGTTGGTGCCAGAAGGGCTGGTCTGAGTATTTCAGAAACTGCTGATCTATTGGGATTTTCACGCACAACCATCTTTAGGGTTTACAGAGAATGGTCCGAAAAAGAAAAAACATCCAGTAAGTGGCAGTTCTGTGGGCGGAAATGCCTTGTTGATGCCAGAGGTCAGAGGAGAATGGCCAGACTGGTTCGAGCTGATAGAAGGGCAACAGTGACTCAAAAAACCACCCGTTACAACCAAGGTGGGCAGAAGAGCGTCTCTGAACGCACAGTACGTCGAACTTTGAGGCAGATGGGCTACAGCAGCAGAAGACCACACCGGGTGCCACTCCTTTCAGCTAAGAACAGGAAACTGAGGCTACAGTTTGCACAAGCTCATCGAAATTGGACAATAGAAGATTGGAAAAACGTTGCCTGGTCTGATGACTCTCGATTTCTGCTGCGACATTCGGATGGTAGGGTCAGAATTTGGCGTCTACAACATGAAAGCATGGATCCATCCTGCCTTGTATCAACGGTTCAGGCTGGTGGTGGTGGTGTCATGGTGTGGGGAATATTTTCTTGGCACTCTTTGGGCCCCAATTGAGCATCGTTGCAACGCCACAGCCTACCTGAGTATTATTGCTGACCATGTCCATCCCTTTATGACCACAATGTACCCAACTTCTGATGGCTACTTTCAGCAGGATAATGCGCCATGTCATAAAGCTGGAATCATCTCAAACTGGTTTCTTGAACATGGCAATGAGTTCACTGTACTCAAATGGCCTCCACAGTCACCAGATCTCAATCCAATAGAGCATCTTTGGGATGTGGTGGAACGGGAGATTCGCATCATGGATGTGCAGCCGACAAATCTGCGGCAACTGTGTGATGCCATCATGTCAATATGGACCAAACTCCCTGACGAATGCTTCCAGCACCTTGTTGAATCTATGCCACAAAGAATTGAGGCAGTTCTGAAGGCAAAAGGGGGTCCAACCCATTACTAGCATGGGTAGAATGACCATATTTTCATTTGGGAAAACCAGGACACCTTGGAGCGGGGGGGGGGGGGGGGGGTGGATTGAAAGAACAAATGTGTCATCATCGGGATTTGCTCCGTGATCAGAGGAAATTTTACTTGGCTCAGAACAGTGGTGAAAATTGGAAGTTCAGTTTAATATAATACAACTCTGTGAATAGTTCCGTCTGAAATTAATGAAAAAAGTTGTTTTAATGGTTATAGAGTCAGATATGTGGCTGTAATGTTTGGTTTATCTAAAGGTTTTTATCTGTTACTGTGTAAATGGGTTTGGCTGGAATTTAAGGACAGATTCTAATAGATCTGCAAAGTGGGAACTATAAATCTGATAGGAGTTAAATTTTTTTATTGTTGTTTTGCACAATATGCTTAACTAAGTATTTTTTGTTGTTGAATATTAGAGATTTTGCAGATATATTTTTTATAAATACATTGTTTAGATTTACTTATGTATTTCTAACCCTTTTATAGTATAGAAAATCCCTTTATTGTCCCACAATGGGCAGATTTACAGCAGCAGAAAGATTATTGAAAATGGTCACACAAATGAGGACCTTAGAAAAATGTATAAGAATAACATAATAGGGAAGAGTTAAAATATAAACAATAAAATACTGTAAAGTGTTTTAACAATATAAAACTGGAGAATTAATAACCAATATGCAGCTATGGACATTTTTACAGTAATGGATATTTGAAAATAGCAGCAACATCAGAGATGTGCAGAATGACAGCAGCAGGTTATTTAACTGACTAAGGTTTCTATCATTACATTTGATTTGATTTGTTCCTGCTCCCGGTGGTTGAAACCTTTATTCCACTCTGGATTCTTGTGAGTGTAGTCTTTGTTCACTTTAACTTTTTAAAAAATAAATAAATAAACAAACAGTTTTGAAAACCTCGGCATTCATTCTTTTCCTGCTTTGTGTGTCAACTTTCACGGTTGCTACGCAACAGAGCATACGGCGGTAAAACCCGCCGAAGGGAGGACCTGTTCGAATTTACAGACAAAACTCTTCCGGCCTCCTTATTTTCAAGGACTTCGAAGGATCCAGTCTAGGTAGACCGCGTCCTTGGAGGATGCAGCCCAGGTTTTTGAACAGAGCCTCTGATTAAGAACAGGGCTGCCTGCACTGACGCGGCTCAGGGATTACGTCACACGGAGCGTCGTGCGCAGTGAAATCAGGACATTTCCTCACTTGCTAAAAAAAAACCGGGACGCCCGGGACAGGACGTGAAATATGGATATGTCCCGGGAAATACGGACGTTTGGTCACCCTAAGCATGGGGTACCTAATAAAGTGGCCGGTGAGTGTATGTGTGTTTATTCAAGGCTTCTTTAGGCTTTTCTATTAGCCTAATAATGACTAATGGGAAACAATTTTCTATTCTTTACCCTGAAACTAGCAACTGTCACTTTTCAAAGTAAGGACTTTATGAGTATTCTGTCAACACAGTTAAGGTACTCATAGGCCTACAGTATATTGGGTAGATTCTGCGTAATATACTCATAGAATTTAAAAGAAAAGTGTGTAGTTTAACTCACCCTTTCACACACAAATATATATCTATCTATCTTATATATATATATATATATATATATATATATATATATATATGTATATCTTATGTCATCTTGGTGCACCAAGATGACATAAGAAAACCAGCACACACCGATTTCCCATCAGTTGCCTTATTTCTCCTATTTTCTTCCACACCTGGTGTCGATTTATCCTTTAGAAAGGCAGCGAGAGCCCTGAGGCAAACAAACAGTCCGATGGCTGAGAGTAAAAACTACTTTATTCTTTCATTTTCTCCAAACAGAAAATCATAGAAATTCCAATAGGAAACACGTTGCTCTTTAAGAAATGTCCTTGTTAGAAATACCGTGAGAATGCAAAGATTAACTGAGGGTGCTGCAAAGGGAGGATGCAGATTCGGTGCGTCTCCATGACAGCCACAGAGGGGAGAGAAGGGAAAAGAATGGGAAATAGGGAGGAGAAAATGACATCAATCAAACCCAACATGCCCTGACAATAATGAAACAAACATAGCATCAAGCTCCTCTTATATGCTGCAAATGAAAAAGAAATAAAAATAAATTATCATGCGTTATAGTACAAGTCAGTAAGAGTTCCAAGTAAACAGCGTGGGGTTGCTGACTTGATAAATCAAGCAGCAAATTTAATCAATTTGATGTTTTAGTGGCTATCTGTAGGAAGTAAATGTGTGTGAGGGGGTGGGTGTGTTTTTGTGTGCTTGACTCGTGAGTTTTACTCTATTTCACCAAAACAGCATAGCCCTTTTCAAACCTTAAGAGGTGACATAGCCATCTTTAATTAACACTGTTATAATATGAAATGATGGATCTAGAGCAGTAACTGAGCAGTGTAAGCTACAAAAAAAACAAACTAACAAAAAAAGTGTCTGTTTCCTGACTCTCTTAAGAGGGTTTTCTTTTAGGACTCCCCCAGAAATGAACGTGGATAATAACTATAATAACTATAATAGTCTTTTTTTCTTTTAAACTAGATTTTTCTCTGTACAAATACATATGTAGATACACACACTGGGCAAACCAATCACTTTTTTCAGAATAAATCTATGTCATCTATTTACAATATATCCAATATATTCTGCGGTGCAAAAATGACTTAGTGATGTGCTATATATACCAGCTCAAGTTAGACACCACCTATGCTGAGCAAACAACACAGTGATGAAATAAAGAAACATTTCTAGGACATCTTC